ATCGTGTTCTCGGAATATATGGAATGCGCGCGCGCCTATTTGCCTGATCACGTAATGTGAACGCAAGAATGTACAAATGAGCACGAAATGATAAACTTGGAAACGTAGAAAATGTCAACCGGCTTTCTATAAATGAAAAAGCTTACAGCCACGACATTGAAATTTCCTAATCCCAAAACAGAACGATTAGAAAACTCTACCAATGTATCGAAACTGACTAATCACAGCTGACAACGTTTCTTGAGTCCTGCAGGCAATGACAATAATTTTCTCGAATCAGATTTTAATCTTAGCAAATTACGACTCTTTCTATAATGATGATTTCTGCTCAGGCTGTAGAAAAGCAAATTTCAGCTACCCTCTCGTGGACAATCGTGCTACATGGGTTCTAGCCAGAGAAATAACAGAGATTCTGAAAATTCCCAAATCGCTTATAGCCGAAAATGTTTTTTATTGCTTTTCATCTTAGCTCAATGCCGACCTAAGGAAGTTAGCAGTAAACATGGTCCCATTCCCTCGCCTGCATTTCCTTATCTCAGGCTTTGCACCGCTGACCAGCCGGGACACTCAGCAATTCTGTATCCGAATTAACCCATCAGATGTTCGCCTCATCTTGTGGCCCGTCTCTCCCCTCCCCCTTCCCCCCTACGCTAAGGCCATTTTTCTTTTTACGAGACTGCTCGTGCCATCGCGCATGGGCCGAGCGGGCGCTGGGCCACGACTTTCGTCTCATACGATCCTGGCGCTGGTCAATAAATGCTTTGAAACGGCTGATAAATAAAACTTCGACATTTAAATGAAAAAGTTAACTTTCATTGATCTAGTTTGGCGTGTAAAAACTGAAACACGTTTCATTTGTAAAGTGTCAACTGAAAAATAATTGGGGCAGAATTTAAGCAAGACAGTAAAAAAGTAAACGAAACTAGATGAAAAGCATTTCAACGACGAATTCGCTAGATTTCCAAAAGGGATCGACAAGTGACGTCATATTCGTCTAGATTTTAGAAATTATCACCCGGCGGTCCGAATGGTAAAACGGCATTAAAATTTAGCCGTTAGGCGTAAAAAAAAGTTAACCATGAAAGTTTTTCTTATCTATACGATGTATCCTCTTGAAAGTGTCAAAATCTTAGACTGTTATGTGTTTTTTCTTCTGGCCAAAGCGGGAAAATAGAAAGTAACTCTTTATCAATCCAACAGGACCGCCCCGTCACTAGCTGGCATCAGGCTTGAAAATACAAAAACATCTGTTCATATGACGTAATCTGTATAAAAAATGCACGTAAGGTTCAACCCCCGTTGGAAAAATAAGATTTCCGTATAACCCCATATGATAATGCAATTAGCTAAGGTTGGCATTGCGAGAGACTTTGATAACATGATGATGGCCGGCTGGTATTATGTTACTGTCTTTTACTAAAATATCTTCGGGGTGATATACTATGGCCGAGATTTTTGCCTGAGTACATGGAATTATAAACATAATTCAAAATGGCGTCTGTCGCCGTAGGCCGTAGGCTAAAAAAAAATTGGCTTGTTTTTTCATTCTTTTTGTTCCATCCTCGATCCAATACACCCGTGTAGACTTTACAAACGACGAGGAAATATGCGTAAGAATCCTCAATTGGAAAAAAAGGGCTTCAAAGTATTGAAATCGACTTGTGTTGACCACAGTCCCAAAGATAGATATGGAAATATTTGGTTGTGTCCTCGTGTACCGGTACACAAAGGAACGAAACATTAACGAACTGCGTCACAACTCCATGTATGGATATGAAAACAATAGGAATTCCCCCGTGTACCGGTACACCAGGACAGCCCCAAATATTTTGTCGCACCGTTCTTTAAAATCATCAAGGTGGTTTTTTCTTCTTTTCGCTTCGTTCTTGATCAAAATACAAATTTGTACTTCTTGTAAACGAAAAGAAAACGTATATAAGAATACTCAACTGGAAAGAAACGGGTTTAAAAGTCTTAAAATCGAAGATGACAACAGTTCCTACGATAAATATGGAAATATTTTGTTGCGCTGCGTGAGCTACTTTAATTCTTGTTCAAGTTGATTTTCGAGTGTCTAATTGCTTGCCATGACTGTATGTTACACATATTTTGGCAATTGGTTTACGATTTCACTTGATTTGACTCCTACAAGCGATTTCATTCTCTCCTCAAAGAATTTCATCAAACTCTTAAATATTTCATTCTTTCCTCAAGTCGCCTATCTGATTTGGCCATATTTTACGCGTTTAGCCACTTATCTACCACTTTCTAAGGTTTTTGCAGAATTCATTTGACACGACCTTTCTTTTTGTCACGCAATCACCTTGTGAGCTATTTCGCTCCTGGGGCGTGAATCTTTGTTTTTCATTCCCTTTGCGGTTTTGCAACTCGCTCAAGCACTCCCCAACAAAACCGTCCGTTTTGCAAAGTAGTTATTACGACCTCGGTTGTAAAATCGCCTACTTATTACTCAACATGTTCTCAAGCAAGCTCGAGTTAACGCTTCAATAGCATCTAGTTACAATAACATGGGCAACCCTTATGCGAATAAATATATTTTTTAATTCAGACAAACACGAATTATGCTGTTGCATAAAGTTGTTCATCAGCTATGAAACTTCAATAAAACTTCCAATTATGCCTAGAAGACTACAACCTTAGAAAAATGTTTGTTTTATATTCCTCAAAAAATCCAATTTTTAACTGACCTACAAACTACATGTTGGCATCATTTTAGCGCCTCTTGACGTTGATTTGTTGCCTCTAGAAGTTGTTCCAACTGTTCTTTTGAATACTGTTGAGCCACTATTTTAAATTTACTGTCAAACTGGCTGAGTGAATGATCTGGCTGAGTGACTGATTTAACTGACTGAATGGCAGACAGAGAGAGAGACAGACAGAGACAAACTAAGCTAAACTAACTAGCTGACTAAATGACTGTTGTAACTGGCTGACTGATGGACAGACTTGTTGACCGAATGACTGGTTTACCTGGGTGACTGACGGACAGACTAAGTGACTGAATGACTGGATATCTGGCTGACTTACGGATTAAGGGGACAAATTTTTAAAGAAACTGTGGTGCAGCGTCGGTAGGAGAGTATAACCGGGTAAGTAAGTATTATCAACTGAGTTGATAACATAGATTAGCCACTGTAAACGAGTTACAAAGCTGGCGTTTCAAGCGTTAGCCCTTCGTCAGAGCGAAGTGACTGGTTTAGCTGGCTATTGTCGAGGCTCTCTAAAAGTACGGAAAATTGTTGGTAACTAAAACATCGTATGCAGGAGAATGAAATTAGATAACTTGCCTGAGCTCAAAGAAGACTCCAATTCTGTAACTGCTCTTCTCGTCGCCCTCATACAACCCTGCCATCCAAAACGGTCAAACAAGACCAACCAACATTTAAGCTTTGGCTACCAGGCATTAGGACTGTCGAAGAAATGTTAGGCAACCAATGTACTGTACAGTAAGTAGCTTGAAAATAGGCGGTTAGCGAAATTTTGCAAGGCTCCGCGTGGTTGAAACCTATCAAACCTAAAATGAATATTAAATGAGGACAAAATCTATTTGCAATGCAGATCTTACACTCCGCGAGCCTTTTTGTCATTAGGGAGTTAAAGCTGTCAGAGCCTGAGAGATGAATTTTTTCCATAAGTATTTAGCGCGCGGGTCAATTTTCTATTCTTCATGGTTGGAACTGGTACGCGCGTTGATTGGTCAATTTAGCGGGCCGTATTTCTTTGTACAGCCCGCAAACCCAGAGATATCATAAATATCTTATCAACCTCATTTTTTCGGTCAGCATTGTAAGTTACGGAACCTCGTCTTTTCTGCTCGGATTTATGGCCCGCACGCTTCACGCAGGGGCTATAAATCCTAAAGAATAAATAATAGGTCAGTATTTAGCGAGTAGGTCAATGTGTTCAACGTCTCTCATGGCGGCAGATCTGTCTTTAGCACAACATGTGATCACAGTGTTGAGCTGTTTGTCTTCGGAGCTTCGGTAAGACATCCGCAAATTTATATCCGAAATTTTTAGTTTCGCTACGTTCTCGTTGCAATCGCCGTTGTGGTTTGCATTTTTCTGGTGAGGATTGCTGATAAGCAGAAGAAGCGCCAGGTAAGGGCGGCATGCATGAGGCAAGCACGAGACTAGCACATGGTACGCGCAGGGTCAGCCCGAGGAGAGCGCGGGACGGGGGTGAGACGCACGAGTGGAGAGGTGAAGACGTGGAAAACAATCGCTTAATAGTCTTCACGCATAATTGCGTCATTTCCAGGAAATTCAGATTTTCTAAAGCAAGAATTGCTCTGGATATGTAAGATTTAGCTAAAGCTTCTACCATAAGTATAGGGATTTGAGGGGACTACTTAAAGGAGTCAAGTTCCCTTCGCTAGCCCAACTCATCCCCAGATTTCTTCAAGACTCAGGCAACCGGCGTAAACAGGACTAGATCGCGATGTGCAATAGGGGCCATCACCCAATTCGTAGATCAGGAACAATCAATCGAGTAGTCTCCCCTTCTCGGCGATATCCATTGCGCGAGTCAAAAGAAAATCAGCGGGGGAAAAAAAAAAAAAAAAAAGAACTGATGTTGGCCGATTCACTCCTAAGGTTCTGAGCAGCGCGCAGACATTGTTTTCCCGCCGAATTGTGTTTTCACTCGCGCGACGGAATTCGCCGAAAAAGAAAAACTTCTCGTAGTCTAAACACTCAGTGAACACGAAAATTGTTTTCAAACTATTCTTTTAATTCGCGCAATTTATTCACAATACTTTAAATATTATGAAAGTTGTTCGCAGCAAACGATTTGTTGAACAGGTCTACAGTGGGCAGTAAAATTCAATGAAAAACGAGATGAATTGGAGGTGGACATGATGGCACGGGGGGAACAGACCAAACTAAATCGAATACGAGGAAACGGTTTAGAAAAATTTACAATCGATTACATCAATGCTGTGGCTATTTACAAGGCTATAAATAAGCTAAATTTTTTTTGTTATGATAAATTTTGCAACAAAGTAATGATAGTCTTGGTCCTTTTCCGAATAACCAAAGGTAATGATTTCGAAACTTGATGTTATCAACAGATTGCTGTGGAAAATTTCATTTACAACAATTAAGATAATGTTCAAATCAATGTGCCAATTTCTCACCACAAATTACATTGATTGACAAACTTTTAGTGAGAATATGACCGTTTTAACTCAGCGCAAATTCTCCAACTTGAAATGCAACAGGCTCCAAAAAGAATCTGTGAACAGATCCGAGTGAACAAAGTTGCACTGTTGCTAAGTGAAAAAATACCGTTCCTTGGTGAAGTCGCAAACGACATTTTGATAATTCATTTCAACAGCTTGAAACCAAACTACACTCAGTTACTCTCTATGGGGCCATTTTCATCGTGTATTGCTTCGTTCTGATTAGTCTTAACTACCCAAATTATATCTCTAGCCCTGTATTTCTTTAAAAAGGTCGTAACTGTTCTTTGTTTTGGTAAGTAAATCAAGGTAATTAGATATTCAGTATATCATAAGAACAGTCAGCAGTTATAATCTTATCCAGTTGGCAAACTTGCCTCTACTTCACGCAAAATTCTCGATACACTCGAGGCCGCTTAAACTACGTCGAGCAGCTTTCTAATTGGTAGAAGGAAATCGGAAATAGATAGAACCTTCCGAAAACGACCGAGTTTTAATTAATTATTAAATTAGGCACCTTTCGGAAGTGGAAAACGGTTGAAACTCTGCCAAAAACTAACGCCGCTGGTTGAGATTTGCGACGACACTTGAAATACACAAGTTATCCTGCGTGGCTGACAGAGGATAACTTCTCTCGAATAATAATGGCAAACAGTTTTATAAAAACAGCCTTACCCGGTAACACGGGCCTCGGATTTGGTCTGAAAAATTGCGACAAAAATATGCTCATCAATATTCCGTCTTTAGCTGGAGCAAGTTAAATTTAGATTTTTTCCCATCTTCAATATGTGATTTTAAACCTGAGCCGTAGATCCCGTTTCAACATCCACGACGTTGTCATCGGTTTGCATGTCTTCGGGCGCACTTTCGTCGTCCGAACACAAATCGATTGTCGTGACTGGGCGCACCGAGTCACTGTTGCCCTGGCAATTGACAGTACTTTCCGCTGGCTCTTGTTCCTGCGGTTGCGTGGTCTCCGTGCCTTCAACATCTACTATTGAGACCGGAGGTGTCGGGGAGGTCGGCGTGGTACCGTCCACGTCAACATTCTCTGATTCGGGTGACGCCCCGGGTGGGGTCCCCACTGCTGAATTAGTAGAAGAACCCCCACCCCCACCCCCTCCGACACACATCCGACAGTTGTAAGAATCAATAGCTTTTGCACGCTCCGGGCTAATTTCCACGCACGCGAAATGATACCACTTCTCACAGACGTCGCACTGCACCCATCCCACTTGATCCCCCTGGGGTCGTGTGCACGTCCCGGCTGCGCATATCTCATCATCATCGTCATCGTCTTCATCGTCTTCTTCGACATCAACCATCTTTTCTTGTTTCACTTTGACAATTTTTTCTTTGTCTTTGCGGCGACGTTTCTTTGGTGTTTCTGCTGTGGCAGGGGCAGAGTTTGTTGAACTAGCATTTGATCCTCTTCTCACTGGCTTCTCTTTTTCTTCATTGTCTTTTTTCTTGCGCTTCCGTTTGACTTTCTCTTTGACGGATTTTGTCTCGAAAAGCTGCCAACAAAAGCAAGATTGCTCATTACAAAGTAAATTTCAAATTAAAACCCTATTTTGCAATCTGTCAAACAGAGGTTACAGAACGGAAACACAGTTTCTAAGTGAAATTATGTTATGTTTTGAAACGTGGTCACTGCTAACTAACAGACCGTCGGGCTTGCTTCCTTGAATAGCAAATAATAAAATTCAAAATGATTGCTGTCGCATGAAGACAATTTCTGATGCGTTCGGAATATCTCAGGGACATTCCCAGAATTCTATCCGTTTGGTTCTCAACTAACCCTTTAAGCCCTGAGTGACCAGCATCTAATTTCTCCTTACAGTAACACTTCCGTATCATTCATTAAGATCATGAGAATAAAGGAAATGATCACCAACTTAAGAAGAATTTGATTATAAAACGAATTCTCCTTGTCAGTACTAAACGAATTGTAGGGAGAGGGGTCGGGAGAATATGAATACTGATGTGAAGGTGTAAAGGGCTAAGTTGTGCACAGTCGTGGTTCATTTACATTTATAGTTTTATATTGCTTTGGTAAAAAAAAAAATTCCAAATTTCAATTCTTGCAGGTCGTATTCCTGACGAGCGCAAGAATATAAGATTTCCTTTTTTTTAACTTCCTCCCCAGGCCCATCTGACAAACCGTTGATAATTGAAATAAGGTTTTTCCCCGAAAAAATATCACTCTCTTTGAGAATTTCTTTGGAGCTGCTCACCTGTGTTTCTTGTTCCTCTTGGCTTTTCTGACTGAGCAGTATTTTCCACAGCTGTTCCGTTTCGTCAAGCGACACTTCCAAAAGATCCCCCTCCATCATCATCGTTTCGGCTTGCCGTCGTATCTCCTCCGATAAAGTCGGCCTAACTTCGGCCTGCGGACTGTTGTTTGCATCGTCCGTGACAGACACCTCACCCGAGGCGGATTTGTCGGCGTTTTCCGGTTCGGGTCCCACTTGAGCGAGACGAAGTAACGCAGCCGACGCAGACAAGTTCTCTGCACTCACTCCTTGCGGCCAGGCCGCAGATGTTCTACTGAGAAACGCGAGTAGACTCACAACATCTTCGTCTGTCAGAAAATTTCTGGCTCGATCCTGCCAGTTCATTGCTCTTTCAGTGAGAAATTGTAGCGCCTCTCCCTCAGGGAGCCGGACAGGAAGCTTCTGTAGCGATACTAACAGCGACAAGATCGTTTCCAGGCGGGGTCGCCTCGACCTTGAGCAAAGCGGGCACAGATACTTGAGCTCCTTTGCCGCTTCCAGCGCAGCGGAGCCTTTGCCCATGGATTTACCACCCTGGGTACGCGGAAGGGGAACACAAGAGCCATGATACCACTCCTTACAGAGCTCACACTGTAGCATAAACCCGTCGGGTCCCCGCCGGCATGTACAGTACTGTCCGTCCATGCTTTCTCCAAGCTGTCTTCTCTTATCTTCTTCTTTTTGTCTTGCCATGTTAACTTGTCGTAATTGCCGCATGCTTTGCATCTCTTTGATTTCCGCCTCTCGGAACTCAGCGATCTGTAGAGCAGGATCCCTCCCAATGTACTCGTCCAATGCCACCAGTTCAATTATAACCTCCCGTTCTTTTTCGGTTTTTTCTTTCTCGGCTTTGTCTCTTTTTTTGTTACCACGAGTTTTGAGACAAGCTTTGTATGATCCAACGTCTTTCCGGGGAGATAAGATCTGAACAGTGAAATACAAATTGAAACAAGTAGTTGAGACAAGACACCTCTATATTATACATTTAAGGAAGATATTTTGGTTCGTAAAGTACACATCTTCGAGTACAAAGAATTTTTCAAACCACAATATTCATTTCACAGACTCAAGGTTATAATTCAAATTACCTGTGGGTTACCGAGGACTTGCTCCAAAGCTGGAAATTTTTCAATCGATCCAACAAAGCGCAGTTTTATGTACAAAATAATTTTTCAAATTTTATCCCAAGCCATGACTTTCATTTTACAGGCTCAAAGTTATAATTCAAATTACCCAGTGGGTTACCGAGGACTCGCTCCAAAACTGAAAATTTTTCGATCGATGCAACAAAGCGCAGTTCAGTTTACATGAGGTTTTAAAACTCACTGCCATTCCGAAGAAAAGCTCTAAACTTCATCCCATTTTTTAAAAATTTTTCAGAGTCTGCGCAAACCATGAGATCAAAACGATAGTGAACACACATTAAATGATATCTCTAACCTCCAACAGAGTAGCTGAAGAATTCTTTTTGAGAAACGTCCTTGCAGCACGGTCCCTCCAGGCGCGCGCTGCAGCTACTTGGGACTCCATCTGCGGGAGCTGTTCCAGACGCACGGGAATGGGCCTACCTCTCATGACCAGGGCCTCCAGGACATCAAGGTAAGGATAATAGTCATCATTCTGTGATTAACAAAGAACTCAGCTTAGCACCTGAAAGTGCTTGTTAATCATAACATAGTAAGGCGAGTTTGTGTTGAGGCCAACTCAGTCAAACCGCCAGAATTTGTCCTTAACGCCAAGCAACCAGGAACACTGACTCTTCCTCGAAGAGAAATTTAAGTCTCGCGCAGGGTAGCCATCTACAACCACCCTCCCCTCCCCTCCGCCCACAATTCAACGCAATAACACTAGTTGATAAAAGAAGGCATTGTGGAAATAAGGGTAAACACCAAAAACACAACACTTTGGCTCAAACCTGGACAACTTGATTTACAATTCAGTTTACAACCCACTTAGACCACGAGCAGTCTTTGCTTTTCGGCGAAGTTCGTCCCACGAGTCAAAAACCAAATTGATTGATGATAGCATGCCCCGGGGGAACTCTGCGAGTGAGGCGCACTTCCAGAGTTCCGCTCAGAACCTTAATTTTTCTCCAATCGCGCGGCTGACTAAGCCGAAAAGTAGGAAGTGCTCGTAGTCTACAAACCACTCTTACTCGTTGTCCGCAACACGGTTTGATCTTTCAATTCTAATACCCTTAAATAGAGCTCGACATTTTCACTACCACCATACCTGCACTTGATCAACCTTGTCAGACCATTCACGTGCTTTGCGTAGTGCTTCTTTGAGCGCACTCACGTTTGGAAGATACAGCGGGACACGTGACGCTTCTTTTACTATTGCTTCCACTGTAGTCATCACGTGACGGGGCCTATAAAAAAAGAGAGTAGTGCATTTAACATGAGGTGTTTGACAAATATACATCACTAATGTGACGAACTGTGTGTGTGACAGCTGAATATAATTTTAGGACCTTCATGGGCCAGAGAGCAGTGCGTGACACTGCAGCTTATCGGGTGCGTTATTTGTTTTGATTATCACACAATATTGGCTGGCAGAATCTGGTCATTAATATACTGGATAAACAGTAAAAGTATGAGTTGAACGCTGTTTGTTCTTACCTGGCTTGAAGACAAAGTTTTGCCTTTTCTTCCCACCGTTCACCAAGAGCGACCAGACCACGAAGCTCGCTAACGGCTTTCTCAATAGCTAGGCAAAAATAATGCCAATAAATGTTAACATTCTAGGTTTCTGTAATTCTGAAAATTTTAATCATAAAAACGCATTCAATTACAACGTATCAGTCGCTACATAGGTTACGGAATGTTCACGAACATACCAGCTTTTTGCGGAAGTGTGTTTCCAGTCTCAAGTAGCTCTTGAAGTGTATCGAACGAAACATCTTCAGTGTTCGCTAGGGTAATGTTGACTTGTTCCAACCACTTGGCAAGTCGTAACTCCTAGAGAACAGAAGTAACCTTCATGGTCAAAGAATTCACAAGAAACAACATCGTATATGACGGCAAACCATTATGGAGCCACGCAGAATCAAGTCAAACCTGTTTGAGTTTTGGAATCTCTGGTAAGTCAACATCTAGTGTGTTTCCATTGTCCAGGAGTTGTTGAAGTCTTGTTGCATCGGTTGTGCCACTTTGAATAACCTTCTGGGCTTCACACTGGAAACTCTCCACATGTGTCATAAGTTCCTAAAGAATTGTAAAAAGTCACACCATCAACGAGGTACCAACCATTCAAACTTGACGTCCAACAGATAGGTACCACACCACTTAAAAAGTGTTAGGTTACATTACTTAAAGATTATAAAATCCATGAGTGACATCATCTAACTCTTTGAGTCTAATTATTGTCGCGTTGAGCAACGGATTAAGAGTTTTAACTCTTTAAGAAATCTCCACAGGTGGCACAGATGATCATTTAATTATCATAATATTCAATTAAGTTAAAACTTGGTGGCATAAATGGGGACTAAGTCGTTAGTGCGCGAAAAAAAAATCGATACAGAGCAAGGGTATTTGGAAGCTAGAACTTTGAGCTCTCCGCCATGTTGGGTCGTGTGACGCTTTACGGTTACCAACTATAAAATGTCTACGATCCAAAATGGTGCCTACCAGCAAATTCTTTCATCCATATTTCTCATTTTTTATTCTAGTTTTTATTCATTTTGGTTGTTATTTCCCAATTTTCCTCGGTTTGACGACACCTAGGTATAGTACAGAGTGCGCCACTTACTTGTACGAGATCTGCTTCTCTTACTACACAAGGTAAGTTCTGTAGTTGCTGCATGAAGCCTTGAAGTTCATCAAGACTTAAACGAGTGGCTGCCACGGTATCTGCGCCACCGTGGGGTCTGTTAACATAACAATACATATTTTAAAGCTTGCTTTGATGAAATACTTAGGCCAAATTTGAAGGCTACAATTGGTAGTCATTAGCATACAACTCAAAGATCACTAGCCTGTAGTGCACGCGTCTTATTCGGGCGACTTAACGTTACAGGTTCGCAATCGTTTATTCGACCGGCTATGTTTGAGTTAGAGTGGACGGTGGGGGAGGGGTGCGGGAAAAGGCGAGAAATAGTTTGTTTATTGCCCCACCCCACTCCCCCCCCCTCCCCTCCCCTTCCTTTTTTCTCGTCGTTCACCCCTTGGTAAAAATTTCTCGCTGTTCCCGGACTCACACTGCTATAAAAATCAAAGATGGCAGTTAAGGTTTTCACCAAGAAAATACTGGGCACCCGGTTGCCAAAATTTGTTACGGGTGATCATAGCAGGCATGATTAACTTCTCGATATTTTCCCCCTTTCTGAATCTCTCCATCACTTCTACACCTTAAAATTGCAAAACTGAAGTTGTGGTTACAGTCGTTATTTACCTTGTCCTATGTTTCCTGCTCACTAACTGCACAGCAACGCTGGCACATCGTTCAGCTTCGGTAACAGCAGCCTTCAGCTGTTGGAACAGGTCACAATCTGGAAACTGGCTCTGTTCCGCAGTGTTCACCAGTTCCTTAAGTTCTGATACATCTGTGAATAAGCATTGAGAACAAGAGTTATCTCAGTCCTTAGAGATATGACTTGAGGGAAAAAGTCATTGCCTTGATGAGTCTTTGTTTCATCAGCATTCAGAAAAATGTTTCAATCGAGCAAAAAAGTTAGCAGAGAAGTAGCAAAAGAAAGGTTCTCTAACCATACGACATACTCAAGAGGTTCTCATGCAAAGAGTGGGGTCAAGCTGACCGCGTGCTACTGGGTAGTATATCAGGTTCATGGCTGTTTCGGTTATTCTACGTCTTGTAACGTAAAGCAGTAACCCCAGTAGCAGTAACAAATAATACGAGCGGACAATTTACTCACGGCTCGCATTTTTCCGGAGCCACGTGTGCAACTCGCAAAAAATACACCGGTATCGTTTATTAAACTATCGAATAAGGAGCATTTACTGACATGGAGGTATTCGATTCGTCACAGACATACCAACTTTAGGATCTGATGGATCTAGGGACCTCTTTACTTCAGTTGCCCAGTTATCAAAGGAATCAGCTCTTTTCTTTAGACGCAGAAGCATTGATGGCAATTCTTGCAGAGTGTATCGATATCTGTTGAGAGTGCAGATCACCATGAGTATGATCAGTTGGTAAATTGCAATTTGGAAAACACTCATGGACTTTGAAATCCATGAACCTTTCAACGCCCAGAATTGATTAGCATAAAACCTCTCCCTAAAAATCCATACGGTATCTAGCAATCAGGTGATGAAAATACTCAGACTTATCAGATAGAAGTTTCTATCTCGATCTAACACCATTTTCTTGATACTCATTAAAAAGGAAATGTGTAGCACCTAGAGGGGAGAATTGGGAATTAGATCTTGGGAGTTTAAGGGGTACAGTTGAAGTGGAGATTTCGAAGCAAACCTTAAGCTCTTGTCGGAAGGTTCACAGGGGCAGATGTCTGTGATACAGTCAAGACAGACGAGTTTCCCTGAAACAAAGAGAACGAAAACATTACTTCTCTATCATGAAAGCCATGCAAAACTTGTTAAATACAATATCATCAAGTAACGTAATGATCTTAGCAAGTGGGGTGTAGTTTAAAAAACTGTAGAAAAGATGCGTGGAAAAAATTCTAGCTACGCCGAAATTCGAACCCATGCCTCCCAGATACTAGTTGAACGCTTCTGCCAGCTGAGTAACGAAGCCTCACTTTGGGAACAAGGCACTACTTCCCCTGTAGGAATCTGGTCAAAATTTGTAACGAAACGTTCTTGACAATTAAACGAATGCGCTACGATTGTAACAACTTACCCAGACTACAATGGCACTGCACTGCAGACAGAAAACAGGTTGTTTTGCACACACCACATTGTCGTTCATCGTCTGGCAACAACTCAAATGCTTCACCTCGCTCAAACTCCGAGATGCCCTGTCAAGAAAAAGTTTCAAGAAGGAAAAAAAAAATGAAGTCTAAGGTGATCATATGACAGCTAGTTAACATTTTAACTACCATGAGTGACCAAAACACAATTTCTTTTCACAATATCAACACTAAATCAAGCAGACAAGTGACGAGAATAAAGAAAAGTATCAATAATGGGATTATTACTTGATCCAATGCCAAATTCTCAGAACTAACATCATAAGAATTGTGTGGCAAATAATAACGAGAATTACTGAATCTACCATTTTAGCCAGCCTATGCCGCCTGTTTGCTTCCTTCTCCACAACAGCCACCATCTCATCATAGACTGCCTTGGCTAAGTCCAAATCTAAACCATCAGGATCAGCAGCCATCTTACAAACTAACTCCTCATGAGAAAATACTGGGTTTCTGCTCATCTCACGGTAGTGTTGAATACACTTGCGTCCAATCGGGAGCTGTAAAGTGAGGAAAAAAAAAACATAAGCTGAGGACAAAAACCAATCAAAATGAAGGACTTAAGGTTAACAGTATGAAAGTTACTCACTTTGAAACTAAAGATAATTTTTTTTGTATTCTGCAACACAAAAATTCCTCTTGGGTTGAGATTATTACAATTTCACATGAAGTCTTAAGATGTTCCTGGTCTTCTTTGTGTGCACAATGGTTTCCATAAAGAAATGAATTGGCAATTATAGTAGAGGTTAAGAGTTTATTCACTTAGTGAAAACTAACTCAGGCTGTCAAAATTTAGCTGCATCAGGCTTTGAAGAGGCTAGAGAACTCACAAATCTGCAAAGGCTTTCCAGGCTTTCTATTTCATAATTCCACCATCTCATGGCATCACAAAAATTACTGCCACAAACTTATTACTAATTTAACCCCTAAGATTAAGAGGCTTCTAATTTTTTCCTTATAGCATCACCTTTGAATCAAATGTAAAGGTCATGGGAATAAAGGAAATAACCATACATTTAAGAAGGTCCAAATTATCAAATAAATTCTCCTTGTCATTACCATAAGAAATATAAAGAGAACAGTGTGGAGAATTTAAAAACTAATCTTAGGGTGTAAAGGATTAAGAGACTTAGAGGAGATTTGTAGTGTTCAGAGAATAAACTGAAATGTTTTCCTTCACTATTTTGTCAAATACACACTTCACACCATTGGTTTGCTGATAGTAATAGAAACACATTCAGGGAGCAGTACAATCACAACAAAAATATCATCAATACTTACCCAATCTGCTGTGGCAAAATTGACAGCTTCCGCTAAATTCAGGCCATTGTTGAATCCAGCATGGTATGCTCTGGGGAATGTGATTACAAACTCCCCTGCATATTGATTAGTTCTAACCACAGGTACACCCTTAGCGGTCAGTGCATTGGGATTAATAATGGTAACGAGTTGGTGAAGAAGGTCAGGTTGAGCTTCAAAGAGTTCAGGAGCTGCTTCCTTCATAGAGCGTTCAAAATCTTCAGCATTATCACCTGGTACACCATACCATGTTTTGGGCTCACCCCTTAAAAACAAACAAACAAGCAAGCAAACAATTAAAATCTCACTTATCACCCAGAAGTAAGTGAAAAGAGTTGAAAGGAATCACACTGAACTTATGAAAGCCAAAATGTTTTTCTTAGTAAAACAACAAATGCTCCATTAGTTTTTTAAAATTATCAACTCAGCAAAAATTTACAAATTAGAAGGTCAAAGATGTTTTGTTAAAATTATCTTTATTTCACATCTGCAACAATGTCAGAATGTTATCTCGCTCTTGGTGTTACCTTTGTGAATTAAATAAAAACAAAAGGAAAAAGGATTACAGTGAACATTTACTTTGCTTCTGCCATTATAAGAAAAAAACAATGTTCTAACCAGTGCATGTAGTTGATTGAATAACTCCAGTGATCTTCATTGTGCCAACAGAAACTGCTGAAACACATGCCGACATATATCCAAGGAACCTGTAGGAAACACAATGGAAAGAAACGACAATCAAACTATTGATTACAAAAAATTAAATAGTGTAAAAAAAATTTCTATGGTATCAACTCTTTCACTTCCAATATCAAAATATCAATTCTCAGTACTGTACTACATACATTGATTACAATTCAATAATCCTGTGCTGATTAAGACACAATGTAAATAAAAAAAAATAATGCTACAAAATAATAACAATCATGATAAAAAGAAGATCAGCAAAGGCAAGCCAGAAGTTCCAGCTGCCAGGAAGTTGATCAGATGGATCTAACTTCTAAACTTAACAAACTTCAGCATAACATTTTCAGACAATGTTTATGTAAATGCAAGCCACATTTTTTGTTTTTATAAGATTTAGTTGTCAATAACAAACCTTCATTCCTGATATATCAGCACTGATGTGGGACAACACTGATCTTTCCAGATTTGCAAGGTTATTGAGGTTCCAACCAGATTTGGCATAAAACTGAAAAACATCCACACAGAGATATAAGCAAATGAATAAAATCAATGCCCTCAGCAAAGAAACCTTCAAACTCTATAATACCACTAATGTAGTTTTACCAGCTGAGTTAATAATTTACATTGGCTGCTGTGAAGAGTTTCTAAAGCTGGCGTCTCAAGTGTCAGCCCTTTGCCTTTGTTCAAGGCTAATGCTTGAAACGCCAGCTTGGCAAATCTTTATGGTAGCCAATTTATATTTTCAACTCATTTGATGAAATCAAATAACTGTGTAATACCCCCTCCCACCAAAGCAGCACTACAGATTCCCTAAAACAACCAAAGAAATCATACATGGCATCAACAGAACCACATAACATAATAGAAACTCTTCCAAACTAAAACCAGCTATCAATTAGGCAACTTCAATCATACTTACCTGAATTACATGTATGTTTATCCCATGATCACTAAGCAGTTACAGTTCATAACTTGCCTTTACATGTCCTTTAATTTATACCCAAGGTAACAATAAATCTAAAACACACAAGCACCCTGGCTAAATACAAGCATGCACAGAGTACACACTGTTCTTGTGAATAACTTGAACCATGCTGTATAAATATTTTCAGAGCACTTTTAAGGATGATAATATGAGAAAAAATTGAAACCCTTACTTCCTCTTCATTGGTGACAGCATTAAATTTGGTTGGGAATCCACTGCCATGCGTTGCTGTATGCAGATCAGCACCATATTCAACTGTCACCTAGAGATATAATCAGGCAAACTGATAAATCTACAGTGGTGAAGATTTGAGCATTTTTCTGTGCTGTTTCTTTGATGCTACTAGAGATTGATTGATGTCAGGATAAAATCAATCTAAAGAACATTACTGTTTAGATGATCTAACTTACATCTTCATCCATTGTCGATACTAGCCTCCAGAACTCTTTCTCTACCACTTCAGTAGGTACTTGCTGAAAAAAATGCAAGAAAAAAAATTAAAATTTACAACCTACTTCATTTGGTAAAATGAAACAAAATGCACTAGTCTACACTTGGTATAATATAACACAGCCTTCAATGCATGTCCCTTCTGAAACTTTCATTTCTCATGATAATTGGTGAAAATTTCCCCATATTATCATAGGCCACAAGATATTCATAGACAGTTGATCATGCCTTGGTAGGAAGGTTACATCTCAGACAAAACAGATTATAAGTTTTTCTATGTATTCATGCAAAAATGTGCACATTACTATCAAGCATTTCTAGGAAGGGGAAACAAGAAATACCTCAGGTGGGAGTTTAAAGTACTCTTTCTTGAAATTATCTGCCATTTCTCCAAATGATTGCAATGTGTACTCTCTTTTAGCTTGCTCAAAGCCAAAGGCCTCCTGTGGCTTCTTGCACTCCTAGAGACAAGAAAGATTTAACAAAATTACTTCGAATAATCAAATAGTTGTAAAAAAATACATATATTCAGAAAATTATTCTGTAAGCCAAGCTGGTCAATCGAGATGTCAGCCAAGACAGCAGCCAGCCAGTCACATAAATGAGCCCTTAAGTCAATCAGTCTTCTAGTAAGTCAGTCTGTCTGTCTGTCACCTGGCCAGCTAAATCAGTTATTCAGTCAGTCAGTCTGTTGGTCAGTCTGTTGGTCAGTCTGTTGGTCAGTCTGTTGGTCAGTCAATCAGTCAGTCTATCTGTCTCTCAGCCAACCAGCCAGCTAAACCAGACATTCAGTCTGTCTGTCTGTCGGTCAGCTAGCTGGCTAGCCAACTAAATCAGTCACTTAGTCAGTCAGCCAACCAGCTTGACAGTCAATTAATGGTGGTTATATAATATTCAAAAGAACATTTGGAACAACATCTAAAACATCACACAAGAAAAATGATGAATTTTCCATTCTTACCTCTGCCACACATCTGGGGCATCTCCAGTCTCCCCGTGGAACAGATGTCAAGGGTGGGATAAGACAATATGTGTGGTAGCTGTCGTCACAGCCATCACATAGCAACATGCTTTCTTCAGAATCACCTCGACTGCATACTTGACAAAGGTACTCATCAGGCTAGACAAACAGAAAAATTTTAAATGACTACATCATTGCTGAGTACAATTTGGGAAATTAACCCACTTTTGTTACCAAAATTAACAATATTCAAGGCTTCATATTTTGCATCATTGTTAAATGTGCCAGCCATGGCATGTAAACCATTTAAGTCTTCAAGCCAGAAAAAACTTCAACTACATGTATGACCTAATTATTTAGAATCAGCAGTTTGTGAAATAACTGGAGAAATCAATATGCAGTCTTTAGTTTTAAATAGGTGAAGAATGCATTGATTGTGTACTCCGGTTAAAGTGATGGAGAAAAATCTTAAGATATCCAAAACTAAATTTTATCCCTTTAGTACATGTAATTAGCCTATAGACAAATGAAAATGGTGTCTTCAGAAACATTTGAATTCCAATGGCTGGGTTGTAGCTGAAAAAATTAGGTTAGTGGATGAAATCTTAATTGAGGTGGCTCAAAGATTACAATGCTATTGAACAATACTAAGTGCATAACCTCAGAGTTGCTTATTGTGCTTTTGAGCAATTGCCAGCCAAAAATCCAGCCTGCAAATTTTGCAGGCAGCCAGTACTTAGCAACAACCCTGAAAGGGAGAAACACTTTTGTGTGCTAGCATTAAAAATTCTAAGTGTATTTTTACTCCTTAGTAGCAGCTACGCCTACCAAAAGAAGCTGAGAATTTGAATAAATGTTTTTCCTGCTGGCTTGTCTTACAGGTCTTCTCCTTGTCAACTCTGGTTCCTTCTGCATTAAATTTTCCAGTTTAACTTTAACACTTTGTTTCTGTCTTGCCACTCTTTGTTTACCAGGGGATGGTGTAGAATCACCATTCATCTTTGTTTTACGAGGAGATGGTTCTGTTTTCTCTTTCTCTCTCTCTTTCTCCTTCTCTTCCCTACTGCTTGTGATTTCAATCATCACTGGGCTGTCTAGAAGTCCTGAGAGTTGAAAAAATTCTGTTTGTAAGTGACTGCTATAAATATGAAATAGCAGTAGTGAATTCTCTACAAAGTTTCTCAAACTACAGTTCAAGCAGCTAAGGTTGATTTGTGTAATTGTTTATCCCAGTAACACATGCAAGAGGGATCATAACTGTGTTACAACAATAGAAACAAAAGTGACTTATTACTATTAAGCTCTTGAATGATGTTTCTAAAGGATCTTGATATCAGCAGGCAAGTCAAGAATTTAAAGAAAGCAACAACACTTTTGAGTTTGTAAGACATGTTTTGAAAGAAACGTCTGTCATCTTCAGTTGACAGACTGAAGTCAAGTCAAGTCAAGAATTTAAAGAAAGCGACAACACTTTTGAGTTTGTAAGACATGTTTCGACAGAAATGTCTGTCATCTACAGTTGACAGACTGAATTCAAGTCAGTAAGCTCTTGACAATTTCAAAGGTTCTATGTAACACTTAATTACAGCTAGCTTGTAGAGAGCTATACTGTGTTTTAATTTGTAAAATCACAGCTGCATAGCTTTATACAATGTGTAAGATGCCTCTCCACTCCAATGAACTTTAATCTTGTATGAGGAATCTCAGGGTACAAGCACATTAATGTGGAGGATTCAAAAGGTGCCTTTCTGAGTTGTGAATGGCAGATTGCAATTTTTTTGCTTGAAATAGCTTGTTGGACTTTGAACTTCAAAGTCAACAAGGCCAAATTGATAGTTACATAATTATATAAAAAGTCCATGCAAAATTTCCTACAAGTTTGAAGATTTATACTTAGGCATTTGGCTAGATACATACCTTCTTTTATATTCACTTCTTGTTTTGGTAACAAGGTTCCCTTTGTTACACCAGCCATTTTGGGCCCTGGAGCAAGAAACTGCAGTTTCTTTAGCTCAAGGTTGTTTTCAAAGTCTACTGAATCAAGCTTTAAACACCAAAGGGAAACAGAATAAATCAGTGATTAGAAAGTGATGGCAAGAAAAATATTCAAGTCAGTATAAACATAGAAGCCTCAGGAACTTTTCACTGCAAGGCTTTAAATTTAACTCTTTTAGAATTTGCCGACTGAATTACAGAAATATCTTATGAAAATGTTTATCATATCCGTAGGAGTGTCTAGCTTCCAATTTCTCCTTACAATATCACCCCCAAATCACATGCTACGGTCACAAGAATAAAGGAAATGATTGGCAATCTAAGACTAGCTTTGATTGCTAAACAGATTACCCTTGTCAGTGTCAAAGGAGATGTAGAGAGAATGTTGATACTGATGTTGGGGTGTAAAGGGTTCTGTAAATAAAAAAGTCACAGCTTAATTAATGCCTAACCACTGAACACCAGTTGATTTCTATGAAATTTAGTGACTTTGTGGCCAAAACATTTCCCCACTTGCCATGGCCACCAAATTAGTAGTGACTTGACTATAAGCACTACCATGACAGCTATATACAACATGGGTTGAGATCTAAGTAAAACATACAGCTTACACACCTCTTCAGCTTTTATAACCTTCTTTGATCTTCGGGACATTTGGTAGTTAGTATTAACAACACCACCATTTGAAGCAAATTCTTTGTCTTTCTCATCTTTCTTGGCATCAGCACTCTATAAAAGAGAAAAGGGTGTATTGACAAAAATATTTAAAACAATGGCACCATTCTTTTATTGCCTTAAGTTGAAGCACATTTACTAAAAAAAGGACCAATTAATTACTGCAAGACTTTTGTTCACATTAACCACTCACCAGTCCCAAAAATAACTAGATTCAAAGAATGGTGGTATTTTACGCAGCACAAGACAACAATAAATAAAACAAATGAAACCTGAAACACACAGACAGACAAACAAACCACTCAGACAGAGTCACAGACAAACAGAAACACAATTGTTCACTTCAAAATTAAAATAAGTAATTAAAAAAAAAAACAGCGACAACAATCAATGTCAAGTATGTCATTGACATGTTTTCAACAGTCTACAAGAGGGATAACTCTTGATAAAACCAAACAACTAATAGGTCGTTAGAAAAAACCCATAATCTTAATTCAGCAGTATGTGTTACACGACTTCCATCCTTAAAGGATCTTTTATTACTTTTAACCCTTAAGAGTGATAAGCAGAGAGTTTCTCCTTAAAGTAATACACTGAAATTTAACATTAAGGTCATGAGAATGAAGGAATTTATCACAAACTTCATGCTCTTGATTGTTAGACAAATTCTCCTTCTATGCAACATAGGAAATGTATGGAGAACAGTATAGAGAACTTGTAAACTAATCTTAGGGTGTAAGGGTTAATCTTGCTTCTTCTTCTAATCCAGTTTATAATTGGGTTTTCTTTTAAGAGATCTCACAGCTGCAACTTCCAAATATAGACATGTATACTGTATATATTGTATATATATCTCAGAGAGACAGAAAAGCCAAGAATATCATGCACGATCAGTGATCTCCCTTCTTTTACAAACACATGAAACAAATTTTCAAACCAGTAGGGCAATATCTTTTATCTACCTGATAATTTTAAAGAATTCCAAGCTATTTTAGTTACCCCATAAAAGGAGTACACTACAATATGTCCCAAAAGATGGTGAAAAGAGAGATTGATGAGTACCAGCAGAGATTCAGAAGCTGGGCTGGAGCAGCCATGCTTTTAACCCTTTCACTCCTAGATCAAATTTGTAATTTTCTTTACTGTCAACATTACAATTCTTATGATGTTAGTTCAGAGAATTTAGTATTGGATCAGCTGATTATCCCTAAATTGATATTTTTCTTTATTCTCATCACTTATCTGGTTGATATTGTATTGATAATGTAAGGAGAAATTATGTCTTAGTCACTCATGGGAGTGAAAGGGTTAAAGGGCAGAGAAGCCTAAAGCCAAAGGGACCTTGGCCCTATTTCCACAGGGGACAGAATGGAATGATGATGATGATGATAATGTATTGCTCCAGTAAATGAAAAACTTAACTGACCCCTGGCTGAGGATCCCCAGTGAATGCTCCTGCTTGAAAAATATCGTATGGGTAAAGGTACTTTTCATAATTCATCCTCAGTAGAGATGGAGCTGACTTTCCCAGGAGATAACCCATCTGTGGAAACAATCAACAACAGCTTATCAATAAAATTTAAATAAAAGTGCCTGAGTTGCTCATGGAAAAGAAGACATCATCCCTATCTTACTTCCTATCTCACCAATAAATTACAGCCTTCCTGCAAATAATCACCTTTTTCTTTCAGTAATTCTGTAATACTGATATTTCTTAGTAGGCTTTCGTAAAAATGCTCTCCATAATTACAATAGAATTCTTTGAACAAACAGCTTGTAAGGCATACCATCTTGGGCTCATGTCCATAGAGGGAAAACAAATCAGTAAGCATACCTTTCTTGCCACAACAGACCACTTTTTCTTCCTGGTAACATATTCAAATCCTCCCTCTTCACTTACAGTCTACAAAAGAAAGTTTTCTTCAACACTCAAACAGACAATAAACTATTAGGTCTGATTCCTTAAAATAAAGTTTAGCCATTGTATAACAAAACTGTGTCCTAAACAATCCTCAATTAAACTGAACCCTTTACCTAAACATTTATATTTATGAACAGTGGAAGGACTTATTTATTGGAATCAACCCACTTAGAGAGAAAGCCTGAGGCTCACTGATTGTGGAAGACCATGGTTTAGGTTAGCCTTCCTGTAAATAACCAGTCCTTAATAGTTCAGTATCATTTATTTACAGTACCCTTTACTCTCATATGAGCAAACAGTCTTTGTTACATTGGATGTTCAGTTGCCCATATTAGACAAACTCAAGAAATGCATGAATCAAAGTGACTTTACATGCATTATCAACTTCTCCCTGTGTATCACAAGGCAAACCAAGGTAATTTGAGTGGAGAATTTAGCAGTCTATCAGAACTTGCTTCAGATTTTTCCACTGCATGTATAGATAATACAAAAGAAACTATGTTCTGAAAATGTTCACATGTTTGAATACATTTTCGATAATGATTCAGTACATTATCTGAACACATCCCATGGTATGATCACAGGCAACAAATGGTCAACCCTGAGCATATTCAATTCTAGCCACTTGTATAACCATTACTAACCAGGAAATAACCTGCTTATAAGACCAGTCTAAACATCAGTTCTGACAACAACATTTGTGTTTAAATAATAGCTAAAACAAAGTTGATTTGATCAAAGTGTTTGGGTCAATAAAATACATCTAAACATTTGATTTCTGGACGAAATAATAACAGATAAAGTGACTGTTGTGTTAGTAACTTAAAGACACTGATGTTTAATAAACTTTCCATTTCACCAAACAATTTGATTCACACCAAATAATATAGCAAACACTCCTTAGGTGATTAAAAATGTTTGCTAAACAAGAGAAAGCAGACATAGTAATATCACAAGAAATTTCCAATCAAAATCCAAGACATTTCCATTTTGGTCATTTCAAATCTTTCAGCATAATTTGTATAAAAATATTACCTATCATCCTCACATGCAGCAAAGCAATTATATTAAAACACAACCATAGGATGTTGATCAAAACAGTTAGCTCATTGACACACTTAACAAAAAGAAGCACTCTTAGACCAAGGCATGGTTTCAGGTTTTGAAGACAGTGTCACACAAAAACAGTTAAACAAGGAGTTGGCAAAGGTGCAAAGATTTCCCTTAGACTGATAGGAATCAGTGAGTTTCTTGATCAAGAACATTTCAAAACTGCATTAGAATTACCTAACAATCCATAAATGGTTTTAACACAAAGTGATTTCTATAATTGTGATATAATTGAAAGAGCTGGATGAGAATTTATAGCAAAAAAACTATGCATTTGTCATTAACAATGCTTTTAGTTTCCAGTTGTTGTTTGGTTCATAACTTCCTTTCTTCCAGTCTCAACCCAACTGAAAATGGATCTCTTTAAAACTCTGATTGCCTGAACAACATGCTACAAACTCTGCTTAATCCCCTTCAACGAATATTCACTGATGACAAATGTTATGTCATCCTAAATACGTAAATCAAGCTGAAAACATTTCACTAAAACCAAATATTTCCTTGTGATGAAGGAACAATATGGCCAACTAGAAATTACTAACATATGGTCATGATTTTGAGCAGAAATGCTTGAAATTTTCTGAGAAGTGTTGTAGAACACACCCTTGCGTAGTTGGTACCTGGCTTTAAAACATGGCTACCAAAGGGATCGCTATCTTGCGTTTCGTAATGAAACAAAGAAATTTGATAAGAAGACTGGAAATTATGAAAGATTTACTAAGGCAAAGGAGACCAAGAAGTCTATACCCCCATTTAACGAATTATCGCTGAGATCGTCTTTCCTGGTCATGAAGGGTACAAACTTCCTGGAACAAGCCGAGCGGTGCTTGAGTGATCTAAACTTTTAAGGAGATGTAATAATTAAGGCTCCACGTTGCTTACACAGCAACTGGTTCATCAAAGACTTCGTAACGAAATATCTCCCATAGTTTATTTTACCTTATGAAGACGAAAGAGATCCAAACTTTTCCTTTCAACCGTTGGTATCTTAAAAGTTGTGCCCTACAAAAAGAATCATTAAAATGGAGGAACCAGTTAGAGCGCTGAAAATTTGTTAAGAATAAGAGATGAGTTGTAAACATGGCTGCCATCGATCTTAAGGTTTCAAAGTTATGAATTTCTCATATACAAGATGGGTAACTCGTGATGTATATTTACCTGAAGTTCCCAGAATTTCGCGAGGCTATCCAAAAAGTTTAGTTTCACCCTTGTTCTCGCCTATATAAACAAAGTATCAGCTATAAACGATGATCGGTTTGGGAAAAAAAAGAAAATTGTGATGGGAGGGACACATGGTTGATTACAGCCTATAGTATAAGATTATTGATAAAACTCCGATCTTCATCAAAGAAAAGAACGTGCATCAACTTTTTCAGATGGAGCAGAATGTACAAATGAAGAATAGAGGCTACTTTATGGGTCGTTATGAGTTAAATAAAACGTTTTGTTACAAATAATATCCAATGGATTTCTTGAAAAAGACGAACAACTATGTGTTACCTCAAGTTCATTGAGACGCTGAACCCTCGGCGTAAATCTAAAAGTTTCCACATCTACAGAAAACGGAGGCTGCCATTCCTACAATTAAACATTGAAATTTGTTTTAAGTCCTCTCTTTCCCGAAATAATGCCTTCACCTAAGATAAATAAAACTTGGTAATCGAAAAAAGAATATTTCTAACCGGGGGAGGCCGGACTTTGCAGATGCCAGTTCTCTCCGCGTAAGGCCTTATCTTTGCAATATACGCCAAAGGGTCCTGGAATTCCTCTTCAGTTGGTTCGAAAACTGGGGCCTCTGGAGGTGGAGTGAAAACGAACTCTTCCCCTTCTTCCTCCATGGCTGTTGTTGAGTCAGGACAGGACCAGCCATTTCAAAACAAAGGACTCACATTTCTTACAAACCAACGCCATTTTTAAAATCGACTAATCATCTCATCTGACTGACGGCTACTGTGTCCTTATATAATCAAAGTCACATGATCAACTTTCCTAGTTGTGATTGGCTCTGTGGTTTTTTGTGACGTTAAGTTCCGTTGAAATGGAACGGGATCCGACACATAAAAAACTCAAATTAACGTTAGTAAACAAAACATTTATGTAACAGGAATATTTTCTATAGACACAACTAAAGCCATATGGGAATTTTATTAATCAGCTGTGGTTTAACGTTTCTGTTAATCAAGGAGAAGGGTAATTTTCGTGACCTCCCTGTGAAAACGCACGTTTCCTGTCAATGATATAACTTGAATACTAATTTCACGTGATTCGTGTTGCCACAAGTTTCAGGTCAGTTTATGCTCGATTTGATCACGGGAATAATAATGATAATGATGATAATGATAATAATGATGATGATGATAATAGGAATAATAATAATAATAATAATAATAATAATAAAAACAATAATGATAAAAAGAACACCAGCCAACTGACTGTGATAGAAGTTATAATAATGATAATAATAGTAATAATAATAATAATAATAATAATAATAATTAGTACAGATCGAGTGGTGTACAGATCAAACAATTAGATATTCATAAATGACGAGTTTTGGAAATGCACGCCAACTGTACTTCTCAGCCTAATTAACAAACAAGTCTCAAACTTAACTAAACTTTCCCACTCTTGCTCAACAACGTAGAATTTTACTAGATTCACTGACCTCATTTCTGAATATTGGACAAGTTCTTGTAACTCGTATGACAAACGTGACTCTGAACGAAAAGTTCTCAAGGTTGTGTCTATCATCATCACAGCCAGCGCATAAGAGAGCGTCTTGTTCCTGTTTTAATTTACTATCATAACTCTTCACAATTTTTTCATTTAAATAATATTCAGTTTATTTTTCTTCAAAATTTTTTGTTCTTTTTCTCTTCTCTATTCTTCTTTCTGTTTTTATTTTTCTTTCTCTTCTATTCAACTTTCAAAGGATCTTTAAACGCCTTACTCAGCGCGGAAGCACCCATACCGGAAATAGCCGTTTACAGGGGTCCTGTTGTTTAGATGAAAGTGGAGGAGGCAGCTGTGTTCGATGTGGTACAAAGCTACTGATTTGAGAACAACTAGAAATTATTACCTTTCCTGAAGGCTTTCCATGGTGTTTGTGTTCAAGCCAGACAACATCTCTTTTCATCAACAGTTTCATTTTCTCAGTATTTCCTGTTTTTTCGCTTTTTTTTTTTTTTTTTTTTTTTTTCATTAATTTTTTTTTCATTTTCGCGCCCGTCATAGTCAAAATCAGCGGTTTTCCACTCGAAAGTTCGTTTTCCGCCAGTTTTAAAATGGCGACCAACTCACCGGAAACCAACAAGCGACGGGAATCTCCTTTGCCAACGGTAAACGAAAGGTTGGGACATCTAAAGCCTTCCAGAGAGCTACTAGAATACTACAGAAGAAAAATTGCAGAATATGATGGTGAATATGAAGAGATGGTGAGGAAACTGGAACTGTATAAGTGCACGTATGAAGAACAGGTAAAATGAAGTTGTGTTGTTGTTGAGGCAAAGAGATCACTGATCTTAATCAATATATCGATAGACGCCGACCTAGATTTTTTTTTTAATTTCCGTAGCATAAGACGCAGTGGGAACTACGACAACGCGAAGAAGAGATAGCCGAGTTGCAAAAGGCGCTTAGCGACATGCAAGTTTACTTATTCCAAGAAAGAGAACATGTCTTACGGTTGTACGCCGAAAACGACCGCCTGAAAATTCGCGAGCTCGAAGATCGCAAAAAGATACAGCATTTATTGAGCCTGTCAAAGGCGACCGTACCTGAAATTACTTACTTTCATCACCAGCCACCAGCGAAGGCTATTGTCGCGCAACATAAACCGAGAGACAAAGAGAGCGGGAGAAGGCCACTCCCTGGACGTGGCCCCGGGGGACATAAAAGAGGTAATAATGAGATATTTCCTTATCTAGTCCATTTCTGTTGTAGAGATTTCAATGAAAGAAGGTTACTCGTAGTCTGTCACTTTCTACAACGCTTCTTGCTACCATATGTTTAAGATTTGTATGGCCCTCTTGAATTGTCCGAGAAATTTTAGGAAGAGGTGGTGCTTCTCCCTTAGATCTTTTCTAAGTAAATTGAAGGCTTTTCTTCTGGAAAGGTTCATTTTTGGGTCAAAGTAGTCTTTCCCATCATCACAAGCCACTCTTAGGAGAAAAAAAAGAGAATTCCCTCAAGAATTGTCATGGGAGAATTTGGATCAGGATCACTTGTTGATATATTTGGTTATTCACTTGGCTGTCTTATTTTAGACTCCACTGGAAATTATCGTCCAGCCAGAAGTACCGCTGAAGCTGATGACAACCAGACCCTTTTGCTTCAAATAGAATCCTTGCAGGCTCAACTTGAGGAACAGACAAAGCTAGCAAAAGAACAGGTGGATGCCTTGTTAGAAGATCGCCGAGTACATATGGAAGAACAACAGGCACAGAGGGAGAGAGATGCAGACAAAATCAAAACAATGCAGGAAAAGTTGCGGAAAACACAGGATCTTCTTTATGATAGTACTAAGGATTTCCTAGAGCTGAAATATGAAATAAGAGCCAAGGAGAGACACTGGATGGTTGATAGAGACAGATTAGCTCAGGAGATTGATCACCTGAGAGAACAACTTGATGTGAGTGGTGTCAGTGTGTTAGAAGTATCAGGAGAGGTAATGGAGCCACGTCAAGCGCAATTGGTTGCAGTCCAGTCACTAAGACATCAACTTGAACAGACACAGAAACTTGCAGAAATGTATAGGGAGCAATGTATAGGCCTTGAAGATGAGTTGGCAAGAATACGAGAGAAGACTGATGTTAGTGAAGACATTTTCAAGGAGCGCTCTGAGAAGATGAGCAAGAGATTGGCATTGATGAATTCCCGATATGAAAACCTTGAGAAAAGAAGAGCCATGGAAGTTGAAGGGTTCAAAACTGATATTAAAATGCTAAGAGACAAGCTGAAGAATGTTGAGAAGCAGCTTTATAAGGTAAGAAAAAATGTTTTACCTTACATTGTAAAGTGTGATTGGACATCGCTGGAAATCTTGCTATATAAAATGCCAAACTGTGCTAAAAACAAAAGTAGGCACATGAGGAGCAGTCAAGTGTATCTCTGACTTCTTACCACATTTTGACGTCATCTGTGCTCTATTACTGAACAGTCCCATGGCAACATAGAATCTATATATTTAACCCTTTGACTCCCAGATCAAATTTCTTACTCTCCTTACTGTCAACCATACAATTCTTATAATGTTACTTTGAAGAATCTAGTATTAGATCAACTAATTATCCCCAAATTGATATTTTTCTTTACTCTCATCACTTATCTGGTTGGTATTGTAAGGAGAAATTCTGTCTTGGTCACTCATGGGAGCTAAAGGGTTAATATGATAATGGTGTTGTCATTTACGTGTCTTTCCTCCAATAGATCATAAGTATTAACTAATCATAGTTTAGCTCAGCTTATCATATGCTAGATCATGCAACTTAACAACCTGGGACAGTTTTTCAAAAGCTGGGCTAAGCTCACCCGGGGTTGGTGTGAAATTTTATTCCAGGTCTGAAGGCTTAAAAGAAAATCCATTTTAAATCTTTCTGCAATTTGAAGATTGGATGTTCCAAACAGAACTGAGAAAATTTTCCCTAAAAGGCTCTTGAACAGAGAAATACAGAAATCTGGACTCAAATTTAACCCTGTGTTAGTGCTAATCAGCCTCCGAACAATTAGGACCTGTGCCTTAGACATGAGTTCTGTTGTTAACATCAAACCATTTTGGTCTGTTCATCTCTAGGTTACAGTTTCCATGGGAGATGATTACGATGAACAAGTACTTAAAAATGTGCGAAAAACAGCAGGACGATCAAAGAAACTTGTTGGTGAACTTCACAATCTTAAAGCTAAGATATATTCTTTGGAAAATGACATAAGGCATATGGGTTGAAAAGCATGAACAAGAGAAGACAATTTTCCACCGTCTTGCCAAGTTTTGTTTTCAGCTTCACATTTAGACACCCTTTTATCAAGCATTTAGTAATTCATGTAATATATATATTTTAATATCTTTTGAATTGGTTTTTTTTAGTATCAATGTTGTATTTTTTAAAAGTATGAATTAAAAAAACTGTTGTTGTAGAATATTGTCTCACTAATTGGAGGCTCAGATACTCTCTATGTTAATGACCCAACAACTTCCAAGATCCAATTAGTATTTCTTGTTACTTATTGCTATACTTTTCCTTGTAACTTAGACCAGAGAATTTGGTCTTATTTCAAATGCTGTTGATACCCTTTAGCTTATAAGCTTGTTGGTTCTTATAACCTGTTTACAAGAGAACTTGGTGGCATTTCAAGGAGAAGTTACAACTTAATCACTTCTAGGAATTAGAGGGTTACTGGTAAGAGTTCCAAAATTTAAATTAAGCAGAAAAAATTATCAAGCTATTGGAAGACTTGACCCCCTCTATCAATTCTAGCCTTCACCCCCCCCCCCACCCACCCACACACATGCACGCACGCACGCACACACTCAAGAAAGGGAGAGGGGAAGGGGTTAGGGAAGGGGGGTGTAAACTTGTTTCCTTTATGGCAGCTGGTAATGGAACTTAGGTTGTGATAAGGAGCTGAACTCACCTCATTAACACATTTGGTTTATAGGGTCAATTTGGCAGGCCATATTTCACTGTGCAGCCAGCTAAATTTAAAAGTTTGTTTGCAATCTTCCCTCTCTATTTGAACCCAGAGATATAATAAATATCTGATCTCTTCTTGATCAGTACTTGGGTTAGAAAACCCCATTTTTTCCACTTGCATTTGTGGCTTTTTTTGTTTCAACCACAGGGCAAGTGGAAAAAAACTTGGTTTGTAATTTACACTATGGACTTCAAACTCAGTTAGTATGACATATATCTACAACAACATGGTGTAGTTTAAAAACATTTAATGAGTTCGTGACCCTAATTTACTCCTCAAACTAAAATAGAACAAGCAAATTATTATACTTTCAATAGGCCTTGTCCTGATATTATAATTGTAAAGAGAATCAGAGTAATCCTTATTCAATTATGTACACACTCAAAATAGTACATCTATGCAAAAATAGATTGCTCTTGACAACCAAAAATTTTCAATATATAATCCTCTCTACAATCTATTGTGACCTAGAGTTTACAAACTGAGAACTCAAATTAATGTCAGGCTTAACACCTATAGTAGTTAATAGGTTGAGAAAATGAAAAAAAATGCCCATATTTCTCCCTTCACCAAGGATTCCCAGTCTGTAATAGAGAAAACCTACAAAAATTGAAAAGAATACTAACTGTATCACTTCCAAGAGTGACAAAGACTTAATTCCTTAATACTGATACAGTATTAAGCAGACAGATGTTGAGAATAAAGAAAAATATCAACAAGATAATTATTTAATTTTACCCCAAACTCTTAGAGCAAAAACTATTAGTAATGTTTGACAGACATGAAGCAGAATTATTGAGATCTTGGGACTGAAAGGGTCAATGATTACGTACATAAATTTGCTGCGAATTTGTATTAATTAAAGGATAACTATGTTCTTAATAAATTCACAACACTCCACTTTTTGCATTGTCATCTAACTGATCACTGCCACTGTTTTAAAACTGTAACTCTAGGGTGATTTTCCTTTGCTGTAGAACACATTTGTCTTATTACTTCTAATCATGTAAAAATATCTTAAATGAGTGTAGTCATATCTGTAAGAATGTGCGATGACAGCTGAATAAGGTCATAATAAGCAGACAATATCAATGCTTACTGGTAACACCACAGCATGAATGTTAGGCATTTTGCTTTCAATAATATTTTCTTGTTTTGTTTGTTGTTGTTGTTTTTTTTTAAAGGGGTAATATTTATTTAGTCTCCTTTGCAGCCTTTGTTGACTTTTTAGACTAAAGAAATTAAATGAATACATCTTGGAGTAACCAAAGTTTGAAAATTATCACTGGAGTCTCTAGTTGAAATTACTCCTTAACAGATCTGCCATTGTTGACTTGTCTTTCTACCTGTGTACACTACACACACCTGTTGTGTAAAATACTTCTTTTCATGTTAATGGAACAATATTCACCACCAACATTCAATTTTAAGACTACAACCAGCCAGAATGGATGATCAAATATTCTGACATGATCACTTCATTAACTGTCAAACTTAGAAAACCACAAAAGACCTACCCTGCATATTTGAGTATTTGGGTAGCCTGTGAGCAGGCAGTCAATAGTTCACAACAGGATGCAGGTTTCTCTCCCCATGGAAAGATAAGATGAGTCATGGAGAGGTTTGCTGTAAGTCTGGCACTATCATTACTAGAGCTCTTGCAGACCTCTTGCTAGCTTATGTTGCTCAAGCCTTCCTACTTTTCCATGGGCAAAGAGACACTGATGCTGAAGTGCTAGTATAATTATAGTAATGGTCTGTACACAGGCTAGATTTTGGGTACCCTGTTGATCTTCGATATCTGGACTCACCAGCAAATTGCCAAACCACACACTTATTTCTGTTGCAAGACACATACAGTTTAGCTGCTTTGGGCCTGACTGTCTTCTTTCCCTTTCGCCACAACAATCCAGCAGTATTTCCAGTGTTCACAGTTTTCTGAGTTTGACAGTATAGGATTCTCTATCATACTGTTCTAACAGACATTTCATTGAATAATGAGCTATACCATATAAGTTATGAAAATATAGCAAGTTTATATGAATTTCCTTCCTCTAAAATAGTAATTTTCAGGCAAGGGATAGTTAAGACTTCTGATCTGTCATTTACCACAGACTGTGCCATCTCTGGCAAATGGACACCTTTCACTATTCGAGTGATATATTTCCCTGGATAAAGTATCAAGATCTATGAAAAATGGATGAGGGTGATGAGTGAATGGGAAATTGGGTATTAATGTCATATGGGAGTCGAACAGTTTCTTGCAGGCATGGACACAGGGCTCATTTTTGGCAAGGGCCTTCCAACACTTTTGCTGTTGTATCTGGAGCGCCATTTACCAAACAATCCTTTTCTATTAAGAGTTGAATTTGAGCCATGAAGATCGTCGGACATTGTCTGATCAGAACCCTACAGAACAGAAAAAGAGGGAAAGAAACAGATGAAGTGCTGTGTCTTTCACACCTGATATGAATGAAATATAAGCTGTAAATTTTGTTTTTCTCAACCCCAATGCCAAAAAGTTCATAACCCAAGTCATGCTACTGAAGACCCTGGCTTGTTCTTTCACATGGCATCTCAGAGTTAGGTTTGTCACAGGAAAAGCTGACCGAAAAAAAAAAAATTTTGCGAATCAATCAAGACATTTTGAATGAAATAAAAAGATAAAAAATAAAAAGAAAGTATACATTAGATTAGAGTAATTAAAGTCATCTTATGTCTATGCCTAGTTATAGTTAGTTATAAAGCTTGCTATGCAATTAGGATGACTCAAAAATGCTTCCATTAACATCAAATTAAAAATTAAAAATTCCACCAGAAACTTTCATGATTAGTTTCTCTTCTATACTCACTGATAGAACTAAGAATTCTAGACTTGCTGTCTCTGGATTGGGATTTTTTTCTCTTTCCTTTCTCTCGTTTGCTCTTGGCATCTTTTCTGGCCTTTTCTGGATTAAGCCCCACAAGGTACTGTTTTTTTTTTTATTATAAGGAATTAGCAGCTGGTTAGCACTATCATAAGAACAAATCATCACTATTGTGTTAAAACTATCAAAATATCTTTTATCAAATAAATGATAACCTTCAATTTTTAACGTTAGTGTTAGTTATAAAATAAAAATGATAAAAGCTGCAGAACTCTATCACAGCACCAGGAAGAGATTAAAAAAAAGAGAAAAAAGGGCTTGACACTTAAAAATTTCAATTGCAAACACCAGGCTCTCATTTCTTTTTTTTTTTTTTTTTGGGGGGGGGGGGGGAAAGAGATAGGGTGGGGCACAAATTCACATTCACATTTGACTGCAGATTGCATGGTCTCCTTGAATTTAATTTTGTCATGACAAATCTGGAAGGCTACTTGCAGTTAGTTTCACTTTCTCCTTATAATCTCAAAGGGGAGCTGTAATATCAAACGTGGCTGCTCAATATCAGGTAAAGTCTAGGGAGTCTGTCAGCGCTGTAATAAGGTATTGAATGAAAACAAGAAGATAGGAACTGCATTTTGCAGGAATTTGTTCTGAATATTGTGCCAAATAGCAATCTTAGGAGTAAAAATGATAAAAAATGACAGGAGAAATAACAAACAGAAACCTGTTTTATATCTCTCATGAGTACTTACTGCTTCAGTAAAAGCACTATCTAAAGATGAAATACTGCTGCTTTTCTTCAGTTCTGAAAACTCTAGAGGCAAATAAAAAGAAGTACTTTATGTCAAGACCAAATAAAAAGAGTTGGCAATGGTAGAATGACCTTCGAGCTATTTGGTCAAGAATTGGGTATAATTTAATGGGAAAACATTTATGAATTTAATAGATGCCTATTTACCAACTTAAATGTTAAAAACTTTGACATTTATAGAGCTATCCATCTTCTGAGCATATCTCTCGCAAAGGTAAACTGTGCAATACAGTTTCTGACAATGGAAATTCTAAGAAGTGTTATGGATTTTTTTTTGTTTTAAAATTTGTTTGTATCATTTTGGGGGCACGTGCAAAATTCCCTCTCAAAAAGTTGTAAAGTGCTCGATTCAGTCTGGCCAAAGAGTAAAAAAAGTAAAAGTACTCTAAAGTACATTAGAGCATATTCACATGGAGAATGCACTATAAAAATGTATCATTATCATTATCAAAATAATAAGAGGTCAGTCTGAGTACCAGTAGCACAATACAGTTCCCACCCCTCCCCATCAAAAGCAAAAATTCCAGAGTACCCCTCTACCTAATATGGCCTAACTTAACACACCTCCAGTCTCATTAATGTTCAAAAGTGAACTAGAAAGTTGTTTTGATCCCATCAAGCCAGTGTTTAAGGAATCCATTGAACCTGCACTGTCAATCAAACTGATTGTATCTGGGGATGGCTGCTTGACTTTCTTTGGCAATGTTAATGATGCACGATTTATATCCATCCCTGATCTGTTGAACCTGGTTCCAAGGTGCTTCTGTTTCTCTGTCGCTGTTAATTAAAGGTTAGCACATAAATAAACTTCATGGTTCAACACAATAATACTCAGGCAAAAAACTTTGCAAGAAATATTCTCATTCACACCCACTTGAACCTCTGTGATAAATATTAAAAGATAACATAAAAACTCTGTGATTTATCACAACACAGACGTCACGTAACTTTTTTCTTTGGATAACTTTCAAAACTTTGCTTTCATGAGAGTTTTCCAGAGCTGTGAACGTCAGATTTTTTGGATAAGAACCTTTAAACACCAGATGACTCTTCTATGAGCTCAGTGCAGTTTTAGTAGAGTAAGATCTTTGTTAGGATCATAGCAACCTAACTTGTTATCTGTGAGAAATTACTGCTCTACTTCCTGCAAATACTTGCTTGCATTCCCTTCCTGTTGTTTATGCCCTACCTCTTATTATCTGTAGATTCTGCATTCATTCTCATCAAGGTACAGATCATACTTAGGTATTTAATCTTATCATTAATTTGTAAAAATTCTTCGATAAACGTGTACTGTCTAAATATCTTAAATCCCAGATATAACTAGCTTGAGCTGTTTTACAGCAAAAGAACTATAAAATTTTTGTCCAAAATTAATTGTGAATAACTTGAGCAAACAGTCAACTAGAGAAGGTTAACTACTTACTAATTCGGTCACTTTCCATTTCATTTGTCTGCAAAAAAAACCACACACATTCATCAGGAAAGTGTCAAACACCACATAATTCTAAATTCCAATTGGACCTGGAGACAGTGGAATGTCTTTTGCTAAATTTTTATTAATATTATTATTACTGATATTTACCATCCAAATGTCAATCAAGCAGTCACTACTTTAATTAATACAAACCTCCTCTATGCAGTCAACAAGTTCGTCAACAAACACCTTTCTTGTTTCTTCATCCTTGGCATTAAAAAAGGCCAGAACCTATAAAATGACACCAAGATATACCAGTAAGTAACACTTATAAGACACTTATAAGCAACACATAGCAAATCGTTAACTTCCCGAGATATTAATTAGAACATAACTGTAACTTTGGCGTTGAATTGGTTGTCAAACATAGAATGCAAATTCAAGCTGAATAGTTCTATACATACCCTGCTATCTAGTTTTGAATAAATCTGTATTCCAAAAGGATAACCTGCGAAGGAAAGATCAACAGCAACTCAGAGTCAAATCAGGATTCAACTGAACTATTTTTCTACATTCTACATAATACATAGGTAGCTCCAACTATTGGATATATTAGGGAGGTGTGCCCTTGGATTTGCCACACAAGCAAATTTGGATCCTTTTCAATTTCAAGACTGTTCATGTTCGCAGTCCAGATTTTCTCACTTAGACTCTAGTCCCTTGCTGTTACACAATAGGTTCATTGACTTCGTCTTCTCGGATAGGACGTAAAACCGTAGGCCCCGTCTCCTGCAGGGTTGGGGTAGGAGACGTTAATTTCCCACCCACGAGATTACTGTGTGGTGGATGTCCTCCCCTGGGGTGGGATGGGTGGAAGAGACACTAATTGTAAAGCGCCTTTGATCATATAAATGTTAAAGGGCGCTATAGAAGTAAATAAATTATTAAATTATTATTATAATTACTTACAGTCCTTTGAAAAGGTGGATACTTTTAGTCCACACAAGGAGAAGGACAGCTTGTAGCTGTAATAATGAATCCCCTCTCCGCGACCAGCTCTACCTCGTTCTTTAGTGGCCTGAAAAAGAATAACAACAGATCTTTAAGTACCAATTAAAAGTGCAAAAATATCTGATAATTTCCTGTCATTATGAGAGTTGCATTCACTAAGCAACAAAAGGTATAACATGAAAAAAAAAAAAACAATGAAAAAGGGTCACACCAAAGCATGCTAGTTCACCAAAAATGGTTTTTGCAAACCACGGAGCAAAAAATTTAAACTGTTGAGTCAGGTATACTCACTCACCACTAGCATGTCATTAAAGAGAAAGATAACTCTGGGGTGAGCTTTCTCCTTCTTGTTTGGATCCCGCACGTCGTACAGAGGGGTCAGCAATCTAAGCTGTCTATGAAGAGCAGCCAGTGTCTGAAAAGACAGAGATGGTGCAATGTATGATCATAACAATCACACCTCAATAAGCAGACCATTCACCATAAATGTGGGTTCACTAGAAAGGGTTGGGAAGAATATTGTCTTTACATTTAAATTTCTTCTGTCTGCTCTTGGAGGCCTAATTCACTACTCAGTGAAACAAAAATAATTCAAAAAGCACTTTTAAATTTGTAACCATGAAGTAGACGCTCCAGGTACTATTGGAAAATAAACTGATTTTTACATTTTGCATTACTCAAGAGTTCTTCTCTCCAGAGACCTGGACACTACAGGGCATGAAATTAAATTTTTTTATTCTGATAGCCACTTGGCTCCTAAATTCTTCGAAGTGGCAGCCAATTCAAAAAAAGTTGGTCGCCATTTTTAAAGACAAAAAAAACCTTTTGTTACACTGTTAGCATTCTAGATAGACCCTCCAAAATTAAGTGAAGGAAAAGATCTTTAACATGCTACAAAGTGGACAATAGGATGTATGATATACAAAGTTCAAGCTCACTTAAATCCAAGATGGTGTCTAGTTATTGATCGAGATGCATGTGCCGCATTTTGGAAACAAACTTAATGAGGAAGTTTGCCGTGGATTTATCTTTGTAAATCTTTTTCATTCACTATATCTCTTGGTAGGGTTATGATGAAACATGCTAGTCACCAATTTGGCAACTAATTTTCAGGATTTGGTCACCAAAGTTAAAAATTTAGTTGCATTGGTGCCTGTATTAGTTGCAATTTCCTCTACACCATAAGTACCCATCAATAACATAGATATTAAAAGCCTTTCTCATCATGTTATCTCCATCTTGAGAAGCTGTAAATTTTTTCAGAGTTAAAAACCCTCTTCATTATTAAAGGACAACTTACAGTCCAAGGTGATCTTGTTCCAACAATCTTTTTACTCAGTTTCTCAACAGCATTGACATGATCTTTTCCTGGAGAAAATGCTTTCTGCAAAATTGTATATGGTGAGTAGCGAGAGCATGTATTAAATATGCTGAATAAAGAATAACCATCAGATCAGCAGGTCAAGAGCTTCTCCCGCACACCAAAAAACTGATCACCGACTAACTGTACAAGGCAGTGTTCCATTAAAAATTGATGTTGGATACCTTTTTTACTCTATTGTAGATCGCTAACAAACTCTCTTCTGGAAAATCTCCACCATTGTTGGTACCTAATGAATATTAATACTGAGTTAACCTACAGGGTTTTGAGGTGCACATTTAATAAAATTGTTCTTGCAGATGAAACACTATCACACTGAAAGGAAATTGAAGGAAGCTATTTCTCCCAACAATATCAATGTAATATTAACCAGATAAGTGATGAGAAAAAAGAAAATCAATTTAGGGATAATTTGTTGATCCAATACCAAATTCTCCGAACCAACATTATGAGAATTGTATGGTTGACAGTAAGGAGAACTAAAAATTTGATTTTGGAGTTCAAGGGTTAAGGGTTTATTCAGCTCAGCCTTTATATCATCACTGATATTGTGCTGAAATAAAAGTTGAACTTTAACTTTGTGTTACTTAACGTAATTTCCAGCCGTTTACCTGCAAGGCCAATTACCCGCACCGGCCAATTATTGCATGCAGCAAAAAAAAAGTCAACAGATTACCTGCACTGGTGGATAACCCGCATGTTATGTTATTCAACTTTTTGGTGACGAAAATGTGTCATTAAGGTGATACATTTCAGTCATTTAAAAGTTGTCTGATCTAAGTTTTGAAAACTTGAAAGCTTTTTTGTTGAGTTTTAAGGTCAAAGAAATTCAGACGCGTGCACAATTCTGTGTCAATACTAGCATGTACTTTATTGATAAAATTATAAAGTAAAAACACAAGCGGTTCATGCCCAAATCTCAACATTTCATACTTGACAGAATGCGAATTTGTGGCCACATTTTGTGCAAGCGATTGTTCAGCGCCATGTTGATTTGTTGAAAGAAAGCTGGGCGAGTGTTAAAATCTGAATTATAAAGTACTGTCAGTTCAGAAAAAAAATCGATATCTCTGGTTCAATTGGGCCTAACAAGTCCCTTAAAATGGGAAAATTCTCTTTAACTCAAGCTAGTGTTATCTTTGGATTATTTTTGTCTCCATCAAGGTTTTGTTTTCACGCATGCTGATAACAATTTGTTTGTCACGCAACTAATTATGCGTGAAATAAACTCGAGTCAGCATCATGTTTTCATGCCGCTTTGTGGCACTCTTAATACAATAATATTCATTTGAGAGGTGGAAACGCATGTAGGTGACATAACCCGCACCACTCTATTACCCACAGTGGCATGCATTTAATGCAAAATCAACAGATTACCTGCGGGTAAACGGCTGGAGATTATGGTACTTCATTCAATTTATTAACAAATTGACATATGTCTTCACATAGTCTCAGTAAGCAAAACTGTTGATTGTTTTAGAGGTTACCAAATACAAAATGTTCTAGATTATCACTTTTCAAAAACTGTAAGCCATAAAAACTGCTGCATTCAACTTTGAAAATCAGTACCATTAGGTATGTATGTTTGAAACTAACAAAAAAAAATTGAGAGCTCCACCAAAACAGAGAACTTCTAACATGATAATGAGTTAACATGATAATGAGTTAACATGATAATGAGTTAGTTTGAAATCTCAGATGATAAAATGAGAAAAATATTAATAGGAAATGTACCCCTTAAGTTATTGATGAAGTCAGCTTCTGTCATCCTTCGTTTCACATTGGGACTATGAAGATCAGTGTTCAACATCACAATGGCAAATGCCAGAATAAGGATTGTATCCACTGCGCCCTTTTCATTAACACGGTTACATGCAACATACTGTGTGGCAAACTCCTACACAAGACAAATATATCAGTAAGGACACGTAGCTCTTTGTACTTTGATCAGACTGTTGATAGTAACATCAACTAGCATGTAGCCTTACCAGCATGAGTTTTTCAATTTTCTGTGCTTCCCCCTGAAACATCAAAGAAAAAACTGTCAACCCTTTTACTCCCACAAGTGACCAAAACAGAATTTCTCCTCGCAATATCAATATGATACCAAGCCGCTGAGAGATGAGAAGATAGAAAAATATAAATAGGGGGATTATTGGTTAATCTAATACCAAATTCTTTGCACTAACATCATAAGAATTATATGACATACAGTAAGGAGGATTACTCAAAAGATCTTAGGAGTGAACAGGTTAACTTGATGCAATCACCAGGGCTGAGGTGCACTAAATTCAATTATCTGTTAGATACTGAGAAAGAAGGAAAGGAAGACAACAACAAAAAATAATTTTCACAATGTGCAAACCCAAACTAAATCATGGGTAAGAACAAAAACTTTACGCATGAGACTTTCTTACAGTCTACACTCAAATTGATAGAAAACAGGTTTTGTATATAAAAAGACAAGAGGCAAACCTACTGGTAATCTTTTACAGCATATAGTCAAATTGATAGAAATCAGCTTTTGTATATAAACAGATGAGAAGAAACATACTGGTAATCTGAACGAAGTCTGGTATACTCGCAGAGCCTCATCAACCTCCATTCCAGTAAAATCCATTGACTGCACAAAGTACCTGTCACGAGAAGGAAAAAAAAAAAAGAGATGAAAATTGTGTTTTACTGCATAATAGAAAGATTGAGCAAAGGTTGTAGGTAAACACAGAACTTTATGATATTCTCCTCCCATAAATGAATACTTCATTGGATAAAGCATCTCCATGTTAAGAATTATGCAGAGTTTGAATTATATTTTATGCTGTGTACCCTGTGTAAGAGGTTAATTTGAGTTAAAGCTACTGGTAGTTACTTACTTTAAAACTTCCATGTTGAATTCATTTTGCAAATTACCCAAGTACTCTCCAAGTTTCTGCTTACTGATGCCAGGTTCACTCAACAGAAACTTTGCAACCACTTCAGGACTGTCTTCCAACACTTGGTGGGCTACAAGATAATTAATTCCTTTCTCTGGCTTCCTGTAAAATTGCATTTTCAAACCATATCCAAATCAGAGGTAGATTTAAGGGATGTAAAAGGTGTTTTAAAACTTATTACACAAGTATCAATCAATCAACCAATCAGGCAGTCGCTCTGTAATTTAAACATTCAGTCAATCAGTCTGTAAGTCAGTCAGTCAGTCACCCATTCAGAAAGTCATTCAGACAGTCATTCATTTAACCATTCATTCAGTCAGTTAGTCAGTCAGTCAGTCAGTCAGTCAGTCAGTCAGTCAGTCAGTCAGTCAGCCAGCTAGCCAGCTTGCCAGTCAGTCAGTCAGCCAGCTAGCCAGCTTGCCAGTCAGTCAGTCAGCCATTCATTCATTCATTCAGTCAGTCATTCGTTCATTGCCATTCATTCATTGCCATTCATTCAGTCAGTCAGTTCAGCAACTTATCAATACTATTTCATTACAACAAAACCTATAACCATAGAACAAATTTTCCAAAAAATGATCAAATTGTGATCATGGTCTCAGGGCTAAAAATTGGCGGTCACACAATCACCAGTGGCGAGTTAAAACTGACAAGGGCCACCAAAAGTTAAGGTTTGAATGCCTGATGTGCAACTATGCTACAGAATTTCAAAAAGTTGCAATGTAAATGCGAAGTACAAAGTTAAAAATAAAACTCAATATGTAATTCAATTGGACTACCTTTCTCTTCGTTTCTTTGCCTGGACTCTAAGATCATCCATTTTAGTGAATTTTTAGTTCTGAAGTGGAAATTCCGGGTGTTTTAACAGTGATTTCACAAGTGATCCACATTCACGACATATAGACACCATTTTGATTTTGTGATTGCCACATGACTCTGTACTTTTGTATTCTTTCCATTTAGTTAACCCTTCGTTAAAAGCCATGGGGCATTTATTCAAGTTTTTCATTTTAAACTAGAGGAAATCGAGGGCTACTTCATTTTGGGATGGGCCGCCGAGAAATCAAGGAAACTGGCCTGACTGGCCACCAAGTACTGGAGTTAATTTTTAGCCCTGTAGTTTGAGAACACAAAAGAGTCAACAGTGACATTAGAAAGACCAGAGTCACCTCATTCATTCATTCTGTGAGTCAGTCAGTCAGTCAGCCACCAAGTCATTCAGTCATTCATTCAGTCATTCAGTCATTCAGTTAATCATTCAATCAGTCGGTTAGTCAGTCAGTCAGTTGGTCAGCCAGTCAGTCAGCCAGCTTGCCAGTCAGTCAGTCAGTCAGTCATTCATTCATTCAGTCATTCATTCAGTCAGTCAGTCAGCCATTAAGTCAGTCAGTCAGTTCAGCGACTCATGAGTACTTTTTCATTACAACAAAAACTATAACCACAGGATGAATTCCCAAAATGATCAAATTATGATTTTGATCCGAGAACAAAAAACAGTCAATGGAAACACCAGAAAGACAAGAGTCACCTGTTCATATACAAAATTAGCCAATCACTTTAGAGGAAACGAACAATGATTGGAACTAAATTCAATTGTGGCAATTAGACCTTCGGACAAAAGCAAACAAAGCTTACAAAGAATCTTGACTAGATTCATAGAACATTTCTGCTAATTGGACTGGAAAATTTAATGTATATCATGTGAGTCAAGGTAGTTAAACTGTAACATATTTAAGAGAAAGGTAAAGTACATGTTTTTTTGTGTGTGTGTCTAGCGTTATGTTGAAAAAATCCATCCAACAAAAGGAAATGACTGAAAAGCCAAGCATACCTATTAAAGTGGTTTATACCAATCCTGGTCTCCAACTTCTGAGGTTTTGTTCCAGATTCAAATTCTGAATAAAGACTTGAAGTGTCATCATCAGTGCTAGAAGGAACTGATGTGCAGAGTCCATCAATACTGTCCACACTGCTGAGGTCTCTTCTCATTTCATCCCCTAGGTAAAGTTATAATTGATGAAGTGATTAACATGTAATGTCTCCCTATAACATCCATACATTATCCAGCAAGCAGGTAGTGAGAATACCTGAACTCAATATATAGAAGTTGTTATCATGATCTATCATAAAATTCTTGAAACTAATTTACAAGGAAATAAGAAGCAGCTGGAGGGGAGAATTGACAATCAGATCTTGGGAGTTAAACAGTTTAAGATCACAACCAGGTTACCAACAGCTAACAAACAAAATCAACCTTAGCAATTTGCGTGTAATTGAAATGAGCAAATATGAAGTGCCTTGATTTCTTTGTTAGTTATGAAACACTAAAGACAGTTATCAAACCTGAGTCATCACTCTCATAGGTCGAGCCATCATCAGTGATTGTGTCTCTCCTTGGCCTCCCAGGCAGGTCTCCATTGAGAACCTCATTAGGCACTTTATCATCCTCCACAAAAGCATCGTCAGGCAGTGTCTCCACATTATCCATAACCTCCACTTTAACATAATGTTCCGTTTCACTAGTGACACTTCCTAGCCTTGTATCCACCTTCTCGTCTGCTGCTTCTCTTTGCTCATTCACTTTAGCATCTGTTTTATATCCTGCTCCAAAGAATATTGATGTAAGATCTGCTGGAGGATTATCCTGAGAAGAATTCAATGCAATTTCGCTGCTATACATTTGAGGTTCTGCACCAGATAAACTGTTGATATTGTCTATAATAAGTATTGACTTGACTCTTTGACTTCCTCTTTTCCTCTTTGTGATTCGCAGCACAGGTGTCACTTGAGCTTGTGAGGAATTCTCTGTCCTGGGACTTGTAATTTGAGATCGAGGATCGCTGTTTGATTTAGGTCTAAATGGATCTTTTAAAGGAGACCCTGAGTATGCCCTCATCCTTTCAAATTGTTTATCCATTCTATATTTGCGGTAGTATGATTGAATGACTCGGGCTGCCTTATGAGCAGTATCCTTGCCTCCATACTGTCGTTCCAGAACCTTCACACTTCTGTCTTGAAGTTCTGGACTAAGTTCATATTTTTTCGAAAATGATTTCTGTCTGTTCAAGCTGTCATTTCTTTTGACTGCTTTGAAAGTATCACGTTTTACTAGTTTTGGAGAGTTTTGTGGTGTTTCTGCAGCTGTTACTGTGATCATGGGAGATGTTGGGGTCTGAGGAGTTGTAACGACCTCAGAATTGCCTTCAGTTGAGCTATTTCTCTCTGGTGTATCCTGAGAAATCTTTCTGGAGTCCACCACCCTAAGTTAACAAAAAAGGCATAATCTAATTAACTCATCATACATTTGTAACCCTTTCACTCCCAAAATATCATCAACCCATCAACCCTTTAACTCCCAAGATCTGATTGTTAATTCTCCCCTGTAGCTGCTACACATTTCCTTGTAAATTAGTTATGAGAACTTGGTGCTAGATCAAGATAGCAGCTTCTACCTGATAAGTGTTAATATCCTCATCACCTGTTTGCTGAAGAATTTATAGATATTGTAGGGAGAAGTTTTATGTTAATCAGTTCTGGGAGTTAAAGGGTTAAGTGGCAATCCCACTGAGGAGTCAGCCAATGCAAATTGACTTATTTTTCAGAATTCTTACTGGTTTTGAGTTTGAAAGGCGAGTATATTTTACACCTCCAATGCCAGGTATTTGACTGTTACTCTCTAGCTTTTTATGTACTAAGTACCTAGCTAGGCACACAGACTTCAAATTTTGTGAAATACTCAGTACATCATACAGGCAATAAAGGGGTTAATTCTCCTTACTATCAACCATGCAATTCTTAAAATGTTAGGTCAGAGAATTTAGTCTTGGATCAACTAATGATCCAGGGGTTTCAATAAAAGCTAGTTACCAGCAGTCTAAGACCGCCTGTTAGACCACTCTCTGTTGTACCATTAGCCTGTGAGGAGGCTCTCCTTTTTGAGTTCCACCTTAATTCACAGCCACCTATTGTACCATCAGCAGCCACTTATGTAAAAAGTTATTGAAACCCCTGATAATCCCCTAATTAATATTTTCCTTCATTCTCATCACTAGTCTGCTTGATATTGTATTGATATTTGAAAGAGAAATTTTATTCATTTTGGTCATTCATAGGAGTTAAAAGAGTTAAGCCAACTTGAAGATAGTACTTAATCTACCCTTGAATGCAAGTATAAAAAAGTAAGAATTTAAATGTAGCTCAAGCAACCCAAATTTAGCTATTGATTTTTGCAGAGGGGATAGAAAATTCTTTGATCTCCACTGCCTGAAAGGAAAGCCTGTTTCTGTTTCGGTTAAGGCAAGGTTTAAACCTGTTCACTACTAAGATCTTAATAGTGATTCTACATTCATAATATTTTACTGAGACTTCTTTAAACAGGGCTTTTCAGCCATAATCATTCTCCGTGCTATCTGCCATAAATTTCCCATAATCTTAGTTTTGATAATTAAGAGTTGAACCCAAATATAATCCACTTATTGACACTTTTCTTTATTCTCATCACCAGTTTGCTTGATATCATATTGAGATTGTAAGGAGAAATTACTTCTTGATCACTCAAGGGAGTGTAGGGGTCAATAAGTTATCAATCTTCTACTTGAACAGACAAATCAAAGCAAGAATATTCACAGATAAACATAAAGATAAACACAAAGTCATTTATTTTTTTTTATTATTATTAAAGAATGACATTCTAAGTTTATTATTTTGTGGTACATATCAGACAAAAATTTGAAACTGAAAGACATGAAACTAGTCATTTCCTTGGATTGAATTTGCATATCAATAATTTATGAATAATCTAATTCCTTGGCAATGTTTCAAATAATTTTTCTTTTGAGTGACACTGTCAGACTAAATTGGTCATATTTGTTCAGAAAATAGGGAGAAATGTTTAGCATTTAATTGGTAAGTGGCAAGCTTCCACAACAAAAATAACCTCTTACTATCAAAAACAATTCCACTGTTTACTTATTTGAAGCACTTCGGTGATTTATTTAAAAGCAACATGATCTATTGGTAATAAACATTGCATTTACCTCAATGTTGTTGATGAAAGTAAACAATTTTAAATGAAAACACAGCGCACTTTAGACCGTAGCTCCACGTGTCTGCGCGGGTAAAAACAAAGAAATCGCCCACGCGCCAAATTAGTAGAAGCTGTTGCAATTTACTTTCGTACTTAAATTTCAAAAAAAATTTTCAACCATTCGGAAATGGCGCCGAAGAAAAATGGTTTATATCTTTTTAATACGACCAGCATAAAAATAAAAATATATATAAAAATGTTATGGAAATATGCAATAATTTCCCCTCAGGCCATGCGTAAAAATAAAAGAAATTTTTCATGAAGTATTTGAGCTTCGAAGTGGAAAGGCGACCTGTTTTGAGTTTATAACGTATCTTGTTTCTCTCTGATTTCCTCACCTGTTTTCACCATCCGCTATATTTTTTGCGCCAGTGTTGACGTTTGTCAAGCTATTGGCCCTTTCCCTTGCAATATAACGGTGGAGTTGATTTCGCTCCTTTTCCAGTTCTTTCACTCTCGACTTGAGATTTTCAATCTCTTCGTTTTTCTCGCGTATAACTTTATCTTGCTTCCAAATACATGCTTTTAGAGTGTCGACCAAGGAGTCGACGCTCGTCAGGGCATCTAGCGTTGATTCTATCGAACTCATTTTGACATCAGGTCGTGAACAACTAGCAATTCAACCGCTAATCCACACATTGTAGTAATAAATGATCAATCAGTACCCGCCATTTTGTTTACATCGCCTGAGCGAAGATCGCTGAGCCCACAGAAAAGAGCACGTGATAAATCGTAACCAATTGTGTAGTGTAATTTTTAATGACGAGCTCACGAGAGATTGTCGGAAATGTTCGGTAGAGAGTCTTGCATGCGATCGGAACTCCACTTCCGCATGAAAACATTATTAGAGGAAGTGACCGCGAATTTGGCCTTTTGGATTTTTTCGGCAGATATTTATAATGTTTCATGTTATCTCTTCAAATGTTTAAGTGATATTTTTAATCGCTCAAATAACTCAGAAAGTAGTTTTTACACAAATTCACCATCTCTTTTGAGTAGAAATGCTTTTTGAAAAATTCAAATTAAGCAATTGGGGATGGGGCATGATAGGATGATAGGATGATGGGGTTCCCCACGCCAACCCTACTCTTGGACCAGAACTTTCTCCACCGACGCCGTAAAATGTTGCCAAATATCAAGTTTGTATGCTTCAAAGACTTGAGCAGATTCAGTGAAACTTGCATGAGGTCACACACACAAAACTAATAATCGCAGTGGGATGAACCCAGGGGATTTGATGGTCCCCTCCTCCCTCCCTTGAGGAGCTTATTGGTTCATTGCAAAAAAATGGATGGTAGTAATGGTACATCCATTTGAGGAGTCCTCATCTACTTTTTATAGATCAAATAGTGATTTGAAGTATTTAGTTCTGTGGAGGAAGAAGGAATCCTCTGAACTCAGGAGAGCAGAGAACTCAGGGAAGTTGAATATATGAGGCATAGCTGATAAGAAGAAAAGAGTTTCTCATGAGCGGTTCACAAAGATATTATATCACAAGGGAGTTTTCTTTTACATCTATTTATTTCATACAATAAGCTTATTTATATTTGCATTTTTATTTGTTCTTACCTATGATCTATTGGAGGACAGATGCGCATAAATGACATCTCCATTAACAATGTGTAAAACAATTGACTCCATGTTGTTACGGGTCTGTTCCTTAACCCTTTAACTCCCAAGATCTCCTAAGTAATTCTCCTTACTGTCTACCATACAGTTCATATAATGTTAGTTTGGAGAATTTGGTATTGGATCAACTAATAATCCCCTAATTGATATTTTCTTTATTCTCATTACATGTCTGCTTGGTATTATACTGATAGTGTGAGGAGAAATTCTGTCTCGGTCACTAGTGGGACTTAAAGGGTTACTAGATCACAGAAGATGTCAGTATTTGGTAAGAACATCTATGACACACTCAGCTGAGCCTTGAGTGCCAGTTTTTGACTCTTATCATAGTTTGACATCATCTTTGCTAAATTGTTGAACAGACACATGGCAACATGGCATCTAATTAACCCTTTAACTCCCAATATCTCATTAGTAATTCTCCTTACTATCTGCCAAATAATTATCATTATGTTAGTTTGGAGAATTTGGTATCAGATCAATAAGTAATCCTATAATTGATATTTTTCCTTATTCTTATCACTTGTCTGCATGATATTGTCTAGATAGAGTAAGGAGAAATTCTGTCTTGGTCACTCATGGGAGTTAAAGTGATAAATTGATGAAAAAGCATTGAGGCTGTTGAATCAGATTCTGAATACTTATTATTGATGTTAACACATTTATTTGATTATAGCAACTAAAATACCTGTCAGAAGTAGTTTACTGTAGAGCAGTAAATTGAAATAAATCTTTGTTATAAAAATATATTACTTCCAGAACTTGATTTGAAAGTTAGAGGTAAAAATGACCTTTCACAGTATACTGAAAGTTTAGTTTGAATGTCTCCACAAATGTTTGGTAAATGACAAAGAAAACCCAAAATATATACACAAAGCAGTTTTAATTAATATAATTTCCTCCTAATAAAAGGAAATTGAACCTCCTGAGCAAATTCAAAAGGTAGATACATAGATTGGCAGCATTAACTCTTCATCAGAGTGCAACCTTTTAAATTTGCTGCAGTTGCAAGCAATTGATAAAAAGCAATTCTCTTTCTTGTTTATGTTGCAAAACAATTTTTAGAAGCTTTATATACTTAGTAGATATATATATATATATTTTTTTTTTACAATGATAACAAATGCTTATGGTGTGTGCTTAACTGCATATTATATTACTTATTATCAAATAATTTATAATGGCTTTAAATTAGCAACCACAGGGAGGTACTGTCTTCTAGTGAAGAAGACAAGGGAACAGAGCAGCTGATGACTCAAAAGTTCTGCAAATTTAAAACAATATTTTCCTATGTTACCTTAACCCTTTAACTACAAAGATCTGATTGATAATTCTCCACTAGAACTTCTAAACATTCTCTTGTAAATTAGTAACAAGAATTTGGTGTTAGATCAAGATAACAAATAACAACTTCTACATGATGAGTTTGAGTATTCTCATTACCAGTTTGCTGGCTAACATATGGATATAATAGTAAGAAGTTACATAGTCGCATATTGACAACTTCTGAGAGGTAAAGGGTTAAAGGTGATATAACACAGTAAATTGAATAAAATCATGACTATTGCCATAGTTGTTGAAACTTCAGTCCTAAATACTGATATCAATCCTTCTTAGGGCCACTCTCAGACTACACAATCAAAATTGAGTGTTAGACATGGATTTGTCAGTCTATGTCTAAATCACTATCGCTATCATCCTCTTTTTTAGCTGTCACACTTGCTGTCAACTGGCATTCCAATTCCTCAGTTAAAATGTCATTTCTGAAAAAGAAAAAGAAATTGCATTGAAGATGAACATGTATGGTAATGGTGAACTGTAATTAATAAGCTGTTCTTTAAAGTGCTAGTATCATGTTGAGGAAAAGCAGTTTCATAGGCATTGACATTATTCTAAACAATGATTTTGTATTATTTATATAATATATTCAAGATAGTACCAATATTTTTAAATATGTAAGTCAATCCTTACATAGAAGCCTTAGATAATTGTTATATTTAAAATGCAATATGCAATATTATCAATTTTTGGAATAATGATATAGATTTTTAGCTAGTTTGTAGTTAGTTTGTAGCATAGAAGAGCCACCCCTCAGATGGATATGCTAATAAACCATTATTACTATTATTATTATTATTTTTTTTTTTTATTATCATGCTACATGCTTTTTGATTAGTTGATGGGTGTGTTTAGAAGAGAGTATGTAAACCTAGTAGTGGTGTCTCTTTTCCTGTCCTTCATGAGAAATATTTATCAATTAAATGCAATAGAGGACTTTTTGCTCTGTTTCCATTTACACCTCCCTCTTGTTTCCTCTATAACTTGCTAGATCTGATTATCAACTCTCCTTTCTAGCTGCTACACATTTCCATGTAAATGAGTCATAGAAATTTAGTGTTAGATTTGAGTATTCTCATAACCTGTTTGCTGGATAACATATGAATATTAAAGAGAGAAGTTACATGTTGATCACTTGTGGGAGTTTAAGGGTAAACCACAGATCCATTGGTTCATTCTTTGACATGAAATTATTTCAGTCTGTTAGTACAGTTTGGATGGATGTAATGGCTTTGTGGGTGGTGAGATTGAGTCTAGATCTAGAATTAAAATATCAGATCTCTGCCATGTCTGCCAAACAAGTTTAATTTGTTTGAATAGCAATACTCTTGCTCTTCTTGAGCTGAAGAGCCTTGCATGAGCCAGAGCTGCAATGGGCCACTAAACTTAAAAGACTTCCATCTAAGTGCAATCTTCTCTAACTAACCAGTCAAGTTCCCCACCATGTTCGCACTTACTCAATCAAGAAGCTCTCTACATCAGAAGCAAAGAAGTCTTGTCCAAAGGTATCTTCCAGCTTAACAAAGTTGCCAATAGTTTGTCCACCTTTGTAAACAAGTAAAGCAGGGAGGCCTTCTTTTGTCTGCGATGAAATGAGATAAATGCCAAAACAGGAAAACATATTTACAATTTCATATGCCTTGGCTGGTTACAGCTAGCAGAAACTGGCTAGCCAGATTGCTAACTTTAAAAATGAATGGTGTCAAAACATTAATAAAATAATATTTTCAGAAGTTTTTAATAATTTTGTAAACAGTCTGTCAACATGGTATTTCAACTTTAGATTTGAATTGACCTGTTCACACAAATTTGATTTAAGTGACATTTTTTTTTAATGAATTGTTTATGCCAGGCTGTTCTGATCTAATTGCAAGAGCCCATAGTTGTCATCTTTTACCTATCCAGTGTTCTCCTTTATCTTAAGCACAATAGGTTAAAAAAGTATTTACACTGGTAAAGCAATCGTTTTACTTGTTGAATTTTGAAGAATTCCATGCAACTTAAGGCTATCATAAGATGTACTATAGGTTGTAAATTTTACCAGTTACTACCTGAAAAGGAGAATGCTGCCATAGCAGACAACATCTACAAGGGGATGTGGAGATGGAGTGGGAACACTCTATGCTGACAGGTGACCAGCATCATCTGCCAATCCTTGGATGGAAGCCATCCAAGGAAATGCAATGAAAAAGAACTAACACTGAGATGGAGAAGACCCCAACAAGAAGACCTATGGACTATCAAGACGACCATGGGGAGGGGTGGGTGGGGCTAAGAAAGCAGCCCAAGATTGAGAAGATGAAGGGATACACTCACAATGATCGGTCATGAGGTCCAATTATTAACTTTCCACAATTCAAATTCACAAAGTTGGTACAGAAATTTAAACTTACAAAGTTTCTGCTAATACCAGTTTCCCTTGCAATGATCTTGCAAAATTTGACCTAATTTGAATCAAAGGAAAACAGCAACAATAACATGCATCATAATTGCTTTGAAATAGGCGTGCATTTTAGCACCAAACAAATCTACACATCATTTCTCTGAGAAATAATAACTAGAATTTATTTTAAAATCATGAATATTATTACCATGCCACAATAAAAGGACCATGCAAAACAAGTTCTTCAAACAGCAATTATGATCAAACCAAATTTAAAAGTACAACCAGGACCTGTCATTATTTGTTCAGAGGGAGGAAGGAGGGAAAAAAAGGGGGGTCAATGGCTATTTCTGATTGGCTCAAGGGGGGAGGTAAACTTTTTATCATGAATTCTAAGGAGGGGTCAGCAGTTTGAGGTACATTTTATCAGTGATCCATTGCCCAAGGTGGTGTTGTGCAAAGTAATCATCTTGTGGTTGTGTGTGAAACTAATTTTAATAATTACTAGGTAATTATGAGAGGTGATATGAAGTGATGGGGGGGGAAAAGGGTGGTCATTGCATTAATATTTATAATATTTAATAAAGAAGGGGGTCACATGCTATTAACATGGCCTGAAAGTGTGGGGGGAGGGGGGGGGGGAGCAACTTATAGAAATTTTGATTCTAAATTTCCCAACATATTTTTCCTTCTTCCCCTTTATATAAAAAATAACCAGTCTCTTAGGAGGAAATCATATAGAATGATAAACATTTCTCACCAGAGAGTACTGCTGGGCTAAACACTGCAGACAACCATTCATAGCTCTACAGCTTTGAAGATCCTTATAGTATAAAAAAGGAAATTAAGAATTAAGCATGATACTTAAAATACTGCGGTATGATTTGGATAAAAACATGTTATAAATTTTTACACCCTTTTAACCCTTAAGAGTGACTAACAAATCTACTTTATCCCAACAACATTGCCCCTGAATCAAATATTATGGTAACGAGAATTAAGGAAATGATCGCAAACTCAAGAAGCTCTTGATTGTTAGACAAAATCTCCTTGTATGGAGAATATGCATGCTGATGTTGGGGTGTTAAGGATTAAAATGATGTTACCTCACTGTAAAGATGAACCACAACAATCACATTTGGGTTTTCTTTATCGACAGCATCAAGAAACTGATCCTTGTTCTGTAATGAAATTACTTTTCCAAACTTGGGGCTGAAAAGGAAAAATTTCATGATGATATCAAAATGAATAGTAATAAGTTGAGAGGACTATTGGAAAAAAAAGTGTTAAGCCACTCCTCATAAAACTGGTGGATCACACGACAATTTAGGATTACTATATTTTAATTAACCCTTTAACTCTCAAGATCTGGTTGTTAATTCTCCCATCTAACTGTTACACATTTCCTTGTAATTTAGTTATAAGAATTTGGTGTTGTATCATGATAACAACCTCTAACTGATAAGTTTGAGTAATCTCATCACCTGTTTGTTGGATAGTGTATGGTTATTGTTGGGAGAAGTTACATGTAAATCACTCTGAGAGTTAAAGGGTTAAACAAATAAATGAGAAAGGAAATTTTCAAGCTTCTTTTCCTGCAGTTTTCTCAGTCACAGTCAAAGTTCACCAATGAGGATCATTTCTTTACTTATTTTTCCTTTAATCATTAAGAAAATGGAAGTGTTTCAACCTGTTTAGTTGAAGTCTTCTTTCCTGTTCTTCCTTTAACTGAAGTAATCTTTGCAAGTGGTATTGTTGAATGAATTCATCAGTATCAAGCTCTAGCTCCTTAAGAAGTTCCTTTTCTCTTTCATCATCAAGCTGTAAATAACAAAAAATTTAATTATATTCATTTTCTAAATTGCTTATTTATATTTAGAGACATTATTTTCAAATTTTTTCTTTAACATTAAATGAAGCATTACTATTTTAACTACATTCTCCAAGAAAAAAAAATTGGAAAATATTGAAATGCACACGAGTTATTTACTGTAACTAACCTTTCCATTGTTATATAATGTATGGTGATTGGAGCTCCAAATTTAACCCCTTACACCCTAGCATCAGTATACATATTCTCCATATTGTTCTCTATAGAGTTCTAGAGGTGCTGACAAGGAGAATTTGTTGAACAATCAAGAGTCTCTTTAGTTGGTGATCATTTTTGTTATTCTTGTGACCTTTGCGTGTAATTCAGGGGGGATATTACAGGGAGATGTTAGATGCTAGTCACTCTCAGGGGGAAAAGGGTCAAATTAAGGCAGCCCACTGAAATATTAGGCAGGGAGGGGGAGGTAACATGCAATGAACTAACAAACATCCTCCAATCAATACTTTTGGAAACCTCATAAGATGGAAAGTAGTAAAAACAGCATTTGTTTGGCTTTCGATATTGAAACTTATCTACAGATTTATGTGTAAGCTCACAATAGGGTCACTGACTTTTGTTCTTATACTGATAAGTGGATATTTACACAGAGGCCTTGCTTAATCCAGGAGTTTGGTGGGTAGAAGACCTTAACCCTTTAAATCCAAGATCCGATTGTTAATTCTCCCCTGTAGCTGCTCCACATTTCTTAGTAAATTAGTTATAAGAATTCAGTTTTAGATCAAGATAACAATTTCTACCTGATAAGTTTGAGTATTCTCATGACCTGTTTGTTGGATAATGTATGGATATCATATGGATCATTTTTATGAGTTTAAGGGTTAAATGAGATAAGATGAAATGTCCACTTCTCCCTCTAGTTTAACAAGGGAATATAAGACAATTTGAGAGGAGAATATAGTAGTTCATCACAAGCCAATTAGGGACCTTTTTTCACTAACCCTATCTTATTATAAGGACAAGAGATGGCAGTTTTTTAATGACATGCATTATCAAAAACCAGGCATTTATAAAAGTTCCAAAGGCACTTTAGATATATTATATTGTTTATGTAATGATGACAACTTACACTGCTTTGGCAAGAGACAGAAAACTTCTGTGCCAATGCTCTAATTTCTTTCTCTTTTTCTTTCCGCTGTTCAGTCTCAAGTTGCTTATAGCGACGATAGTCTTGAATTACACCTTTGGGTCCTGTCTGAAGACTCAAGATCAATTATGAGTTAATAGAAAATATATAAAAAAAGAAAACCAATCTGGCAAAGGGCTAAATAAAAGGGGCAAGTTTCTGATAGAACTGTGGTGCTGTGTCTGTTGAGGAGTGTAACAAGATAATTTTGGTTTTATTAACCCTTTAACTCTGTAAGTCTCATTATTAATACTCCTTACTGTCTGCCAAATGATTCTCATTATTTTAGTTTGGAGAATTTGATATCAGATCAATTACTAATCCAATAATTGATATTTTTCTTTATTCTCATCACTTGTCTATGTGATATTGTATAGATATAGTAAGGAGAAATTATGTCTAGGTCACTCACAGGAGTTAAAGGGTTAACTAGGTTGATAAGGTAGATTGGTCACCATAACAAGTTTCAAAGCTGATGTTTCTGGCATTAGTCCTCTGTCATCACTCTAACAAAGTGCTGATGCTTGAAATGCAAGTCAGCATGTCAGCTTTGAAATTCAACCCAAAGGAGAGTTACCAAGGGTACAGTTTTTTCCCAGTATAGACTGACTGATAAATTACTTATTTATGTTTCAGCTGGTTTACTTTTTTAGCACTTTGTCATGTATGACGTGGAAAAACTTTAGACCATGGTCCATATTGCAATAAACTGGAGGGGTTGAAAGCTTATAAGCCAATCACATTGGAGGATTTAAGGTTCTTGCCCGCTGTGATGCTCCAGAAAAGATTAACTCTATTTGCAATTGATTTCTTTGATCCGAGAACTGCATGTATAATCAAGTATAGGGTGACACGGAAACCTTACCGTTGCTGTCAAATTTTTTATCAACTTTTTTCAGACATCCAACAAAATTGCGATCAATTCGCACATTCGATCACAAGAATAAGTTATCTTAAGCTTTCACAAGGTCGTTAGTTGATGAAAGGAACTTTCTATCTCTTCAAAAGAGAAAGTGTGTTTGCGGCAACTATTTATCCGTCATCATAGATCTATCAAACCATACAGTTAGCGATATGAGGTGAGGAATGAGTAAATTTATGTTTCACAGCGATAAACAGAAAATTAATCAGTGTTACGTTGATTAAACTTTCACCTTCGGAACTTCAAGTCGAAAATCCGAAGGAGCTGCTACATCGCTTAGATCGATGTTATCGTTTCTAGGGTCTTCATCGTCCATAATTTTATCATCCTCATCTTCTCCTTCACTTTCAGAGCTCGATACGTAATTTTGGGTTTTTAAACCGAGAATTTTATCGTCCAAAGTTGTCATCTTGGATGACAATAAAGTGGATTTCCACTAACGCACAACGATCAGCGGTAAACCCTTTTTCGGACTGAATGGTGGTGTAATAGTCACGATCCTTCGCATTTCATCTACATCAACTCTTCAGCTGACACGGAACTCGATCGCCAATCAAGGAAATCATGTACCTTGAACTGATGAAATGGCGCGCGTGATTAGTGCCAGTACAGGCATAAATGGGGTTAGTTTAGTCCATCATATATCTTAAACAAGCATGGTCACTTATCTTTCTTGTTTTATTTTTTGAAACAGACATTGATAGGGAACATTTCAGAAAGTCAAAACAAAGTAAGTTATCAAAAGATTACCAAATAAGGTTCAAGTTCGTGAATTTTCAACTTTCCCACATTTGTTTACTATAACAGATTTCTAAACGCGTTTCAGTCTTTTGTCGCGTTTTTGTTTGACAACGATCGTTTGTCGTGTTTTCCTTTTACATGTAAAGCTTGCGCTGAAATTGATCCATTGCGCATGCACTTGGTTGACTTTGGCTTGACGCTTAGCGTTGCCTCCAATTAACAATTGGTTCATACATCAGCGCGCGTTCATCGAGATATGAAGCACGTGGGAAGTTTGGAGAGCACGAAAGATGCGTAAGAGCTGCTCGAGGCGTAGCCGAGGGCAACTCTAGCCTCTTGAGTGCTCTCTAAACTTCCCAAGTGCTTCATATCTCGATTAACGCACAGCTGACGTGAGATCCAATTGTTTTATAACATTTTCAACCAGATGGAAAATTTTTTTCTCGAGGAATATGTTTGCTGACGTCATGAACATGCACAATAGCAATATGAAGCACGCTCGCGCAATTGAATTTGATTGGACAAATTTACTAGCTATGTTATAATAAAGCTTGTGCACGACCATGAACCATACGTCGCTAAGCACCTCTAAAGTTCCCCTAGTCTACATCCCTGTGAGTAACTCCTTGGAAGAGAAAGCCAATGTAATAAAATGGTCTTATCTCAATCTGGTAAACTGTTGTTTTTAAAAATCATAAAAATTGGCATAATTTAATTTCTTAGAGTTGAAAACCATTCAAAATTATTTCATTATTTTTTTAACTCCCGGAGCAATTCTTGATATGAGTTAACTTGGAAGTTTCCAAATAAAGACCTCCCCCATAGGGCAATACCAACTGAGGCTGAAAAAAATGGGATACTTTTAATTTTCCGGTCACTTGAAGCGCACAACCGCTATTTAGCAAGATATTCCCTCAACTATTTGCTTTTAAAATATGTCTACAACTATCAATCCCCCGCTGTGTTTTTATGTCTGACCTAATACACAAGGTATTCAAGGTCGCCAGCCTCCAATACTGATCACGAAGTTGTGTAAACTGCGATCAGTCCTTCCTTTTCGGCAAAGTCCGTTGTGCTAGTCCAAAAATAAAATTGACCTAAAAGGAAAAAACGAAGTCAGCGCGATGGCCTTCGAATTCGCCGAAAGGGAGGGATTTCATTCTAGAACTTATGCTGTTGTTGTGTTCATTTTCCTCCACCCAAAAACAAATTAAACTTCCTTGAATAACTGAACTCGCACATGGGGTAAAAAAGCGGTGAACAAAACACTTAAGAAAAGGCTAGGCAGATCTTATCGTGTCCACCACGTGCTTCAATTGTCTGTAAGGAATGAACTTCCTGTTTACTGAAACACGTACAACAATGACTTGCACCAGGGGCGGATCCTAGAATTTTTTTACATGGAGAATGCAACCCGCTCGGATGCAGAATCACAAAGTTTTTTAATACTTAATGCTAAATAGACACTCCGTCGTTTGGGAGAATATTTCTTTGAGCCAAGTTAAAAGAACAACCACAAATCTGTTGGGATCGGGCAAGGTTCGGACCCCGGCCCCTCCCCCTGGGTCAAGCACAGCGTCAAGGACCACTAATATTCAACATCCACGTGACACTGTTTAGAGGCGTAGCGGGGGGGTACTAAGGTACTCTTCAGTAAAGTGTAGGAGGGAAAAAAATAGAATAATTGACTTTCCTCCGTAAATCTTGAAAAACTAAATTAGAATCTCGCATCTCGTCATTTTGTTACTATTTTGGATAAATCTGTCCAGATTTTCTGGCGCAATGATTTACATTTTCCTCCTTTGGCTCTCCTGTGGTCACTTAGTAATGAGTGTACTATTTAATTCGGGGTTTCGCCCGATTTAACTATCATCACAGAGGGAAAAAAAGGCTTATGGAGCAAATGGACATCGAGCTCATGGCAGAGTTTGGACAAAATGTGCAACAAGTTTTGATTATCACTCTAAGAGTTGTGCGAAGAGTTGTTGCGCATCATTTTGAATTATGTTTTATGACATTCCGACCCCCGCTGCCTTCCATTTTTTTTTTTTTGGTGATCATAAACAAGAATTTGAATTTTGCGCTCAGTCTTTCTAGATATTGCGTTTTACATCCTGGTGCTATCAAAGTCTTCCTTTCATCATGTTTACACACCATTAGCAAAAAAGATTGACAGAAGAAACCATCAAGTGTTGTGGTTTCCTTACTAGGTTGATTCGCGAACGATTCATCGGTGAATCACAAAAGACCCAGTCAACACTCTTTCACCAACGACTTCCGGTATTTGTATCCGGAATTTCCAATTATGGAAACCCACGCAAATTATGGCGAGGTTCGAGATTGTATGATTTTCCCTCTTAAACCAAAAAGAAATGTGTAGAAACCTTCCGTAAGCTATCTAATGCTGATGTTTCCGTTTGGCGGTTATGTTCCATGTGATATTAGCGCTGAAGTGAATTCATTTTAAAAATGATGTCGTTCACTTTACCGAACGTGACAAGGATTTGTTGCAATGGACTTCCTTCTCATTATTTTAGAACTCGACCGGCTTTCGTGATTTTAGGAAATTTCAATTCCGTGCATGTTTCGGTTTGCGTCGAAAACCACAAATAGTACCCATTGAACCGATATTATTATTATTATCATTTTAAAAGACCATTCGTTAATCCCACACGAGATTAATATATCACGGACTCCGTGCTTGGTAACAGATCACAGATCAAGGTTAACCTTTGTATGTCAGCGATGAAAATTACCTTTTTGGGTACAGTTTTTGATTTTGTTGCCATTAAACTTTGATTGGGCGCTGAAAGAAGCAAATCGAGCCTTTTAAGATAACATCTTTGAATCGTTGACAGTTAAGAAACAAACGCAAAGCTGCAATATTTTAAAACGACCCTTGATTACCAAACCTCGTGTATTGGATAGTTTCGATTCTGATACAGTTTTAATATTTTTAGTGTCTACTGATTATTGTCATCCAAGATTAAAAAACTTAAAAAGAGAAAATATTGTTGAAACGAATCCTTGCATGTATCCTAATTTAAGATAAAATCGAACTAAATTTTTAATTGTCAAAGTTAGGTGGTTGACGTAGCTAGATTTTCAGAAGGGATCGGCAAGCGACGTCATATCCGTCTAGATTTTCAGGAGATCGTCCCAAGTAAATTATCATCCGGCGGTCGGAATGGACAAATTCTTGTCCGTCTCTAGAAAGCACGAACAGAAACCTTGGAATCTGAACTAAAACATGAACAAGTAATTAAGTTTCTCGTTTACCATTAAAATGTGTGTTATGTGTTCATTATACAAGTAGCTCAAGTACTAATGTCACATCCAGCCAATCACGTGCCGAGAATTGGCTAATTACAAAGGTCAGCGGTCCATGTGCACGTTTCCTGCGAACGACTAAGGTGTTGTTTTTCACGAGAAAAAGCACTTTAACTTCTCCTTTCCCTTATATTGACGAACAGGTTGCGGGATACGGTGGGAGATAGTTTTTCGCTCTGGACGGCGCAGATGCCGGTTTTAGCATCCACGCTCTGGGGTAGATCTTATCGAGTAATGACTAATCATCGGAGCTCATTTGCGGCATGAATGACAACGACGTGACAGCCTCTACCAAGAATCAATATCTAGATATTTGGCGAAATTCGACTCTGAAATCCTACACTAATTAAGCGACCGAATTCTTTGCAAGATTGGAATCACGAAGCTTTGTAGTTCCCTTTGTTTACGGACAACGTTAGTGGAAGTCTCTGCGATCGCAATCGCCAGAATAACTTCGAGAAATTATCGTCTGGCACTAAGTATTCTAGCGGGGAGCAATTCTTTAATTAACGTAACTAGTCAGGGTGGAAGCCACAGAGGTTTTTCTCGACCATTGATTTCGTTGTGTTCATCTTTGAGGTGTCAACGTGGTGTGAATTTCATCCTCTTTGGAAATTCTTTGTACGACTGTTGTAAACTGTGTGCGAAATACAGACCAGAAATCGATCAAAGCTGGCGGCGATCGCAAATTATAACGATATAACTTTACTCGGGTAAATCGCCGAGTGCTCAGTTGACGCGGAATCAGAAACTATGGCATCTCCGATCAAGCGAATGATGAGTTTACGGGAGACGAAGTCTAACAAGGTAAATGGTGAATCGCCTTCCCAAAGTCCAAATCGAAAGCCAAAAATCTTGAAAATTCTACGCAGACAATCATTTAATCAAGGTAGAAAGCGTAGTAATGACGAATCCAGCACTCGTTCCGCTCCAGAAGTAGTGGACGATCAACAGAATGTACCGAAACCGGTTGTGAAATCGCCTAATCAAATACGTGATTTGGAAGCCTTTCAACAGTACCACAAAGAACTACGCAGTGCAGTTCAGTATTTTATTCTTATTTTGAACAATTTCAAGAGCAACATGGACATTGTGATGGCAAAAATCCCGGACAACACTTCGATCGTGTTGGAGTCAATCATCAATATCGACAATATGCTTGATACCTGTCTGCGACTTCATAGTAGTAACAGCGATCTGTTACCTTACAGAAAATCAATTCACAAACGAATGGCAGAGCTAGTTCGATGGAGCGATCAGCTTTTGGTGCGAGGAAACGTTAAAGGCAATCTCGAAGAAGGAATCGAATGCGTTAAAGATCTTGAAGCGAGCGTGCAGGAATTAGTGGATTTGGCAATTCCGCGGCTTAGAAAACGGGAACTAAATGATGAAATTCGAAACTCAATTTTCATGTTCGAAGGAAGCAGTGAAAGTATTCAAGTTGGTGAATCGGACTACGGACATTCGTCTAATCGAAGAGATTCGGGAATCAGCGAAGGGAGTCTTGTAGATAGTGCTTGTCAGGATTCCAGTTCTTCAAGGGCTTCTCCGGCTACTTCTCGTGATTCTGGTCGCGGTTCTTATAACTACATCCTTGATCAACCTGATACAGCTCATCATAATGGATACTTAAGCCCTCCTGAACCTCCAGTCCGAGGAAGGCAGTCATTCAGGAGCACATCAAATTACAACCATCAACGCAATCCTGCCTCCTTAAAAAACTCTGACTGGTCACTCAGCCAGGCAAGCGATTCATCCAGCTATCGCTCTCTACCGCACTCACCAGTTAGTTCTCAGGATGAATTCAATGGTCATGCATTTCTATCAGCATCAAGCTCTGTTGAAGAAGAAGGATCATTCTTTTCTGCAGATGATCATGAAGAACCAGAGGGCCCTATAATCCAAGCCTCTTTTCTGGGATACATAGAGAATCATGAATTATCAACACCCAAAAAGAAATCCTTTCAAGTGTACATTGAACTTGTTGGAAATTACACTCAGCCTGCTGATGGGATCTTAAAACGGCCATCATCTGCTTATGATGGTTACCAGGAAAGTTTTCGGCGTAGCATCAGTACAAATGCAAATTCTCCCACCTCACCTGTGCTCAATAAAGAAATGTTTGCATTTCGAAACGTTGCAGATTCAGAACGTTCTCATTCTCTTCCCACCTTGCAAGCAAGTACAGGAAAACTCTCGCCTTCCCACCAAATCAAAACAAATGGAACCCTGGACTGGAACAAAAATGTCAGAACAGATTCTCAAAGGAAAAAGCTACTTCCTCTTGAGGAGGAACGGTGCCGGAAACAAAGTAACACCAGCAGTAGCTCAAGCAGTTTGAGTGGTACAGAAGATGAGGACGTCAATACCCCTGCACTCGATTGTTTGGATGTTTCGAGGTTTCTTGTCTATCGCAATGATGACGATGGGCCGACGCTCATCGGTGGAGCTATTGATGCACTCATTGTCCACGCCAGTGGTTCAACAAAGAAAGACCTGGTTTATTATGAAGCTTTCCTCACCACTTATAGAACTTTCATTTCTCCAAAGGATCTTATCACCAAACTCCTCTACAGGGAGAGAAGGTTTCGAGAGAAAGGTTCTAAGAGAGCCAGCCAAAATGCTTTCTTCTTACTTCTCAGAGTTGTTGATGAATTGACTGGAAAAGTTGAGAGAAGCATCTTGGAGCAGCTAATGAAAGAAGTGTATCGCCTTCTTGTAAATGGAGACATTGTTCTTGGGAAGATTTTGCGTGACAAAATGTTGCCAAAGTGTGACAATTACTACAAGTCGCGTTCTCCTTCGAGCATCACTCCTCCTACCCTCCCCATGGATCCAGCACAGAGGTACACAGTGTTGGATTTTAATGCTGAGGATCTTGCAAAACAACTCACCTTAATTGATGCAAGGAACTTCCACAACATTGAAATTCCAGAAATCCTTGCATGGGGTAAGGAACAAAAGGAGGAACTCTCACCAAACTTGTGCATTTTTACAGATCACTTCAACAAAGTTTCCTATTGGTGTCGTACACATGTTCTCTCATTTGAGAAACAGAAGGACAGGGAGCAGGCCTACCTTAAATTCCTGAAAATCATGAAGCATTTACGGAGGTTCAATGACTTTAACTCATTTTTTGGAATCCTTTCTGCGCTGGACTGTTCTGCAGTGAGGAGACTCAACTGGCCCAAGAATTTGCCAGAGAATCTAGCAGAGTATGCAACATTGATTGACAGCTCATCATCTTTCAGGTCATATCGGGATGCACTGGCACAAGCACAGCCACCTTGCATTCCCTATCTTGGACTCATCCTCCAAGATGTCACATTTGTTTACCATGGTAACGCAGATGAACTGCCTGATGGCAAAGTGAATTTTGTGAAGAGGTGGCAGCTTTTTAATATTGTTGACAATGTGCGACGGTTTAAACTTACAAGTTATGATTTCGAGTGGAATGATCAGATTTCACAACTATTTGCAGGAATGGACAATTTCTTGTCAGAAGAGGATCTGTATGAGAGGTCTCTTAAACTGAAGCCTCGAGAATGAACGTAACTACATCTCCTAGTTCAATTTCATGACATTTGTGGATATGTACCTCAAGGTGAAAATATTATTGCATTTATGCAGTCCACATAATATTCAATCACATTTTGAAATTTTTTAGAAAAATGCCTAAATCCTTTTTTTTTGTTTTTATTGTTTTTCTTCTTCAGGCTTCATAAATAATTTAGTGGTGGCTGGTTGTATATTGAGTGAATTGTTTCATTTTGGTGACTGTTAGCTTCTAGAAACACAGGCAATGCAAATGCCTAGGCAATATGGTGCAACCACGCTGTATAGATCTGAGAATAATTCTGTATCGATCTGAGAAAAATTCTTTGTCTGCCTCAGTGGCACCATTATTGGTTGCTTGACAATAAGAGAGAGAAAAAGCAAGTTAAGAAAGATGGGAAAAGACTTAAATACTTAAATACTCTCCTTAAATTTTACTGTCTCACTTCATGGCTCTTGCACCAAACTGTCATGAAGGCAATGAAAACTGCTAGCTACACAGCTTATATTGTGCCATGTTACCAAATTTTCATTTTAACTTGTTTTGAGTTTTAAAGAATGTGCGTGTGATGAGGTACTGTATGTATGTTTTTCCAGGATGCCAACATTAACCGATTTTTTGGGCACCAGGTTGAAAACCATTTTATATCGAGTCTGGACAATTGGTCTGTGGAAAAGCAATTGAGAGAAAATTGTGGAAAATAATTGATAGATCAAAGGTTGTCTTGTAAAGTGCATGAAAATAGCGTCACTGAATATAATCTTGCAGTTTTTCAGTTTTTAGGTTATATTTGCATGCCAACATACTAAAAAAAATCTTAGACTGTCTTTAGTAACTCAGTGTACCTATGATATAGGATTTTTATAAGTCATAGTTTGCAAGAGGTACAGTTGCATGCAGCATTTAAGGCAGGTTTTTTTTATGATGTAGCTAACGCACACTGCAATATTGCTTCTGCAACAATCTGTACCACAATTACCACACAGCAATTTGCGCAAGATGCCCATTAACAATCATCAGTTTCGGATTGTTTATATTTCAGGTTTTAAATTACAGTGATAGTTGAGGGTAATTTAACAAAGTCTGGAATTGAGAGGAAGTATACAGTTGTTCTCAATATTTTTGGTCAATGTAGACATGCATAAATTATGTTTCTAGAGGGTGTTTTTATGTTTATAAAAAATTTCACTATATAGATAAACTATTCCAGTATTATTAATATTGTTTTTATAAGCTTCTGAAACTGCAATATTATTTATGGCTTTTTGGGTCACGGCTTGATGGAATATTGGTGCTTTCAATTATCTTTTATATTTCAGGAAAGTTGAATGCAATCTATTTTGTGCAATGAAATAATTTTTATGAGAAATATGTGAGTGAGTGGTTAGGTTTTACAGTCATTTTAATTATTAACAGATAACATATTTTTGTATTTTTGAAAACAATTTTGAAAAGACAAGGAGTTTTGAGTGATCACTTGAAATCTGAGGTAGATTTGTTTATTGCATAGGATGTGGAGTGATAGGGAGAAAATTTTTTTAGTGTGTGTTTTTCAAATTATTTTTTAACATGTACATGTAAATGCTTAAAATAATTGATGTGCTTGAAGCAATTGAATTGCCTGCTTTGAGTCAAGCTGGCTCTCAGCAGGTTAAAAGATAATCTCTCTTTTCATCAATTTTATCAGATAATGTTTGTTTCAGGATAAATTACCTTTTTGCTATATCCTGTCTGACTATGCCCACTTGACAAATTTTATTTGCATGCCTTGATAAGAAGAAAATAAGCTTTACTTTACGTAACTGGCTTAAAACATTAGTGCGGAGAACAGACAAATTGCTGCAAGTTACAGTGTAGTGAAGCCAAAGTTAAATTTCGAAAGTGAAAGTGCCTGTCTGTGTGATGTTATTCCAACTTGTTATTATGAAAGAAAAGTTACAATGTCATTCTCTCAGAGAGTTAACACTGTGTCACTGCAGGAGACAATTTTAGTCACAGATTAGATAAATAGCTTGCTGTGCTTCTTATTTCTCAATGCAATCAAATTTTAGATCTCTCAAAGGAAGTTTTAAGAAGCATCTAAGTACTCCAATTTTAATCTGAAAATAATTTACATTGTTAAAACTTTTTTTATAATTGATGAGAACCACAAAAGTTTCTTTTGTAATATTAAAATTGTGAAGAATTGAAATTTTGGTGTTTGTCTTTTGGGGTTAAGGGATTGAGGAAGGTTGTTGCCCCATGATTTGCGTTAATCTACAGAAAGACTACCAGAAGAATGGTGGTTTGAATGAGAACAGATACCATGTTTTAATGACTTATTCGATGATTTTCATCGATAAATACCGAGATTTATTTTTATGGCACACGCGAAATGTTAAACATCCAATTCTCTCTTGTAATTAAATTCGCGGTGCAATGCTCCGCGTAATCTAAATACTTGTATAAATGTTTCAAAAGCTCCGAAAGACTTAATTTAATCAAGTATTTGCTATAAAATTGAAAACCGCTTTTGAAGGAGTGGTTAAAGATTTTTCACTGTTCAGTTGGATCACCAGGATTAAAACTCAGATCTTATCATAATCCGGCTTTCGGCCTTTTAAAATAAATTATAATCTTTATTATTGATGTGTATTGTTACGAATTCTTTTCAGCGATAATCTCATTTCTTGAACAAAAATCTCTTAACAGTATACAAACTGGATTAATTGAAGTTTCCACGCGAATTGGCGACAGAGTGATGTAGCAAAACAAACGAAAGTTCTAGGTTTTGTTCTTAAACCCAATTAAAGCATTGGGCCAATTCAGTAGGTTTTAGCGAAGTAACAAAATTTATGCAGTAATGTGTGATTGTTTACGCGAAAGCGTAATTATTTCAGGAAACAAAATAGCAAATTAGTAAGTTTCAAAAATGAATAAATTTGAATTGGAATCATGGAAACAAAACAAAACAAAACAAAAAACCAAAAAAAAAACGGCTACGCAAGTATGAATCAGAAAGATTGCTTCAGATGTCTCCATACAACAATTTCAACGTTGCAAAAAATTTGCATCCTTAAATAATTTGTACGTGTCGTTGATGGACAGTTACTCAACTTGCAATTTTTGGTACCTCGTGCAAAGTTATTTTGTTTCGCGAATGATGACTAAAGTTATTATTGAACAAGAGCAGTTCTAAAAATAACGCCAAAGAATTTGACCATTTGTTACACAAGGTCAGTTCAAAACATTCACGATTCTGTTCCTGCGAACGACCACTTTGCCCAAGTTTTTCTCCTTGAAATTTCGACAAGTCTTCTTGTTGTTCCAGAGATAATATTCAGTAAAAGTTTTCTTTACCACAGAAAAACTCCTTGGGCTATTTGTAGAAAAATTTCGTGTTCGGCTCTCAGCTTCAGAAACAAAAAATTTCAAACATGTTTGTGATTGAAAAGATGCTTCAGAAAGGCTCGTATGGAATGTTAATTACTTTGCGTCAGGGAAAACCCATACGTTTAGCGGAAGAGGGATTGGGGATGAGTGGGAAGAAACTCAAATGACTTGTGAAACGAATCAAGGGCCCGATCGAGTCAAATTTACGTGACGGCAAGATAGAAATATGAAATAAAAATCTATGTATGTTTTCCATAAGTTTGGGAAAGAGCCAAAAAATTAATCATCTACCGGTGTGTGACTTGAAAAATTTACTCCTCGTGCAATCTCACTCTCTCTCCCCCCCCCTCCCCTAGTACAAATAATTCACTTGAAAATTAGAAAAATATTATCAGATTGGACGGAAAGACGGGGGCGGGGTTGGGATTTTGGGCCTGGTCTTTCCCTGTTCTTTAAATAAGTTGTATCTTTCGAGAATTTTCCATCCAATTACATTCGATAATTTGTCTTCGCGACCGGCTGCAGTGGGGACAAACATGCCACTTTCAGGAAAAGAAAAAAAAAAACATCCAGACAATTCACATCTCATTTGAAAGTGAAAGAACGGCAACGTGTTTTTGTCGTTTTCCTTCTCGAAACGAAACATCGCGTGAGTAACCTTATGCCTTTGAGAACATTGTACATAATAGTTTCATAGTGTCACGCTTCACGTGATTGCGTGAAAGTAATTCCAGTTTATGAACTTTTGCGACTTAACGCACGTGCGATATTATCAAATTTTGCCAGCGTTTTGTCATTGCGTGCAATAAGCAGCGTAAAAATTATCTATCACTTTCAAAAGAGGAATGTTTATGACGAGAGACCGCCACACTTCTGCTTTCCAAGTTTTTCCTCTTTTTAGACAGGAAGTTGTCAAGGAAAGTTCTGTAGGAGGGTCATGAGGTTGAACTTCAACGCACGTTGTTCCAGCAGGTTCCAATACAGTGAATGTATGCAAAAGCCCATTACCAATGGATTCCTAGTGTAAGTTTTGCCTTCGTTACAAGTTCACCAATTTACTCCAAATATGTCACTGAAAAGGAAATTCTAAAATTTGGCGAAAGTTTTCCTAAATTACTTGAATGATTGAGCCGACGAAACGAAAATGTTTTTCTTTCCAGTCAATTTGCAACTGTCATAATTATGATCACGCAACTTCAAGAAGGGAAGCTTGGTTCTCTAATTGTCCTAACTCACTCGTTCTCTCTCACGTGAACACATTAAACTTCACGTGCCCTCCACAACCTTGCGAAAAATAAATAAATGGATACATATATAAAACGATCGAATATACTCGACATCGTATTTAGGGCTAAAAGTCAGCGCATAATGTTAAACTCCATTTTACATTTTTCACCGACGAAAACCGACTCTTCACTAGCTGCATTTTATTTCAAGTGCACGAAGTCAGCATAAGGCAAGCCCACCGGGCCTAGAGCACGTAAATATTATCAGACGAAGGGCTTAACGCACGTAAAACTCCGTGACAGTGGAGAACCCTTTCCCTCGCACCCAAATCCACCTGACTGATCAGGCGACCAGGTTGGTTTCGAAAGACCCCTCTTGGTGTCGCTCAATGAGCCTTGCCCCTTAAATCAGGCCAAAATCATGCAAAGATCGCACAATAGTTCCAATAACACTGGATCATGTGGCTTACTCTGCCCAAGGAACAATTACGCTCGCCAATAAGGCATAGCAATGCAAAGGACTCTCTCACTTCTCGCGTCAAACAAGTTTTGGACCAAACCTGCGCAAAAGGCCACAAATGAACTAGGACGGTAATCAAACAGGTTATCACATGGTTTTCCTCCAGCAATTTTGAGTAAACAACCTCTCTCATTTTTTTCTCTTATTTTTTTTATTATTTATTTATTTATTTTATTTTTTTTAAAAAAAACTAAAAATTGCAATCGCCCCGCGCAATTTCGTTAGCCTTAAGGAAAATTACTCGGGCTAAGTTATTCCAAATTTCACTCGAAATCATGCGAATACTTACACAAAAAACACATTGAGAAGGTCTGATCATCAGTTTTCTCTTTCACCCATGTCAGCCGGCCCAGAAGCCACTGAACTCACAAGAGCCATAAGTAGGCTCCTAAGGGGGCAACCATCACGGGGACTTCGTCTGTCAATGTCTTGATGACTTTAAAATCCCCCTGGGAAACACGGGGGTTTACCCCACGGGAATCAGATACTGTGGTTCCTTGCGCAACAAAATGATTTAAAGTGGTAATCGTCTATACACGAGACATAAAAATATAGTTCACGCGCGTCACATGAACAAAGAAGAACCACAAATCTTGCAACAGATCCGATTAACCGGACAAAGTTTACAGGCCATCAGGGTCAACGTCATTAAAGTGTCTCGGCAAATGATTCCTTTACGAACGCTTTGAATAATACAAATAAATAAAATCGTTTCCTTGAATCCCAATTCGTGTTTCCACAAGGTAACAACTGACTCTCCAGTGGTAATAGAAAAACAGCGCAATGCAGGAAATCGCGAACAAACTTGTTACTATTGTCAGAACAATAACAGTGTGATCCTCGTCCAGCAGAGCAGTGGGAAGTTCTCCGAAATCCACCTCTCTTTCTGAGTTCTTCGGGAGCAGTCCCATTATAAACTGACAAAAATTGAAATGTTCTTCCTTGGAGATTTGTTCATGAGGTTTTGACGAAGTTAGATTAGAATCTTGGTCGAAACTTGACCTGCAAAACAAATGTTATTTTTAAAACGTTGCGCATTACCGAAAAGCGAACAGACACCTTCCTGTCTTATATAACGATCAGACACTGTAAAATCTCTGTCTGCCTAATCAAGATGACTTTGCTCATTGATCAGTGTACTTACCTTAAATACAAGACTTCTAATCTGAAATCTTCTCGACGTTATTCCTTTGAGTTGTCTGTTTCACAATATGACAGGAATTCAAACAAGATAAACCGGTCCGGGCTAAGTACTGAACGGTTAGTTGTGTGCTTGCGCATGAAGTCGACCTTCTTGTAGCTTATTCTGGTAATACGAAACACGAGAACAAGAGATCAGTTTCAGAACCAAGGTTAAAAACCAAAGCCGCAGGCTGAGAGTGTTCAGTAGATTTTTAAATCGTTCTCAAATAACCAGAACATCCTGGGTCACACGCCTTTGTTTTACCCAACAGCTACAGAGGCTACCGGAAAGTCGTATTTGACTTACCTACACGTTCGTTTTGACGGTGGAAGTAAGGGATTCGGCTTCTTTATTTGGGCTTTGTGTTCTATAACATGAGATTAAATGGTTTGTTAACCCAACCAAAGCGACGTAGCTGGAGAAAAGACGCTCCTTCTCGCGCGCGTGCGAGAGGTCAAGAAACGTGCGCGACGAAAAGTTATCCCCTGAGTTCGGTGCTCTCGCGCACGCGTGTCACTCGAGTTCTTTCCCAGGGTTGTTTGAACGGTTGACATATTTTCTAATGTGTAACCCGTCATACAGAAGATAGCGCACTTTGTTTTATCAACGTTCCTCGCTGCGAAGTGATATATTCATCAAATAGTGTTACCCTACGTTATCCACACCCACGGAAACTTGTATGAGTAACACGCACCATAGAATACACGCGCTGATTCTAGGGCACGTGAGCTTTCACTCGCGAGTGTCACGCGTAATCGGAACCGGGCTCCTGGGTACATAAAACAATAAACGAGGAAAAAAAACACAAGCTTCTCTTTGTTTCAGAATAACATGCTGGTTCATGCGGGGAGATTAAAATTTATCTTCCCCCTCACTAGGAGAGCTTTCAAAAACTAATTAAAAAAAGGGTAATTTAGTGTTAAAATCTGGGTTGAAAACGTAAATTAGCCACCGTAAAGGGTAAAAAAGCTGACGTTTCGAGCGCTGACGAAGGGCTAACGCTCGAAACGTCAGCTTTTTTACCCTTTACGGTGGCTAATTTACGTTTTCAACCCAGTTGTTAACACTAAATTACCTGCTATACTCTCCCACCGACGCAGCACCACAGTTTCTTTAGAAACTTACCCCTTTAATTAAAAAATGATTTTTTACCATGAAATTGTTATGCGACCCAAAAAGCTAATTTTGTCATGTATTACATGTCACGAAATCTCTTCTTCAAGTAATACATGACAGCTTACAGCCGCGGTACCGGAAGTAGTGGTTCCAATCCCAGGTCAACTAACTAAGCATGCGGTATAAATCAGAAGTTTCTATGCAACTTTGAAAACGCGGATGAGAGGAAGGTGGCATTGGAACGGTCTCCACAAAGATCAGTAAAAGAATCAGTATGACCAGAACATTCATGTTTTCTTCGCGTTAGTGATAAATAACCAGGACCTTCACTAGAGTCCGCATTCAACACAGACATCATACATATTCGGCTCAGAGGAAATGCTCTCCAACTATAGAAGTACTTGATTGTTACACAAAATTTTTCTTGTCATAACTACAGGAACTTTAAAAAGTGTGGAGAACATACGCATACTGACGATACAAGGTAAAAAAGTTAATTCAAAACTTTCTGAGTCAGCAAAATTTATTTTTATTGTTCTCGCACAGCAAGTCTTTTAAATTCTTCACTTGTTAAAAGCTAATGTCTTACTAGAAAGTTATGTGGTTTGGATGCCTAAGGAGCCTCCTTACAGGTTTGGCAATCCTTTCATTCCCAGAGGTGGGCAAAAAGAAAAATTACTCTTTGCAATATAAATAGATTTTCGAGCAGAAAGGCAATGAGACGGAGAAAACATCACCCTGAGGGTGTTTGATTTACTGCTAAATTCTCAAAGCTTAAATTAAAGAAATGTGTGGAAGACAGAGCTGAGAATTTATATTTAGATCTTGTGGGTAAAAGGATGAATCTCTAAAGTTTAGGTTTCTGTAGAACAATCTTGCTTCTCTGAAGTAACAGACGGATCGGAAATAGGCAATGAAATATGCAGCAATACATCACTGGCATCCATAATATCTCCCGGATGCCCAAGGGCACCCTGGACAGTCACCACATTGCCGAGAGGGCCATCAACACTTATTCCAGTAGGAACGGTACTGTTAGACGTGGGGGTGGGGTCGGACAGGTTCGTGTTTTCATCAGTTTGTGACTGAAGGATTTGAGAGGGAAGAGTCGAAGTGACGGACATGGGGTTTTCGGTAACCATCATCACATTAGTCGATTCAGCTGGGGATAAAACAGAAGGTTCGTCTGACTGCGACTGAAGTATCTCGTCTGGTAGAGTGACCTGAGGAACCATTACGTTCACAGATAACTCATTGGCATTGCTAGTGCGGCTTAGTGTATGCTGTGGAAGTGTCATAGCGGGTGATGGCGATAAAGTAGCAGGAAGACCTGTCTCTATGTTTGACATAACTGTGACGTGTACGTCCCCCAAGGGATCTGGGCTGACGATGACGTCCCTGTTTTCCGGGCCAACTTGATGCATGTGTACTACTGGCCTGTCTGGGAGGTGTGTTCCGTCTAACGTCTGGGCGATTGCCGCCGGACCTAGAGGCAAAACACACGCATGAAAGGTTTAAACATCATACATAAAATTGGGATCAAAGTCAGTATCTGAGCAACAGCGCACCGTCCCTTCCCCTCACCCAACTTTAACCCAAAATTAGCATAAGTTTACATTGCACTGTCGAGCGATTTGCAGCTGCGCGTACGCTCTTAATGTTTGTTAGAGGTTAAGTGCACCGATCTACTTGTTCGTCTTATCACATCTATTTTACTTTCTGTCCGAGATCCGTTAGTCTTTGATGCTACCTTCCAGTCTTCACAAACTGCAAATTCTACCTACGTTTAGTAAGGCTTTACGCAGGTGGACGATAAGCTAGAGCTTAGGGTTAGGGTTGCCTTGCCTGTGACAAGGACAAGGTCTAATTACCATTTTAGAAAGTTATTTCGCGACATGCCGACTTTAAAAAGAGGTGTGCTTGCAGCCCTGCTATAATTAACGGCAAAAAGGGGAGAATCTCAAATTAAGTAGTCTGTTTCAGGCATTCGATTAGCAAAACGGAGCGAAATAACAAACTGCACGATAGTAGCGGAGAAGTGAAAGGCGAAGGAGGCTTGGGTCGAGTCGGGTAAGTAATGTGTTCATTACGCGACCCGACCCAAACCTCTCCCGTTTTTTCACTCCTCTGCTACTTGTGCGCCGTTTACTGTCACTCTTTGTTTTACTAAATAAACGCCTGGAACAGGCGACGAATTAAGTTTTGAAAGCGTAGAACAACACCTACCCTGAAATGGAGGACTGGTGAAAGCCTGATTTGTGCTAGCTACATTGCTATCCTCGTCTCTATCCGATGTTGGGTGATGCGGTAAAGCAGTCTGTTTGCTCCCACCTTCTTTCGCATTGGATGCTTCCACCTGGAGCTCATCTTGCACCAGACTCTGGTGGCCTCCTAACTGACGGGTGTCTACAGTCTGGACAGCCTCTAGGCTGGTCTGGTCGACTGTGGCATGGCTACCATCGCCCTGTGACACCACAGATGTTTGCAAATCGGCAGCAGGTTTTACAAACTTCGTATGACTTAGACCTGCGTTGGTCAGTTCCGATGCTGTAATGGGACCGGAAATGTCTGTTTGTACAATGGCTTGCGTAAACTCGGGTCCAACCTCTGGGAGGGTTTGAACGGCGTGATGGGCCTGGAGAACAGTCACTACCTCCTACAATGAAAATAAGTATTCGACTAAGTCAGTGTCGAGACATTTTGACACATTTTAGTTACATTTAAAGCTCAGTTCATCTTGAACGAAGCTATTTTTGAAGGAGAACTGTTCGAAATCTCTGTGTTAAAGATGCGACAAGTGCGAATCTAAGAACACAGCGGTCAACGTCGGAAATGCGCTTGACTCATTTAACACAGGTTATCTAGCTACTGGAATTCCGGTGATTTATCATTTTGCTTCGAATTGTACCAAAAAGGTGTACGTTTTCTTTAAGACCGTCACATGCTGCAATTCCGGTATACTTCATCTCGATCTGTTTTGCTCTGCAGTTTTAATGTTTGCATTTGTGCAGACAATATATCGCTGTGCATCCATGCAAAACTGCCTTAGGGCTCAAGACTAACTCTCGATCCTAGAGTCTTTGCTTTTTTTGGTCACGAGGTAGAAGAAAGGAGTGAAAGGCTACAGCTTGTGAAAAACGAGTGGCTCTTAGACGAGAATGTACTCAGTCTGTGAAAAATTATCAATGACCTGGTCATGTTGACTCGTATCTATTCCGTCAGATCCTGAGGTGAGTTCTCCCGTGTGTGCCTGCCTCACTAAACTTCCAGCCGGCTGCTGAATGATGTAGGTCTGTCCTGCAGGCGCTTGTATGATGTATGACGGTGTCCCTTGAACAGCGGACGCAGTGTGAAACATATCTTGTGGTGTAAGTGCATTGACCTGTACCACTTCGAATCTATTATGACTGGTAGTGAGAGGAGATGTGTCGTCTTCTCTTGACACTGTTCCATCACTAGTGACTGGAATAAATTAAAGACAAACTGAAATTCAGACAAGGTGAGGTTTTATTGCATATCATGGACAAAGTTAGCTTGATTATGAAAGAAAATAGCCGAACATTTTGTCTGCAAATCCATAAGTAAATGGAATAAGAGAGACGGCAAGTTTTGAGCTCGGTAAAGAAATGGAGAAAGATGTTTTTCGTCTTGTCACGAGCGTGGGACAAAGAAAAATTCTGAGTCCCCAAAAGGAATTGAACTTCAGACCTTCGGATTCCGCGCTCCGATGCTCTACCATCTACGGTGAGCGAGGGCTATTACGAAGTTCATATGACACGCGTCCTGCATACTGCTAAGATCAGCAATGTCGATAGCGTCATGTTTGTAAATAGAATAAGAGAGATAAGTCTTAAGCTCGATAAAGAAATAGAGAATGATGTTTTTCGTCTTGTCATGTGCGTGGAACAAAGAAAAAATCCTGAGTCCTCATGAGGAATTGAACCTCAGACCGCGCTACAATGCTCCACTACTGAGCCACAGAAACCCTACGGTGAGCGAGGTCTATTACGAAGTTCATATGACACCCGTGAGGAATTGAACCTCAGACCTTCGGATTCCGCACTCCGATGCTCTACCACTGAGCCACAGAAACTCTACAGTGAGCGAGGTCTGTTACGAAGTTCATATGACACGTATTCTATTCACAAACATGACGCTATCGACATTGATGATCCTAGCAGTATGCAGGACGCGTGACATATAAACTTCGTAGTCAACCACGCTCACCATAAAGTTTCTGTGGCTTAGTGGTAGAGCATCGGAGCTCGGAATCTGAAGGTCTGAGGTCCAATTCCTCATAGGGACTCAGAATTTTTCTATGTCCCACGCTCGTGACAAGACAAAAAACACCTTTCTTTAAATCCATAAGTGCAAACGTTTTTCGAACGTTTTTCTGTCCTCAAAAAAAAAAAAAAAAAAAAAAAAAAAATTACCATCTTCCTCAATATCCTCTTTTGGGACGTCAGATTTTCCCTCCAGCCCTCGCTCTCTGAGCAACAGACCGCACTTTCTGTCGGTTTACCAGCGTAATATAAAGCCATGCGGGATGTTGGGATAACACTCGTAAGTTTGTACATCACTCGCCCCTGGTTTGTGATCAACAAACCTTTCTCGTATTCTCCTAACATCCCAAGTTGCTTATGACGCCGGTAAACCGAAAGGAAGTGCGGTCTATTACTTCTATAAAACAACCTTTAACTTTCTAGGGGTTTATAGGTAGGGACGACAGATTTTGACCAATCGGGGCGTTCTTAGCATCTCAGTTATTTAATAATAACAAATGAAGAGCAACTCTCTTTAATTACCTGTTATTGTGTGAGAAATTCCCGAGTTTGTAATAGTTCCTGTCGATATAGGGTTTACATGAACTGGTCTTGCACTGGGAACTAGGGACACCCGTGGCAAGTGAGTTCCTTTAAAGCGAGCTTCTTGTCTTTCTATTTTGTTTTGCAGTGTTGGGATGTAGTTGTGGAATAAAAAAGAAACTATAGCTGTGGACCAAACAAGACAACAAAAATGATTGGAATTATATAAACGAAACAGAGCAATTTTCAATTCATTGTCGAAAGTAAACCGAGGTTGCGTGGGTTTTACTTCACTTCGCCCTATGATTGGTCCAGTTAAACTCGAACCACTCTCTCAACCAATCAGATTTAAAACTATTGAAACCAATCGCCACTCGGTCGCCCACGTTTTCCCGCGCTTTAGACACTGGGGTTTTATTTACTTAGAGTTCCCATTGGCTCTTAAAGGTTTCTTCCTTTCCATCCATTTGTCATTGTGACTACTATGGTTTTGGTTTCTCGACAGTCAATCGAAAGGCGCCCGATTTTGAGAGGTAAGTCAACAAGACATCTTGATTTTCCACAAGAAATTTGAAAAAAAAATACTTGACAAAAAATAAAAAGTTTACAATGATAAATCCTCAAGTGAGGAAAAAATTGTTACTGAGGATAGAACAGTAAAATTTTGAATCCTGCCCAATAGTAGGAAGAGAAAAAAAAAAGTCAGCGGCATTAGAGGGACGATAAATGCTGGAGTAGTATCTTAGAAGCCTTTTGTCCTTATCTTAATCATCTCGACAAATAATTTACGAGCAGGTTCTTATTATTAGCGCTTTAGGCTGCGAACGCGCGTTTCTCCGCCTGCGGGAAGATTGGAGACGAGTTGAGGTGAGGTTTGCCTAACCTACGTGTAGCCGTACCCTTCACCCCCCCCCCAAGGTGAAACGGAAGCGACGGACAAATTTTGTCGGCGGTCCGTTCGAAGATTAGCCAGCTTCGGCCAAAACTTGTCGAGTTGCGACAAACCATCCGCACTTGTAAAATGTTGGTGATGACAGAAAATTTGTCTACTGTAAGTAAACAACTTTTTTTCCAGTGCGGATAGGCCTTACCTCTGGTTTTAAATGTTCTCAACAAATGGAAGCTTAAGGAAACAGACATTTAATGAGAGTCAATACCTTCAAATGTCCCCATATCACTTTCGGGAACATGTTTTTTCAACGCCCACCACTTGCTTCTAAGCCACTGAGGGGAACGGACGCTTGAAGAGAACAAAATTGAAGGAGAGAGGGTATCAGTACCTCATTATACGACATAATTAAATAATTTATAACATTAAAGAGTGTAAAAAGTTGAGAAAACCGACCTGGACCAGTTGCTTGCCATCACCTGCCAATCTAAATCATTCTCATCCTGAAGATTCATTTCGTGGATTCTAAAACAACAAATATACATAATGACTCAACCCTTTAATTCCCAGAAGTGATTAACATGTAACTTCTCCCTTTAAATTCATATATTATATGGCAAAAAGGTAATGAGAATACTCAAACTTATCAGGCAGGAGTTGCTATCACGATCTAACACCAAATTCTCATAACTGATTTGCAAGGTAATATAAAGCAGCTAGATAGGAGAATTTACAATCAGATCTTTGGAGTAAAAGGGTTAAATGTAGAAGCTTTGTATCTACTATGTTCACATTCATGTGCAGGATTAGGAAAAAAATAGCCTGTGTGGTTGGTATACAAAATGTGGGGGGATTGGGAGTTTATGCAAGCACGAAGCACCATTGTTGGGATTTGTTCTTACCCAATCCCAACCATCAAAATTTGTCCAACCATTAACTTCCCCATCAGCCCTGCCCCTGTAAGTCCATTACACAGGCTATGGATTAAAATGACTAAAAAAAGTAAAAAACTCAATTTTTTATGGTGTTCAGTGACAGGTAGATGTTACTCTTCCTACTTGAGGCCCAAGACTACTGATTAAAAAACCTTTGTGATAGTTAATATTTACTAGGCATGTACATGCAACTAACTGGTATCCATTGATCAGGGTTTGAGTTAGGAAATTGGGCGATCAGTTCAGTCTTAATCTATGTAAGGAATACAGGGGTTACATGAAACTTTCCATTAATTTTTTCATTGTAGTTTTATCAGGGTAGCAAAGATTTTTGAAAGCATTCCAAAACACTGACAGTCAGAAGAATTGTCCTTAATTTTATCTTACCTGGTAATGAGTTGAATCTCATCCTGTTTTGTCCATTCTTGTCCTCCTTTTTCTTTCCAGTTTAAATAATTTAACCTGATCAAGGCAGCAAACACAAGGTCACATTTACAAATCAAATAGGAAATTCAACTCAATTTGAAGAAAATGAGACAATTCTTTACTGATTGCTTTGCTAGTCTAGAACAACAATCTACCTCAGCCCTGAAGGGAGATGAAGTGGCCTATTGGAACATCTTCTTTCAGGATCAGGAAACAGGAGGTGCACACCACCCATTCCCCCTTCTTTGTGAAGAACTGGAGGTTTCTAACATAACTTCATGGTTCTACAAAATCTGCCGTATTGTTTGCTATGTATTTTCAACAGTTTACATTATACCAGTCAATGATGTGATTCTTTAGCAGTGCACGCCTGCTAAGGAAATCCTGGATCCCCCCTGGGAAATAAACCTATCTCAGATGTTTGGATGGATATTATAGCCCTACCTGTGGCTAATATGCTAGAGATGGCCATGGAGGTCTTAAAAACTAGCAATAAAATTCTCACCATTTGGAGCGGCATTGCTTTTCTGATCTTGTGCCCACTCTCTCAGCAACAGCTGCCCAAGATATCCCAGCTGTAATGAAATCCCCAGAGGCTGCACTGCTAAGTTCATGTACTGCATTGGAAAGTCTCTGCTCCTCCTCGACAGTCCACTTGCCTTAAATGTTAATTTTCGTAAAAAAAAAATAATTAAAGTGATTATGAATTCTCTCTACATAAATTATAAACATCCTTAACAGATAGAAAATTCACAATTTAAATATTGGTAAAGGGAGGTGGAGAAGGGGGCCTTGAGACTTTTTTATCTGTAAAAGTCTTGTGAACTTTGAGAAATTCCTGACACTCTTCCAAGATCTGTCTTAAGTTCATTCAACAAAATGTAACACCATTGATAGCTTTGAGAAAAATTTCCAATTGATGAATGTTTTCATGAAAAAAGGAAACAAAAACAAAAAACTTTGAATTAGCAAAGCTTTACAAGCTCTGTGGTTTTCAGGAGGCCTCTAAGCATTTCTATTTTCTAATTTTTCTCTACCCTTGATCCTTTAATATATATCAGAATAATAAACATGAAAAAATTAGGCACATCTGATTGGCTGAAGATGAGTGCATTTTTCATGTAATGCTACGTTTACTACTATTACAAATAGTGCAGGTCTGCCAAAATTTCGTCCGTCCTGACTTTCTGTGGTACATTTTTCATTTAAATTAGTATCAAGTAACAACACGATTTCTTGTGCAATTTGGTGTAAATAAGCACTACAGGCTTGTGAAATTTTTTTGTCTTTGAAAAATTTACTAGTGCTTATTAACACCAAATTGCCATCAAAATCACGTTGTTACTTACACAAATACCAATCATGAATTTTTACCAGAATGACAGTGTTCTCTCATAAGCCTGAATCTGTCCTTGACAGATGATGCACTCCGGCCCATGGCAGCCCCAATTGTAGCCCAGTCGTTACCATGTTTCTCTTTCAAAGATTTTAGTTGCTCCACCTCCTCTGAAGAGTACTTTCCTATATAATTTCGCCTGTCGTACATGCGAAGAACACGACGGTATATGGCAAATAAAGGACGTCTTATTCCCTTAGCTAAAATAAAAATGTTTTGAACATTTAGTCACAACAAACTGCAAGGAACCCTCTGGATAAATTTCTCTCCCAATTAAACTTTTTTGCATCACTTCAGTTAGAGCTGAGCTATGAAAATTCATCTCTAGCATCAGGAATATTTTTTCATTTAAACATAGGTTTATTTAGAACTTTTATAAACTGATTTCTTGCTTTCAATGAAAAGGATGATTAGTATTTGTGAGCAATTAACTTGACTATGTTAAAATAACTAACAATTTTTTTTACCAATTGTTCTGTAGAAATCCTTACGATCATCTTTAGTCATTTCAAATATGATTATATTTGGATCTGGGATGTTGTTCACCTGATAAATGAAAAGAAATTGAAAAGTTAAATATACAGCACGAGACTAAAAAAAGAAGCACAAGGGAATTCAGAAAGTCATCTCCATGCAGGCATTCCTTGTGAGCCTTGGAAATCATTGTAAGCCTCTCTTTTCTTGAAAGGGATAGAAAAGTTGAGGTATACAACTTTTTATGTATTGCTATAAGTCAGTGCTCAAGCTACGTGGACCATCTAGCCAGAGCTCATCCTAGATTCCTTAGCATGAAGCAACTAGGAGGATCACTTATTTCCGCTGGATGGGTCAGGGATGCATGTTCATTACAAGGTTATCCCCCACCACTTCATCACGCTTTCCTGACAGTTCATTGGTACCCATTTATACTCCTGAATGGAGAGAGGCACTGTGAATGTTAAGCATTTTGCCAAAGAACACAACACTTTGACCCAGCCAGGTCTTGAACATGGACCTCTCAACCCAGAGTCTAGGGCACTAACCAATTGAGAACAACCCCATCTTCCACCAATTTCTAGCTCCCTTACCTTGCAGTACTCAAGAATATTCTCTTTAAGCTGTTCGTTCTCCTCTTTAGACCACATTCCTTGCCTCCACTTCACACCTAAATACATGTAAATGAGCAGCAGTTCAAATGTAATTTTACCACAACTCCAAATTTCACCATAAACACCTCATTCCCAACATTTCAAGATCAATTCTCCCTACTGCCTACAAAATTTTTTTATAACATAAATTCTGAAAACCTTATTGCTTGAGTTAAGCAGATCTCCAGGACTTTCTAGTGCTCAAAAATTTCAAAATGAAATTCCAGAACTTTCCAGATTTTCTTGGACCCATATGAACCCTGAATTTTTTTACTGTTTGTCTGCCTTATCCACACAGTTGATTATAAATAGGAACCACAGGGCAAATTGATGAAGACAGATAATCCACCATAGCAAATTTTGAAAGGCTGATGTTTAAAGTGTTGGTTCCACTTTTCCCCAAAGGAGGGCGAATAGTTAAAGAGGAAACTTCCCTATATTTGCTTGGCAGTTTATCTGGCTTGATCAACTTCTTTGTAATAATCAACTAAGTGTTTCAACTTCTTGTCAATGTAACACAACTGTTTACTAAATTACTTTAATAATATATAGATCTAGCCAAGCCTAAAAGCGGAGCTCACATTTTTTTTTTTCCCTGCACATCCCAAGGGCATAACGCCTTGCCCCGGCCAGGACTGGAACCCGGATCGTCTGACTTGGAGCCCAGTGCACTGACAACTGGACTACTGGACAAAGCGTGCCCATGATACAGTTGACCACACATGTTAGAAGTAGCACCTTGTATAGTCATATGGTTGTACGGTCATACATCCAAATTTTTTCAGCTTGATGGGTTACTACTATTTTTTATAATTATGGAGCTATGTGAGCTCCACTATGAGCTAGATTTTTTAGCTCATATTTCCCAATCTTTGTGAGTAAAATTTGCTTGGCTTCATGGTAGGAAATTCAAGGTTGTGTAATAGACTATGCCTATCTCCACAGACCTTGGTTTGGGCTACTTCTTAAATGCAATGAATTACTTGGACCACCTCATTTAGGGTAGTAGCATATGCCATGTGGTGTTTAAGAGAAATTTTAGAATTACAAGACACCTGGACCTAAAGTGAAGCTTGATAACAGAGTCAACCGAAAACTTCAAATATGAAGGTGTGTGTGTGAAAAAATATTTCTGACCTTTGCCATGAAGATTATCTTTGTCCTCCTTAGTGGTAAACCATGCTTGGTTGACTGAATTATTGTTGTCACTGACAACAACTGGCTGGGAGGCTGGAATGATTGATGACTCCTGAGTAAGCTGACCTGCGGCGAGTGCTGCAACAGCTGCAGACAATGTTAATGTTGCATTTGCTGCTTCTTGAGCTGAGAGTGGGGCAAGCTGACCAGTGTTGTCAATGGTGGCATTGGTGAATGTCTGAGAGGCTACCTCCTGGTAGAAAAACAAAAAAATGATGATAGGCATGAGTCATCACCACAACAAAGGTAAAATGAGACACTTGATTAATGTGCTTGTAATCTGCCTTGAAATAATCTGCCAAAGAAACTATTGATCAGTGTTTTCTTTAATTCATCTTCATTAGTTATTCTTGTCTGCCATACAGTTCTTGTGATGTTAGTTTGGAGAATTTGGTATTGGATCAACAAATAATAGTCACCTGATTGATATTTTTCTTTATTCTTGTCACTTATCTGCTTAACATTGTACTGTTGTCTTAAGGAGAAATTCTCTTTTAGTCACTTATGGGAGTTCACAAGAAGAGACCTAAACAATACATCTGCCTATCCTTGACCACAAATGACTGTAATTGTGATATTTTTAGATTTATTCTAACAATTATTTGTTAATATTAAAAAGAGCTTGAAAATAAATAAATAATGGTTAAATGTTTACCTGAGAAACAGCAAGTGAAACAGAAGAGGACATACTGACGAGAGTTGCCAAGTCAGCAAACCCATCTGAACTCTCAGGGTCAAGATGGAGATGTTTATTTACTTGTTCATCTGTTTGATCAGTGTGCTTCCTCTTTACTCCAGCTGTAAATCATGATGAATTATTGATACTAATTAATAATCATTTATCTTTTCATCAACGGTATTTTCATTAAAAGATTATTCTATGACCCCTTTCCAGCTCTTTATTTCCTTCATGTCATAAAGTTCCACCTGCTCTTTAACCATTTAACTCCCAGAAGTGATTAACATGTAACTTCTCCCTATTATATCCAAACAGAATTTAGCAAACAGGTAACGAGAATACTCAAACTTATCAGGTAGAAGTTGTTATCTTGATCTAACACCAAATTCTTGTAACTGATTTAATAGGAAATGTGTAGCAGTAAGAGGGGAGAATTAACAATCAAATCTTGGGAGTTAAAGGGTTAACCATTTATAACCCAACATCAGTATACAAATTCTCCATACTTTTCTCTATACATTTCTTATAGTGCTGACAAGGAGAGTTTTGTTTAACCCTTTAACTCCCAGATCAAATTCGTAATTCTCCTTACTATCAGTCATACAATTCTTACTATCAGTCATACAATGCTGTTTCAGAGAATTTAGTATTGGATCAATTAATTATCCCCAAATTGATACATTTTTTTATTCTCACCACTTATCCGGTTGAAATTGTGAAAAGGTGAAATTCTGTCTTGGTCACTCATGGGAGTCAAAGGGTTAACAATCTAGAGCTTCTTTAGCAAGTGATTATTCCTTTCATTCTTCCGACCTGTCATGTGTGATTTGGGTGTTAAATAGTAAGGAGAAATTAGATGCTTATCACTCCAAGGGATCATCACTCATATCAGAGAAGAAGATAAATATACTACCTGACTATAACACTTCTGGGTCAAAATTTATTAAGCTACTCCTTTACAGAAAAGTTAATTAAACTGTTGATTAAAAGTGAGTAAATTTTGCTTTGTGAGGAGGATAGCAGAATATTCTCAACTGGTTGCAATAATGGTTTAACTATACCTGAAGAGGGTTTACCTTTTAACCCTTTAATCCCTAAGAGTGACTAACATCTAATTTCTCCTTACAATATCACCCCTGAATCACACATTAAGGTCATGAGAATAAAGGAGTTGATCACCAACTAAAGAAGCTCTCAATTGTTTGAACAAATTCTCCTTGTCAGAACCCTAAGAAATGTCTTAAGAGTAGGATAGAGAATATGCCTATTGATGTTAAGGTGTAAAGGTTCACCAAACCTCCACTCTCTGATATTCAATCTAATATCCCTTCAAAAATGTTAAGTTCGCAAATACTATTTTGCCTTGACATATGTTAGCAGGATTATTATTGATGATGGCATGCTTCAAATATTTGCAGAGGTTATCATGATAATAATTCTGCTTACTTAGAGTGCTTTTTGATTGAGTGTCATAAAATCAAGTTCAAAGCAATCATAGCAGCCAATTATGAAAAGGAAAACATCTTGAGGAGCCATTTAATTAAATTAAAACAGGCAAACTTCCTGAAGTAAGGGATGACCCAAGTGCCCACTAGTCACAGTTGGTTTAGTTTTGAATCTGATTGGTTGAGAAAAGGGGCAAGTTTCTGAACAAATCACAGAGCGAAGTAAAGCAAAACAAAGCAATCCCACATTACTTTTGACACTTATTTGAAAATTGCTCTTCTACAGAAAGTTGTGTAAACAAAAAATTCAGGAAACCCTGAAAATTTAGAAAATCAACAAACAAGCCGAAGCCGAAGATATAATTCGTTTGTCTGAGTGATTGGTTGTAACATAATAAACAATCTCGAAATAGTCAAGTTGTTTTAAATGGTATTCAATTTTTGCGCAATTATCACGGGAAAAATCCCGCACTCCTTGATGTACCCGCGGGAAAGCGGACGATGGCCTTCTTTCGACTTTAAATCGACTTTTCAGGACTATGAAATATAACCATACCACTTTCAAAAATATCATTATGTACTAAATAATACTTAAGAACAATCATTCAAATCACTTACATAGCTCAGCAAGAGTTGTAACAGGACCATCTGGCGAAAACGTAGGAGTGAAGGCTAGATCTCCGCCATTTTCCTCAAGCGCCTTTGCGTCTACCGTACAAGCCGCTTCGTGTTGCAGAGAAACTCCACTTAACTCGTCTTGGGTGTTAGTTCCATCCACTTCCATTATTTTCTGTTTTACTTCCGGTGAGCCAAAACAAAAATAATTTCGAATTTCGAGCTCCGATGAAATCCACGTCCGGGAACTTCAGACACGCCAAAAGTTGAAAATCCCGAATGTTCAAAGACCCGTACGTTTGCCAGTTCGGCCGAGTTAGGTTTTATCACGAAGTTACCTACATTAGATCGACAATTCCACCGCCAAAATTGAATAAACCTGAAAAAAACTTAAACTGTGCGTGGATGAATTGTCAATAAGACAACAACGATGACAAAAAAGACAAAATTCGCCCCATAAACTTAACGATTCGACCACAAAATTTGGTCGTATGAAATGTCTTTCGCATTTCAAGGGGCAGGTTGCCCCCGAAAACAAGCCGCCTTCAAATATGTTGACCAGCGGTTTTGCAAATTAACGGTAGCCACTGTTTTGGATCCAAAAGGCCCCTCTACTAATTATCCACTAATTTTTACCCGTTTGATTCACAATTATTGAAAAATATATTTTGAATTTCTCATTACTTTCCACGTTTATTGAAGGAAATCCAGGATGTTTAAACGCTGGCGTGATAAGAAAAAAGACAACGAACAGGTAGAAGTTTTTGATCAAGCATTCGATAGTGAGCTCGTTGGAGAGGTCACGACACGTACCTCAATATCAGCTTGAATGAAATTGCTTTCTTTTTTCACATTTCACAGCAAGAGAGTCCAGCGAATACAAAACAGGCTCAGTCTCCAAACGAAACCTCCGTAAGTGTGCGGTTTTCAGTTGTTTGATCAAACTTCTCTTTGATGTGATGGCACTTGAAAATGAAATTGATCGATAGCGTGCACATGTACGTACGAGGAATTACCTCATTCGCGCGCGTCAACTGCAGTCGATCGAGGTCACACAATGAACTAGCACGTATGCATTTTCAATATGCATGTTCAGTTTTACAAGAGTATGCCCATGAAAATAATTTTTGATTTTTAATACGCAAAGTGTTAAGCTTGAGTTTGTAGTCCTTCTGAGACCGTCAAGTCTTCAAACAATTAAGTGACATATATAGTGTCATATGTACTGTTGTACATATTATGTCTGCTAGACTTACTTGGATGCAGTTGGAAATCTAAGAATCTAAGAGTACGTAGGGAATCAATATCCAAGCATTACGTTGAACGCAATGCAGTTTATCGTATGTAAATTAAGCATTAAACTTGTTAGAAATCATGAAGCTGTGTTACCACAATATTTTACGCAATGTAAGTTTGGTTTGTGACAGTTTTAATGCACGACAATGTATGCATTTTAAGAACTATTTGTGGTAAAATGAGTTTAAAGATGATGATCATCAGCAATAAAAAATACTTGAACAGTTTGCTCACATTAATGCATCTGCTCTTTCAGATGATAAAGAACATCAATTTTCTAGCAGACCATCAAATTGTATTAACTGTAGGGTCACAATCTCCTTTTTCCTGGAATGTGCTCTAGCTTTTATGGCTGGCAGCTTTTTCCTCCTGCTACCTGCCCTTTAATGCTTCAATACTCCTTCTCCCAGAATCTTTCAATCATTCTAACTTCATGATTGCTTTTACCAGGAAGTGAACCCTCTGTCCACCATGTCATTATGAGGTGGTAACATATTATCATTAGAATTTAAAAGTATCACAAGATAAAGTTGGATTTAAATTTGTTTGGGGGTTTTCAGGCTTTGTATGGGTTCTGGAAAACTTAAAAAGTCCCAGAACTTTATTTTGACATTTTCTTGGACTGGAAAGTCTTAGAAAAAGACTATAGGTCCTTGAAAGTCCTGGAAATCTGCTCAACTCAAGTGACAAAGTTTTCAGAACTTATGTTTTAGAAATGTATGTGGACCTATAGGGAATTAATTTTACAATCTTGGAAATGAAAGAGTTTAAGGTGAAAATTTAAGTCCTGGAAGAATCAATCTGAGTCCTGGAAAAGTCCTGGAAAAGTCCTGGAACATTCCTTGAAATTTGTTTCTGATAAAGGGTACAAACCCAGGGTTGTGAAGAGCAGAGAATAGTCTGGTTTGCTTCCTAACATACACTGATAACATGAAAAATTTAGTTTATTTCTTAGATTTACCCCTGTTGGTTTTGGTTTTGGTTAATTATAATTGTTATTTTGTTATCTTTGACAGGGGTTCATTTGTCCAGTATGTATGATCTCCTTCAACTCCCCAGAGGATCTTCAAGTACATTTTGAAACATCTCATGACGACAGTGAACCAGCACCAACTAGTGGGGTAAAAAATTATTCTCCAAGTAAAAAATGAAAAAAGCAATTAAGCAAATAGCAGCTGAATATCACAAAGGAAAAAGGTTTTTTGTCATTACCAGATCCTGATTTAATTGTTTACTTGATAATTTTTGACACAGCTCAATCTTTTGACATGCGTGGTACTTAAATCCATGCTACAAACTCAAAACACAACAGGCATGTCATGCATTTTGACTTAAATTCTGTTGACAATGTGATACTAGAACCAATTAAGATGAAATAAGAATTAATTGGGAATTAATTTTATTTGATTATAGTTCATTGCTTCTCTCCCAAACCTTGTCTGTACATAAATAACCTGTTTTTTTTAATTTCTTCCATTGTCACATAGTCTGGCACTAGGTAGTAAAGAGGATAAATAAAATCTTAAGCTGCTCTGATTGACTTTTAACTTTCTAATGAAAATAGCTTTTTTGCTTTTTTCATTGACTAGTTTTTTTTCCTTTGTTTTAATTTTTTTCTGAACATAACCAGGATTTCATCTGTCCTCTATGTATGAAAAAATTCAACAGTCCAGGAGAATTGCAGAGTCATTTTGATCAGGTTCATGAGACCCAAAATGATTCATCAGCAGTAAGTAATATACTTCTGGGTGAACAGTGAATCTCATAACACCAAGATATGATAAGAAATTCTCTCAACTAGCTGTTACATATCCCCTGTAAAGTTACTGGGAGGAATTCTTGTTATATCAGCATAAAATCCTCTCTAAAGGGTTGCCTTTTCTTGTCACCTGTCTACTGGATGATACATCAATATTAATCCTTTCACTTCGAAGAGTGACCAAATCTTGATTTCTCCTTACAACATCTGTGTAATTTTTAGAAAAAAAGGTAATGAGAAAGGAAAAAAATATCAATTAGGGGATAATGAGGTTTACCTGAAAAAGTTAACCTTTTTCACCCTTACATCAGTATGCATTTTCCATACTGTTCTCTAGACATTTCCTAAGTTGCTGATAAGGAAAATTTATTTAACAATCAAGAGATTCTTTAGTTTGTGATCATTTCCTTTATTCTCATGACCTTAATGTGTGATTCAGGGGTGATATGGTAAGGAGAAATTAGATACTTGTCACTCTTGTGGTTCAAAGGGTTATAGGGGAGATTATTACTAAGTACATATTATTAACTACAGTTGTTTGGCACAACTGGAACTGATTAGGCTAGCCAAAGGTTCTTCAACCAGATCTGTTGCTGTAAGATATAATCAGGGTTGTAGCTAAGAAATTACACATCCAGTTGAAATTTCAAGAGAGGCAGCTCAAAGGTGACATATGATTGTGCCCATTGTGCTTTACTGAGTAATTGTTAAGCAAAAATCCAGCTGGCGATTGCCTCTTTTTCATCCGCCAAATTTTGCTTGCAGCTAGAGCTTGGCAACAAGCCTGCACAATAAGTATATTACCCCTTATGTAAAAATATAGCCTAGAAACCAATTCATAGATTTCACCCACTTTTCAGTCTACGGGCTTGAATAAAAGTGTTCATATCTATAACTGTATCCCAAATCATATGTGATCAGTAATATCTATTGGAGGGTGTAGCAGGTTATTGTTTTGAGAAACCCTTCACTTAATTCAAGATCCATCATTTGGAATTGAAAACTTATATTTTTAATGTGTAATTATCATTATTATTACTATTATCATTATTATTATTATTATTATTATTATTATTATTATTATTATTATTATTAATAGTAATTGTTGTAGTAGTGGCATTACTGGTTTTATTGTTTAATTCATGTTTAAAGGAAATATAGAAGAAGTGCATCTGAGGTGATATGTTGTCTTCATAAAAAAACCAAAGCAAATCTTCTTTATTATTTCCAATGATATGTATTCCAACCTTCTAGATAAAACCATCAGATGCACACTTGTCAAAAAGTTTACCTGCAGACACCACAAAAGTTTGGAACGAACGACATGGGTCTTTGCTGTCATTTGATGAGGAGTTACCAGTTCCCAGAAAAGAGTCGGAAGTGTCTCGCTTGTCGAATCAGCTCAAAGAACTGGAGGATAAAACTCAAGAAATTATGTATCTGCAGCAGGAGCTTAATGAGTTGAATGCTTCATTAAAGGAAGAAAAGTGGTACTCTGCCGCTTTGAAAGAGGAGGTTGACAAGATGACAAAAGAGAAGGTGGAATTAGAGGAAAAAGTCAGCTCACTGGAGATGGTTAGTGGTAACAAGTCTACCTGTGGTTTTAGGCCAAAAACATACCCTGTATTTTATACACAGTTAGTGCATACATACACTTCTTTAATGATCTTATTTTCATTTTTGTTCCAGGAGAAACAAACGTTGGAGATGGATTCAGAAAGGAAGCTTATGGATGAAAAAGAAAACAGTGTTAAATGTAAGTACCAGTTTCTTGGTGGAAATTTTACAGTGGTTATATCTTTAAATTTTACAGCCTATTTCAGTAGCTTGCAAATAACACCAAATGATGGTGTCTTAAAATTGTTTTTGTCTAATGCACAGTTTAGGTTTTTTTAATAACTTGTAACACTTGGGAACAGTTACCACTGATAACTGAAATGTTTGATAACTAAAAAGAGTTGCAAATGCATAAAGGGGTAACTTTCTAAAGAAACTGTGGTGCTGCATTGATGGGTGAGTATAACAGGGTAATTTGGTATTATCAACTAAGTTAATAACGTAAATTGGCCACCGTAGAGTTTCAAAGCTGACATTTCGAGTGTTACCTCTTCATCAGAGTGAATGACGGAAAGGCTAATGCTTAAAATGTCAGCTTTGAAATTCAACTCAACTCAGTCAATGATACTAAATTACCCTAAAAAGAATTGCAGTTCATTTCTGATTTTGTTTTGCAGCCATGGCAGAGTTTGCACAGCTTAAAGTGGAGTTAGCTAAGGCACTAGAAGCACAGACTGGAAGTCAGAGCGAACAGATGAACTTAGCACAGAGAACTTCACAACTGGTATGAACACATATGAAAACTTAGCTTATGACAAGTCAAGTTGAACTTGACAGTTTATCTTAGTTTACAGATGGCTTAGTATTCTTCATCTCAAAATGGAAGATGTGAAATATCATGTTCAAACTTAAGGCTTGTGTAACTCCAGCCTCTTTACTTTTAATTAGTTATAAAATAATGCTAGTAACCCTTTAACTCTCAAAGGTGATAAACATGTAACTTCTCCCTATAACATCCATACATTATCCAACAAACAGGTGATGAGAATACTCTGGGTAGAAGTTGTTATCTTGATCCCACTCCAAATTCTCCCAACAAATTTACTAGGAAATGTGTATCAGTTAGAGGGGAGAATTTGTGGTCATACCTTGGGAGTTAAAGGGTAATAAATGCCCACAGCTCAGCTGCAATACTTGAAAAAGCCTGTAAATGGGCCCTCATTTTTAGCATTGGTGCACTAGTGTATCTTTGGTTGGAAGTTTGAGGCACTGAGTGAAGCAAGCTGGAGAGAATTCTGCAAGGGGTCTGAGTTGTTGGTTATATTTAAAAAAAGGGAACTACAATCAACATTAGTTAACCCCTTACACCCTAACATCAGTATACACTTTCTCCACACTGCTCTCTATACATTTCCTATGGTACTGACAAAGATAATTTGTTTAATAATCAAGAGCTTCTTTAGTTGGTGATCATTTCCTTTATTCTCATGACCTCATTGTTTGTTTTAGGGGTGATGCAGATGGGAGAAAATAGTTACCAATCACTCCTAGGGGTTAAAGGGTTAAACATTAGAGTGCAAACTTGAGCCAAGTTGAAATTACATTTATTTACCTACTCTTAACTGATCACCACAAAGTCTTAATTTTATCTCATAATATACTGAGATTATAAATATTATTCTGACAGTATCTAAGAGTATCTGCTTGTTATGATAGGCGACAGAAAATGCTGGACTTAAAGCTACTTTGGAAGAGGAAAAAAAGCAACAGAATGCTTATAGTGAAGAAATAAGCAGGTTGAAGGTGAGTCATGTTTAGTACTTGTGGTATAAGTCAGGTACTGAGTTAGCATATTTTGTTATATGACATGTGAAGGGTAACTCTTGGTTAGTTTATCACTATTCCAACAAAGCTGTAGGAAACTTTTTTTTGATTTGATTTCAAGAGAGCTAAAACAGTAATCAGAATTGCTGACAGTTTTCAGGGTTTTTGCTAGCTTTTTGAGTTGCTGAAGGCCTGTTCAATAACAAAGTTCAATTTTTGTTTCAATTAACATTTGCAAGAGTCATTTACAAAAAAAGTTAAGTGGGTAGAATAAAGATTGAAGGCCTGGGCTTAAGGGCCTATAAGCTGGCTGTGCCTCTGGCTTTTTCAGTTTACAAAGTGCAATTACTCCTTGCTTCATGTCTTTTCAGGAACAACTAGAAGATAAAACGAGACTCAATGAAAACTTAGAAAAACAGCTTTTGCAAAGGTATGTATTTCAAAAGAAAAGTGAAAAAAAAAAAATGGGACATGTTTTGCTTAAACATCCATGTACTGAACCATCTGTCTGTTTGTCGGCCTAACTGTCTGCTTGCCTACCTGTCTTTCTGTCTACTTGTCTGTTTGTCTGTCTATATGTCTGTCTGTCTATCTGTGTAATTGTCATTTGCTCTGACAAAGAGCTAACGCGAGAAACATCGGCTTTGAAACTATTTGCAGAGGCCAATTTATGTTATCAATTCAGTTGATAATTTCAAATTGTTATGCCTATCTGTCTGTCTGCCTGCCTGTCTGCCTAACTGTCTGCTTGTCTGTTTATCTGTCTTACCAACTGTCCAACTATCCCTGGGATCTGGGACTCTAAATTTTCTTTCCTTAAATTTCTGTATATCTCCATTACTTTTGTTCCTTGAATTTATTTTTAAATGCAATACAACTATTCCTTTATGTCTTTCTCCAAAGACCCTCTGGAGATGAGGTAATCACTTTACAGAATCAGCTCTCTACTGCACAACAACAAGTGGCATCCCTTCGGCAAGAAAAGGAACAGGAACACAAATCATGGCAGGAAAAATTCAATGCGACCCTAACAGAAGTCAACAGGTGTGATCATCAGATTAATAAGGATAACAATGTGTTACTCACCTCTTGTTTTCATCTACCTCTAACGGACAGCTTGTGATTTCATATTTTTCAGCTTACAAATGAAAGTAAAGGAACTTGAAGTTGAAAAAGCAGCAAAAATCGAACAAGTACAGAGGTAAATGAATTGTCAAGATGAGGAAAGTTATGCTGAAGAACAATTTATTTTTTGTTTTGAAATATTTGACTTGTCAGTGATGTGACATGATTTGACAGCTTGCAGACAGCAGTAACAGCATCTACAGAAAACAGAAAGCAAGCTCAAGAACAGAACCAGGAACAACAACGTAATCTTATCAACCTTCAGCATGACCTCAGCCAGGTAGGAGCAAAGTCAGGCTATAGCACCCATTCCAGAAATAATCATATGGAAAATAACAATTATCTCACCAAGAAGCACAACTTCCAAATGAGGAATACAGAAAAAATTTCAAGTAAAAGAGAAATGAGAGTCTGAATTTATTTTTATTATTTACAGATTTCCAAGTTGATTTTTGTATCTTGGTTGATATCAGTGATGACTTGAGCTGTTAAATGTTTTTACTTTTCCAGGCTAATGTTGTTCTGAAAGAGAGGGAAACATTCATTGAATATCTCCAAAAGCAGCTCAATGAGGCAAAAGGCAAATTGGATTCTGAGGTCAGTAATAGTTGCTTTTAAGCAGTGATTGCAAAATGCATCACTCAGCCTTTGAAAACGATGACCATCACTTGAAGACCCATCCAAAAACCACCTTATAAAGTTGGGTTCCCCACTGGACACTAATGTTATTATTATTAGTAGCAGTAGTAGTAGTAGCTGTAGTAGTATCATCGTTATTATTATTACAACAATCAGAATGAATCAAGTGGTGAGGTCATCATCATTATTACCACTGATAGTGATTGCTCTCAACAGGTGACTTTAAAGGAAGAATCTAATCAACAAGTGCGAAACCTTCAAAACCAGTTGGAAGAAGAACAGAGACAAGCTCAAAACAGGTTTGTGACCATTACTGAAATTCTCCTTACAATATTGATAGATTTCCAAGTCAAAAGGTAGTGAGAATTGAGAGAGAAATAGGAACCACTGAATGTCATTTGTTTGAACAAAAATACAGTCCTCAGATCTAAAATTGAAACACTCTGTGGAGAATTTAAGCTAAGATAATATTTATTCTTTTTATAACCGTAAACTTAACTCAACCCTTCAATCCCCATGAGTGACGAAGATAGAATTTCTCCTTTCAACATCCATACAATATCAAGCAGACGAGTGATGACAATAAAGAAGAATATCAATCAGGAGATTATTAGTTGATCCAATACCAAATTCTCAGAACCAACATCATAAGAAATGTATGGCAGACAGTAAGGAGAATTACTAATAGATCTGGGAGTGAAAGGGTTAAGGCAGCCTAAAATCCCTTTCGGGTGTAAGACTGTCAGTTGGTTCTGTTATATTTCTTTGTATGTAGAGAACTGTCGATTAAAGACCTTGAAAGCAGTCTCCAACAAAAGAAGGATGATATTGCAAGATTTGAAGAAGAAAGGACGGACCTCATTGCAAAGGTATATTACAGATAAAGTCAGCACTTGACCGGTAGATTATCCCTGTTTCCATAACAAAAACTACTGGGAGTTTTTTTGCTCCAGGGCAGTTTTCAATTGCGTTCCAAAAGTAATCCGGGATTGCATTCAGTTGGTTTTCCTTTACTTCGCTTGGTGATTGGTCCAGAAAACTCGCGCCTCTCTCTCTCAGTCAATCATATGCAAAATAAAAACCAATCACGTCTTGGTTGCCTGCGTTTTTTCCGTTGGTTTTACTTTGAGTTCTCATTGGTTATTAACGGTATTTTCCGTTCTTCCGATTGGCTATTGTGATAACTTTAGTATCATTAACTTTCAGATTGAAGCTGGCGGTGGAGCTGAAACAGTGATAGAACAACTCAAACAAGAAAAGGTACATTCTGTACACGTACATTGGTATCATTTCCATGATTGTTAGTGTTATTGGAAGTTGCAGCTAGTTTCAATAACTTTTAAATTACTAGTTTCGTTAATTGCACATTTTTTTTAACTTGTAAATTATCGACTTCGTCACGTTGTGTTGATTACAACTGATATCTTAGAACAGGATAAGAGAGATGGAATTTTTAAAGCTTTGTCGTTGAGAAGATAAAGCTGTGCTAAGTCCATCTGCTTTCATCTAATTTGATTATGTAATGGTACTATGGACCTTAAAGACCCAGTTTTGACCAATATGCATTGAGTGCGGTGTTGGCTATCGGCGGCCATTAACTTGATATTGATAATTCCATAAGCTTCGGGAAAACAATACAAGCCTCGCTCTCGTGAAAACCATGACAAAAAACAGACGCACGCAAGGCGTACTGGCAAATACTGGGTCTTTACCATGAGTCTCCTCTAGCTTAGTGGTACTGAGAGTGTCTGAAGAACCAATCAGAAGGTCGAAAGTTCCACTCCTATTAGGAGCACTGGGAGTTCCTTTCCTCTGAGGATGCCTGCGTCATTCACTGACTTACATCACCGTTCACTTATATTCTAGTTGTTTACCACAATTTTGAAACCGCTGATCACTGTAGTGTACAGTTTGATTGTTATATACGAAATCTCACCTGTGGCATTGCTCACTATCAAGTTATTTTTGGGTTAGTGGTAGGGCATTAGAGTGCAGTGCAAAATTCATGAGATCTGGCGTTTGATTTCCTTTAGGAAACGCATTTTTTTCTTAAATTTCACGCGCGTTACAAAATAAATCGCCGGCATGTCTTCCTTGATAGAAATTCTCAGAATAAACAACAGGAAAATGTCCTTTGCTAATGGGAAAACTGATTCAGGAATAACATTTCAACCCGTAGGAAAGTTATCAGACCCGGCTTCAGCAGCTGGAAGCTACGCTTCAAACTCAAACACAAGAACATTCGAAGAAGATTGAGGAGATGCATAAGCAACAGAAAAAGGTTGAGTAGGCATTCCAGAAGATTATTGTAGTAATAAGTGTTTACTTGATGTATTCGTGTCCGTCGTTTATAATCGTACAGGTTGAGGAAGAGCTAGCGAAAGAAAAAGACAACACTGCAAAGCTTGAGAATACAGTGACAGAACTTACATCACAGTGTACGATTTCGTTACAACAAACGGAGGAGTTCAGAAAAGAAGTGAAAGAGAAAGTGAGTGTGATACACTGTTTGATAGTAAAATGGCAGAATGACTGGTTTCATGGAAAGTTAACTGGTCACGTTAGGTGTCCACTTTTTAATACAAGACAGCAGCAAAGGCCTTACTTGTTATCAAAAGATGTTGTTAGAGCATGTTTACGACCGAGACTAGAGTGTCTCTGTCGATGTAGACAACCTTAGAAGATTGCGTCATGGTTGGTGTCTTCTGTGGTGCTAGTATCTTTGCAAAAAAAATTAAGGTCATTATCCTTTGTTTCACGATGTAGTCACTTTCGATGTGGATCGCAACGTTTAGACTGCTTAATTTTGGAAGTCATCATTTGTCGAGGAGGTCGACAAATTACGCTTTTCCTTTTGAAGCATATTACCGTTCTTCGATGGGATCGGCGCATATAGTGCAGTTTGCAACCGAAACTTTGCGAATGACATCGGAGGTGACAACATCTCGAAAAAAACGATGTGAGCCCAACCATTTTTGTATTCTGTTCAGAGTGAAAGCCTCGTGGCTCTCGAAGCCGCCAAGGCCGCTGAAAAGTCTGTCTTGGATGAACAAGTAAGATCCTCTCAGGAGACTTTGCAGGAGAAGCTTAAGGAACTGAGTGCTCTTCAACAGCAGAATGTTAAGGTAGAATGAATCGAAAACATAGGATGCGCTGACTTTTGAGCAATGACAGAATTTGCGACGGCCTAACGATTAGCGCGCTGTTCTCTGGGTCGAGAGGTCTGGGTACGAGACCTGGTCGGGTCTTTTTGATGTGATGTCGGGCTGGATACTTTTATCTATTGTGCCTCTCTCGGCCCAGGCCCCGTTTGTTCGAAGGGTGGATAAGGCTATCCATTGGATCACTCTCCTTAAGGTGGAAAGCGCTGCACGATTTTGTTAACCCTTATCCGCTGGATAGCGTTATCCACTCTTTGAGCAACTGAACTCTGGAGGAGTACACATGGGTACCGGCAAACTGTCATAGAAATCTGGGGGGAGGGGTGGGTGGTAACTTAGAATAGACTGCTATCCTATCCATGGACAGCAACAATATTTCAAGTCGCTTCGTGGTTGAAAAGCTGGGATTAGCTCTGGCTGGATGGGCCAAAGAGTACAACTGTTTTTGAAGTGAAATATTTGCATTGTGTCTATGATGTGGTGCAGTCTACCTCTCATAGATTGTCACTCCCTCACCCAGTGTAAAAAGTGTAGATATTGTTAGTATTGTATAGCATGTAGAGTAAGCTAATTAATTTTAAAAATCGTAATGTAAGTAGTGTTAGTACCACATAATTTGTAGTGTAAGATAATTTTAAAAAAAAGCCTTTTGTAAGTAGTCGACCTTTAACGTGAGTATCGATAAGTATAAATGACAAGAGGGTAGTACTGTAAGTAACGTAAGCATTGTTAGTATCGTAATTACTGTAAGTGATAAGATTACTGATAGTGTTAGTACAGTACTGGCGTATGAAAGTTAAATGTTGATAAAGACATTTGTTTGTTTGAAAAAACCTTTTTGAGTGGTTCATATTTTGACTCTGGCTCGAAAAGCGTGGCTTAAACCCATGAGTAAGGTCATTGTGTTGCATTCTTGCGCAAGACATTGGCGCAGTTGTAAAGCAGTTTATTTATACAAGTTATTCTGAGCATTCATTTGTAAACTGTCAGTAATTCTGCTGGTATCACTGGTAACAACTGATTCTCATCTATTTTTGAAAGTTGAAAGAAGATTATGACAGCATAAGGGAAAGCCACACAAAACTTGAAATCCAAGTGAAGACCTCAGAAATGGAACTGGAAAATCATGCAAAAAGGGCAGCACAGCTTGAAGCTGAAGTGAAAGGAAAGGTATTGAATTATCTTATTATTTGTTCATTTGTTTGCGATATTTAAACAGGCTGGCTCAGTTCAGCTATAAAGCTGGTTGAAATTGGGGCCGTTGTAAACAATAACAAGGTCAGACCACAACACCGGGAGCTACGTTCTCTCCGTTTTGCAACAAGTGCGTGGGTTTGTAAACGTTCCATTCTAACCAGTACAGTGAAGATGCAGGAGACGGGCCCTATCATTTATCGTCCTTATCCTAGAGGACTAGAAAGTCCCACCTTTAGCAGGTGTCATAGCAAAGGCAGCGTATTGTCTCCAGTTATTTTAAGACCCAAGGGTTTGGTCCGGTCTGGGGCTTGAACCCTCCCGCACGACAGTACGGCGCTCTGTACGTGAGCTAACCAAACGTGCTAAGTAAGATAAGTAAAACTCCGGTCTGAGAGGTCTCATTTTTACCTATGAGTACGGAAAGCTGAATGGTGCAAATGTTTAAGGAAGGAATGTAAGTTCTCAGCCGCATTTCAGCCACGGGAATCAGAGGCTTGTGAACAGGCCCTCGCTGCAGGACGCTCGTCCCTTCACCCGAGTTGGGAACAGTTTTGTCGGAGGTCTAGCTCTGGTAGGAATGAGTGTTAGACTCTTTTGAGACCTCTCACGGCTCGCGTTGCTAAAGGTGTCATACTTTCCCGCGGGCAAAGACGCAATCGTGCCGAAGCACTTAAAATATGGGCCTGCTTGCTGGCTTGGGAATTAGTGGATATGTCTGGTGATTTTTTTATTTTTTTTTCTGTAGGTTGAGGTAATGACATTGCTACAACAAGAGAAAGCGTCAGAGAAAAGTTCCTTGGAAAAACAAATTGATGACGCGCAGCAGTCCTTAAGCAAAAAGGAAAAAGAAATTTTGGTTTTAAGAGGAGAACTGCAACAGGTAATTGGCTTGATCTAACACTTCTAAATTTAAAAGAAAAAATGTTAAAAGTTGTGCGTCATGAAACAGACTTAAATTGTCAGACTCCATTCGCCATGTTCTGAAATAAATAACCATTTTTTTTAATTTTTAAGTATAAGGAAAAATCTGCAGAGAGCATCAAATCTTTGGAGAATGAAAAGGAACAACTGTCATTGAATTTGACATCTACCAAGACTTTACTGGAAGAAAAGGTTTGTGCTACGATAAATCACAACAATTCTAAAATGCAGAAGTCTCCACCGTTAACCATTTGACCGCGAAGAGTGACTAGCATCTAATTTCTCCTTACAATATCACCTCTGAATCACACATTAAGGTCATGAGAATAAAGGAAATGATCACCAACTAAAGAAGCTCTGGATTGTTAAACAAATTCTCCTCGTCAGCTCTTAAGGAAGTGTACGAATCACAGTATGGAGAATATGCATACTGATGTAAGGGTATAACGGGTAAAAGTATTTTATTATGACACTGCACTGACTGTAGTGTGTAGGAACGAGGGGAATGAAATATGATGACGTGTTCTTAGCAACAGCTGGGTGTGAATAGATGTTCCTCTGACTTTTTCTTCACTCTTTTCCATCCATAACCCTTTCACCATAACATCAATATGCATATTCTCCATACTGTTCTGCGTGCATTTTGTAAGTTGCTGAAATAATTTGTTACAGCAATACAGTGCTTCTTTAGTTGATGATCATGACCGTTATTCTCGTAACCTGAATGTTTGCTTCAGGAGGGATATTGTGGGGAGAAATTAGATGCTCGTCACTCTCCAGGGCCGTGTATAATTTCAAGCAGTGTTTGGGTTTGAAATAGCGTGTCGACGCCAGGAAAATGGCATGTAGTATTTAAAGCAGGTTGTAGTTTCTTTCGCACATTTTACTGAGGACTTTTTTCTTTTCTTTTTTTTTCTTTGACCAGGAAAAACTTATCTCCAATTTGGGATCTGAACAGCAGGATGCAAGAAAGGAAATTATTTCGTTAAAAGAGCAGTTAGCGTCTACTTCACAAGTAAGTTTAGGCGAAAGCAGTTCTTTGTTCTGTTACCCTCACATTTCATTTTTGTTCTCAAAAATTAGGTTCTACCTACAGCTTGATTTAAAGAACTTACTTAGAGCAGTTTTCAATTGGGTGTCGAAAAGCAAAACCAAAGTGATCTCAGTAACCAATCGCTCTGTCGAAATGGAACATCTTTTCTATGTCAATGCATTGTGTTCTGCAGAAACGATTTACTTTATTGATTGTTGCTTTCGTTACGTTTCACAGTCCCTTAAGGAGAAGACTGATCAGATGGAAAGTGCGAATAAACAATACGTGCAAGAAAAGGTCAGCTTAAATATGTTTTATAGTATTTTTGCTCCGCTCCTAACATGCGACTTCGTGGCTCAATTGGTGGTAGCACCCTACTAGTATTAGGGAGGGGGGACGGGATGGATTGATCGCCGACAAAACCTGAATTTTTCCAGATTTCTTAATAAATGTAATGACTTTATTGGAAGTAAACTTGAAAGGATCAATTCGGCAATTTTCTTGGGGGGGGGGGAAGAATAAGTTTTCTATGAAGGTATTCTTCAATAAGAAACAAATGTTCTGTTTTTAAATCATAAGTTTGCGCCTTTTTTGCGGCAATATACCAAGGTAAGGAAAGCTAACTGTTACCACCAATAAAATGAAACCTCTCAATGTGTCTGCTGGCTGTGTGTTTTTTTTTGTTGATAGCAAACTTTAGAGGCTAAACTGTCAGAATTGGATGCGTCCAACAAGAACCAAGTTTCAGAGTTGATGGGAACGCTAAAGAATGTCAAGGAGAAGTTAAAAGAAAAAGAGGTATTAGGATAACTTATATGAAATGAAACACAAACCTAAAGACGCTTGTAGCGCTTATCGTTAAAGTTTCCTATCGCATTACCCTTTTTTCGCATAAATGACATTCGAAACTAACCGTAACTTTTTCTTTTAAAATTTGTAAATGGGTTCAATTAACCCTTTACACCGTAAAATCAGAATGCATATTCTCCATACTGTTCTCTATACATTTCCTAAGGTGCTGACAAGGAGAATTTGTTTACCGATCAAAAGTTTCTTTAGTTGGTGACCATCTCCTTTATTCTCATGACCTTAAAGTTTGCTTCAGGAGTGATATTGTTGGGAGAAATTAGATGCTAGTCACTCTTAGGGTTTAAAGGGTTAAAGTAAAGTGGAAAACCTCTAAAGCTTGTTTAGCATCGCTTTTTGATTCCACCCATCGACACCCATGTGTGAGCCCCCTCCACACACCCCTCCTTCAAATTAGCCATAGCAACAAGACCACCCCCTCCCTTCCCCGTGTTGACCCGACCAGAACTTGCTTCTTGTGACACAAGAAGCAAATATCCATGACTTGCATCATGGAAACTGAGGTTTAGTACCCATAATTCATTGCTCCTTTGAATACTTTTCGCAAAATTTCGAAACGGTAGGGTCCGTTAGTGACCAGCCATTATTTATCACCTGGGGGTGGGGAGAGGGGGGTCGGAGGATTTTCGAGGGGATCACTTGGTTTTCAGGGGAACCGGAGGGGGATCAGTCGTTGCTAACATATCGTTCAGTCTTAGGTTCGACCACTTTTTTTTATTTAATGTAATTTTGTTTTACAACTCTCTGTGTGATTAGTAGTGTTACTAGGTTTATTTTGGTTACCCTTTCCGTGGGGTATAGTGCTGCTGCATTAGATGAGGAATACGTTTCCACATATTTTTGACCACTTCTAAAGAGTGGTTTTTTAGTGGTTTTTCGTATCTGGCGTAGCACAGCCTATTTTTGTATAACCCTTCAGTTTCAGTGAGTACTTGCAGTACATTGCAGATTGTAGTAGGATGTGTAGACTACAAGACTGGCTGACTCATCCTAAATAAACTCTCACATTGAATATCTCGCCTGCGTGTAGACAGAATCCTCATACCTCGGCATCGGGGTAACCATCGCCAAGCGTAATTGTGTATTCGTTTTTTCAGGAAATGTGCAACAAGCAAGTCGAAGAATGTCAACAGCTTCAGTCAAAGGTTGGCCCTATGTCATCATGAACCAGCTTTATCTAAAGTTCAACGTGCAAATTTCCCTTAATTGCTTCTTTTGATGTTAGTGGTGAGAACTCAGAGCTCTATCGAGAAAAGTAATCTTGCACTAATGGTGGTCGATTTTTTTTCCGCTAAAAGTGTATGGCATACTATCTTTAACAAATAGAAATCATCCAATTTTTTTTTTGGAAGAGAGGAAAAGGAGCATGTGTGTTTCCAATCTTATACTGATTAAATTTCACTGATAATGGGTTAAAATAACTTCCTGAGGACTTTGCTTTTTATTGTTACAATAGAATATTCTGAAGAGGTTTGTGTAGAAAATATGACTCAATTCTTATTACTTTCTTTATCAGATTCAACAAGTTGAGCAGGAAAAATCTTCTGTCCAGGAAGCCATGACAGAACTTGGGAAGGTTGGTTTGTTTTGCCTCAACCACCCTCTCAACTCCTAGAAGTGATAAACATACAACTTCTCCCTATAATATCCACACATTATCCAGCAAAAACGTAAGGAGAATACTTAAACATATCAAGTAGAGGTTGTTATCTTGATCTAAAGCTTCATTCTCGTAACTAATGAACAAGGAAATGTGTAGCAGCTAGAGGGGAGAATTAACAATCAGATCTTGGGAGTTGAAGGGTTAATTAAGTTGTTTTTTTGTTTTTGTTTTTTTTTCCATTTTGTTTCCTCTTCGAATTAACTGTTATGTTATTTTCGTTTTGCATCAGACTCATCACGAACGGATTATAGTTCTAGAGAGTGAGTTTAGTGCCAAGGAATCAAAACTACATGAGCAGGTAAAAATTACATGAATGTATAATTTGTCATTTAATCTTAAAACATCCATTCTAAAACATTCGCGATTACCACGTATTTCATGGATGAGAATTGGGTGTAAGTAGTTTTAAGCAATAGAAATTCATAGTCTGAGACAAATTTTTTTTTGGTGTGGAAAAGATTGCTGAAAAAGAAAAAATTGCCGGTGAACTGCAGAAATCTCTTGAGCAAAAGGAAGAACGAATGAACGGAATGCAAAGGAAGATCGAGGTATGTAATTAGTGGAGACATTTAAATCAGTCACAGGAGGGGATCAGAGTGGATGGATAAACGTATGAAGCTGTGAAAACTAAAGGGGATTCCCTGGAAGGACCCAAGCGCGAAAAAACTTGTTTAACCAAGATGTCTTTTGAATTTATTTCGCATCTGATTGGTCGACATTGTGGCGAAGGGCGTATTTTGGCCAATTAGAACAAAGAGAAATGCAAGAAAACGGCATTGGCCACATTTCATAGGTTTAAATTTTGCAGCTAATTGTTTGAGAGAAATGCACGGAAGTTTCCACTAAGGAGTGGAGAGGCTGAAGCATAAAATATTAAAAGGGGATACTTAATTTCTGCGATGGCAACTATTGAAATATTTTTTGTTAAGTTTTTTTCCTGACGTATACTCTTTAAATCACCTATTGTAGGTTCTTGAGGAGGAGCTGAAAAAAGAATGTGAAAGCTGCAAGAACTATGAAGCTCAGCTATGTAAACTGCAAATTTCCTCCAAGGTAAACGGTCATGAACAACCCTTTACTTTGTAATGACAGACATGAGTTTACTAATTGGTGAATTAGCATGGCTTTAAAACTCTTTGATATTTTCTCTGATATCAGAGCTGGGTCAAAAAGTCAAGCGTTTAGCAAGGACTAGAGCAGCCCCCTCCCTCCCCTCTTTCTTAAGAAATTGTTATTACCCCTCCCCCCATCCCCCTTAAGTGGAAACTTAGCATAGGCAGGGATAACATGACGGAAAAATTGCCTTATAGCCCGCTAATTACAAAATTGCTTGTTTTTTTTCAGGAGGCACAAGAAAAAATAGTTTGGCTTGAGAAGGAACAAGAAGACGCGCGAAGTGACATAAAGGTAATCTTTTACTCCCCCAACCCTCTCCTTAATTTTTTACTGCCGTTCAACGCCTTGGTAACAAATTTCTTTCTCTCCCCAGCCTTCCGCTGCCATGAAAACCAACGATGGCGGTCACAATTTTCGCTAAGAAAATACTGAGCACTCGCTCCCCAAAATTACTCCTGTTCTGCAGGCTAGTTTTGAAAGTCAGACATAAATGTTGTCTTGTGTTAGCTAGATGGGTTTTTAGACTTTGGGAAATAGTTATCATGGAAACACAAGGCTCACTTAGTTCACGCAGGTCTCAAATATTAAATACCCCATCCAGTGAGAATTGGTGTAGAACCAAAGTGAAGGTTTTTTATTGGAAATGATACAGTGTATAAAGCAGCTTCCGGGAACTTACGAAATTCGATAGGAATTTCATTTTGTCATAAAGTGTGTCACTTCTTCAATCGTGTCAGAAACTGAAATCTCTCTAGGACATTCACTTCTAATTATTACCGAAAAATTTTTAATGAAGTTTACCTTGCATATCTTGTATATCTGTATTCTTAAAACTTGACGGGTCGCGTATTTCTCTTTGTCAGGACCTTCAGAACCAAGTCACAGCTGGAGATGAAGAACTGGGACAATTCAAGAGACAGGCGGAGGAAATTGAGAGTAATTTGAGACAGACTGTAGAACAACTCAATGAAGTAAGTTTTCATCCAATGGTTTTAGAGCAATTTTTTATAAGTGTCCAAACTAATCCTAAAACCCTTTTGCGCTTTGTGATTGGTCTAGAAATCTGACAACATTCTCTCAACCAATCGGATGCAAAGTTAAAACAAATAGCGACTCGGTCACCCGCGTTTTCCCGCCTTTCAGTTAGTTTTGCCGTCTGCGTTTTCCTGCGGTTGACACAGTGTGCTTGTACTCCGAGTTCTTATTTGGATGGGCTGTGATTTGGTTTTACGACACTCATGTTATTACAAATTCTATTACTAGACGACATAACTTCCTTATAATAGCACTATTCAGGCCGTGATGCAAGGTTGGTGATACGAATTCTCAATTACCCAGGAGTATCGAAAAAAAAAGTCTTGCGGTGAATTTGTTAGAATCACTTAAAACGTTCTCTCGCATTTGTGGAAGATTGTTGCGTTGCTTTTCTCTCCAGTCTTTTAAATAATTTTATTTTATTCTTTGCTTTTGCTCTTGTCAGGCTAAGAACGCCCTAGAAACTCAAGTGTTACATCTGGACGGCGACCTAATAGCTTCAAGACAACTGACACAGAAGACCAAAGAGGAAAGAGTATGTATTTTGAACTGTAATATACTGCTGTGCGAGTTTATGTGAAAATTTTGCTATTTATTTACGGTTTGGAGTTAATGTACCAGTGATAATATGACATTTGGACCCATTATTTTGTAGGATTCCTTTGAGCAAGAATTAGAAAGTCAGAGAGATGCTCTCAATGAATTGAGGTAACAGCGACTACACCGCGTTTGTTTAACATCTAGATGTAATAGTATCGCTATTTTCATTTTAAGCGAATTTTAATAGAGCATCTAGACCTAAGTTATTACGTCATCACGACAGCCAATTGGAACAAAGATAAATTTCACAAGGAGCCTATAAGAACTAACTGAAAACGAGGGTGACCAGTTCGCGATTGGGTTTAAGTTTTGTATCAGATTGCCTGAGAGAATAGCGTAAGTTTTCTAGACCAATCAGAGAGTAATATGAAGAAAACCAATGAGATACCAGATAACTTTCGACACTAAACAAGGGGCTGCCCACGGCTACTTTTTTTACTGCCGGTAGTACCGTGTTGAAGACCCTCTGAAACTTCTGATTATATGTTTTCTCTAGAACTTCCTCACAAACAAAAATAGCAGAATTGGAGAAGAACGTTGCAGCTGAACAAGACGCAAAGGAGAAGGTAAAACAGTACAATTACCCATTCATGGCACGTGTAATTTCATAAACTCCTTGCCTAGGAAATTAAAAAATTTTTTTTGTTATTTTGAAAGAATGGCATGTTGTGATTTTCAGGCACTGCAAGAGGCTCAGGAAAAGCAACAACTCTTAATTAAACAGAAACTAGATCTCGAAAATAAGCTGGCTAACTCAGAAAAAGACTTACAAAAGGTAACGAGGTGAAGTTATTTGACTCTGAGTTTGTTTTGTTTTTTTACTTTCGTGCCCGTTTCAATACCTACCTGATATTCGTAGTAGGGAGAATTTGAATTGTTAAGTTGTTCACTCGTTTATCCGTGATGTGCTCTTTAAATAATTTATGTTGATGACTATGTATTCCCTACAGTACAGGTTGGGGAAATTTGACGTTTAAGCTCCTAACTGGAGAATTTCAGGAGAATATGATGTTCTATCAACACTTACAGTCCTGGCCCTGGTTGTTCAAAGGTTGGATAACGCTATCCACTGGATAAAACCCTATCCAGTTGATAATGCTATACGTTTTGCTATCACTTATCTGCCGGATAGCGATTTATCTGTTGGATAGCGTTATCCGCCTTTTATACAACTGGGCCAAGCTTTAAACGCAAAACTCTTTTAGCCGGTCTGCATACGAATTAATTTCTCTAACAAAGAGTACAATTTTTGCTTTTGAGTAGCGCCATTCTAAAGAGTTTACTTATGTTACGCAAACAGATTAAGGGCAACCTTCCTGACCGAATTTTGACCGAAATTCTTCTACTGTTTCCAGGCAATTGAAGAACATGAAGAAACTAAAGAAGTCTCGAAACGAGTTCAGTTGTTATTGAAAGAGGAGACAGCCGCAGTTCAGACTAAGCTGGTGAGATGTTTTTCCCTTTTCTCCTTTTTTGGTATATTCTTTTCCTACTGCTTAAAGAAGGTGTAGAATAGATTATATCGAAAAAGAGATCTTTACTTGTCATTTTAAGCTTCTATCGTAAGTCAAGTACTTCATACTCTAAATGTGTATTACGGGTAACCCTGGTAGCAGTTTTTTAGACGATATTAATCCACACTCCTCCCCTCCCCTCCCCTCCCCTCCCCTTCCCCCTTCCCCCTCCCCCCTTTTTATCGTTGACAGCAAATGCAGTAAACCAGGAGGTCAAAATTAACATGCGTCTGTTCTTTTTCATTTGTCTGTTTTTTGGTTGTTTTCTAATTTCTTATTTGTTTCTTTCGTCTCTCGCTTTTTGTTCTTTCCTGCGTTTTGTCATTTTTCTATTTTCCATTTCCGTATTCTGTCTCCAGGCAAACGAAACACAAGAACTCGAAGAACTTAAAAAGTCCAAAGAACAGATGGAAACGAGGCTCAACATTCAGATATCCTCTCTGAACGAAAACTTAGCGGCTGCGAGGACTGAGGCCGAGAAATTCCAACAGGAGACGAGAGAGGCTGGGAAGAAACTTGCAGATGCTGAAACACGAAATGATGATTTACAGGGAGAAATAGCTGGTAAAGTCTTCTGTGTTAAAAAGTATTACTTGGGGTCTCCTTACTAGAAAGTTGTGACATATTTGAGGATGAACCATTTTTTCTGATTTGTTCTTATTAATTAGTTTTGGAAGCAACTGTCCAAAATAACTTGGATGAAAGAAGAAAATTACTTGAGAGGTATGTAAAGCAGTGTTAAATAGATACTCCTTGTCAGCACCCTAGGAAATGTATAGAGAACAGTATGGAGAATATCCATTTTGATGTGAGTGTGTAAAAAAGTGGGGCAAAAGTCAAAAGAAAGTCTATTGAGTAGGGAACAGAGGGATAAGCAGTACACATCTTGCACCTACCCCTCCCCTAACCCAACATTAACCCTAACTTGTTATCAATTGACTGTTGTTGGGTTAGGGGAGGGGTAGGTGGGCAGTTGCCCAGATACTGATATTGATCCCTCATCTTCAACTCGACTGATTGTTTTTCTTTAAGTGTGTGGCTGGTAATTGTTAAACAAGTTCTCCTTGTCAGCTCTTTAGAAATGAAGAAATGTAAAATGGTTTTATGGCCAATCAGAGCGCGCGTACTATTTGAACTATTTTATAAATATATATACAGAACAGTTAAGAAAATATGTATACTGATGTAAGGATATAAAGGGTGAACAGAATGCATTGTCAACTCAACTCATCGTTCTTCTTTAGGTGTGTAGCTGGTGATGAGGCGATAGAAAAGCAGAAAAAGGAAATTTCTGAGCTGAACAGAAAAGTTGAAAATGCGCAGGCAGCCATGATGGAATTGACACAAGAGAATCAGTCGCTACAGGTACACGGGGAAAGGAAGAGTATTCAGTTGTAATGCATTTGATTTATGGCGTAGAAAATTTAGAATTAGTTTCTTTGACCGGGTAAGCCTGCATTGCTGGCGTCTTATTTAGTGCGAGTTAACGTCACACGCGCGCGATCGTTTATCCGACCGGTCATATTTGATTTAGAGTATGAGTGAACGGTGGGGGGAGGGGGTGGGGAAAGGCTCTCGCACCTTTGATTTTCACCATAAAAATACTGAGCACTTTCTCGCTAAAATGATGCCTATTCTGCAGGCTTTGACCAGGTCGGTAGTGGTTTTGCTCATCAGTGATCGATTGACAAATTCCTTCCGTTTTCATGATTGGTCACAAAGATAGTAAATCAAATGACAGAGTAGCTTTGCGTGAATTGTATGATTTCAAATGAGTTAATTATATTTACTTATTTATGTCCTCAGATAACAACAAATCAAAAGAACGCGAGACGGTGGGAAAGTGATAATGATGTTGCGGCCTGTAATGGCTGTGACAAACAGTTCTCCTTAAAAATTAGAAAGGTTGGTTCTCCTGTGCCCCTTCATTTCCCTTGATGTGTTTCACATGTTTCACGTTCTTTAAGAATGTCTCTCTTTTTCGACTTAAAATAGCCACTGTACCTATACTATGGAGGCAGACATTTTCTTTTGGTTCTTTTGCTTTACTTGAAATTGGCTACGAAGCATAAGATGTCAATAATTAGTGACCGTGAACAATTCGTAAATCCGTTAAACCCTAAGAGTGATCAGAATATAATTTCTCCTTACTGTAATCCTGCTGAATCATTCATTAAGATCGTGAGAATAAAGGAAATGATCGCCAACCTAAGAAGCTTTTATTGTTAAAAGAATTCTCCTGTCAGTACTAAAGATAATGTATAGAGAAGAGTATGGAGAATATGGATTTTGAGGTTAGGGTGTAAAGGGTTTTAAAAAAAATAAAGTTTGCGTCTCACAAGGGCCTGTTATCACATCCTCTTAGCCTCGATACAATCCCGCCTCTCTTTCTCTTAATTCATTTTGCATTTCTCCTTCACGATTCTCAATTATACACTTTTTTTTCAGCACCACTGTAGAAATTGCGGGTGAGTTGACTTCATTTTCCGTATTTTCAGGGGATTTCAAACGTTACACTTTCTATATTGGTTGTTTTCGTTGTTTAGATTAAACCTTAAAACATGTAAGAGTGACTAGCATCTAATTTCTCCTCACAATATCACCCCTGGATCAAGCATTAAGGTCATGAGAATATAGGAAATGATCACCAACTAAAGAGCCTTTTGATTATTAAACACATTCTCCTTGTCAGCACATTAGTAAATGTATAAAGAACAGTATGAAGAATGTGTATACTGATGTTAGGATGTAAAAGGTCAAAAAGAGAACTAACAAACTTGTTATTCTTGTTTTATTTCCTTCAAAGATTAATTTACTGTAGTGACTGTACAGCAAAAAGTGCTCCACTGACGTCGAGCAAGAAGCCTGTAAGAGTGTGTGACAAATGCTTCGATGAAGTCACGTCAGGCACAGCTAAAGTAAGCTTGTTGATTGCGTGACATTTGAACAATAGAATGAACTTACACGACACCGAAAGGAATACTTTTGATTCACAAGTCGGGAAAAAGTCAGAAAAACAAATGAAATTATTCAAAATCGGGGAAAAGTCAGAGAATTTTACTCTGGTACAGGGAAAATTTACATCTTTGAAAAAAGTCAGGGAAAAGTGAAATTTCAAGGAAATGTGATGTCGTTCATCTTGTCTTGGCTTTCTACAAGATGAGAAGTAGAAAAACTTTCCTTTTATGTGATGTTGATCTTACTCATGTATTCGTTACTTATGGATTCGTTAGTAAGATTGTTCAGTTGGTAAGGGAAAGTTTTCGTTTGTCAGAGAAAACTCAGGAAAATTCGGGGAATTTCAAAATCTTATCACTGTAGTAACCATATGATGGTAGGAAATGAAGTTCAATCTTAGGTCGATAAGCATCCGCTGGTTCGAAAATGAGCCCACGCTTCCTACCCGCGCGAAGACTTGAGGCGAGGAACAGCAAAGGAAAACAGCTATACACAAAAATGAATTTTTAATATAAGTATGATCATGCCTTCAAATCTAACTTGAATTTTTTCACTTTTCAGTCTTATTCTCTAGGTCCAAACCAAGGCTTCAGCTAAGAAGACTTCTCAAGAGTAGATCTTAGTAGAAGAGATATATTTTTTCGCCAAGAAAGGACGTCACAATATGTATTTTGCATATCGGTGTATTTTTACCAAGAGATCATAAATGATAGAAATAGAGGTCATTCACTTTTACTATTGAGAACTTGGATCAATATCAGTATCTGGGCAACTGCCCACCTGCCCCTCCCCTAACCCAACATTAACCCTAGCTTGTTATCAATTGACTGTTGTTGAGTTAGGAGAGGGGTAGGTGGGCAGTTGCCCAGATACTGATATTGATCCGAGAACTTTACCTAAAAGGAGGGATGGAAAGTATAAAAAAATACATTTTGCATCGTATAAGAATTAATGAATGTATTTCCTTAGTTAGGACGAAAATGTGAAAGTGAAGAAGTTTTTAAACGACTTAAATTGATTAATGACCATTAGTCTTTGTGAATATCAAGAAAATGTTTGATATATAGGTGTTTTTTTTGTGGTGGTACTTATAATAAGATAAAACTGAGAGGTAAGGAACTTATTGAGCCCAAGTGATAAGATTTTCACTGCGAAAAGCTCAAAAATGTTAGCAGCATTTTTTTGTACAATGTTTCCAAATGTATTGTCAAGGTCGCTTTTTATGGTCTTCTATGTTTCTTTTAAAGAACTCAGAAGTTACCTCCTGATGGATGCAAGAGTAGTGAATTTGTAATGTGAGGCACGACAACTAGTTAGTTAAAGCGTGATAAATGCGTCTCGATTAACTATCGTAAAACCAAAATCGAAGTAATTACAACAGCCAATCGGAAGAAGGATAATGTTTTAAGAGTCAATGAGAACTCAGAGTAAAAACTACCAAATTGCCTAAAGCGCTGGAAAATGCGGGCCATCAGGTTGTGATTGGTTTTAGTTTTACATCTGGTTGGTCAATGAGGTAACGCGAGTTTTCTGCACCAATAACAGTGTGAAGTAAAGCAAAAACAATGTAATTTCAGACTACATCGACACTCAATTGAAAAATTGTTCTATACAAGGCTACATGAGTTCGAAGACGTCTAATGTTTTCCGTTCATAACAACTTAGTAGAGGGAGCTTTTGATCAATTATTGTTCACACTTCCAGTATCCTACACAATTGATGCAGATGACCAGCACGATGGGTGTTTATTTAACTCTTGGGATTCATCAGCCTGCAGTGCAGACATCTCATCGTAAAGAGTGTGTCAGCGCTACAAAGGATGGTCCACTAGGCAGCCATGTTTGATTATCATCATTATTCCTTCCTTTCCTTGCCGCCTTGTTTGATATAGAATTGGAATCGAAGTAGAAAGGAGGGAATGGGTAATTGCCACCCTTCCCCCCTCCCCCGATTCCCTATTGCCAACCGTCGGTATAAAAGAGTTTTCTATCCACAACCTTAAAAAGATAAAAATTTAAACTAAGAATAGTTTTCTAAAATCATACTCGCCTGAGTTATAATTAATAAAGAGCCTTTTTGGACACTGTGTCAATGGAGTCATTTGAAACCAGCAGTTTTGTTCACTTAGTAGATAGAGTGAAGAACATTGTTCACATTCCTCTTTTATCTGAGTGAAGAAACATAATAAAAGACCAAAACAATAAGCAGCCGCTGCAAGGACGAAACTAAACAAAAGATTTAATGAGCAGACCAATTATAGCACTGCACGTGAATTTTAAGACTGTATAATTCAAAGCCGTTTTATGCAAAAAAACAACGTGAATTCACCAAATTTTGAGAACCGAGACCCAACGACAGTTATTCACTTGAACTCAACACTGCATTTGTGGGTTACGCCGAAGGGGAAATCTTGCGTCCCTAAAGGAGGTAAGCATCTATTCGACCTACTCACAAATTCTTTGGACAAGTGAAAGTTCATTTTTGATCGAAGTTTTCCTGGACGTCTTAACTTGCCAAACCAATGATCAAAATATTTCGGTATAATACAAAATGCTTACCTAACATTTTTTCTCTCAAGAAGACGTCACACCTACAGTAGCTCTCGCACATCTTTCCTCTTCTCCAAACTTGCCTTGTGCTTCATGCCTCAATGAAAGTACAGCTGCAGCGTGAATTAATTGTTGCCAAATTTGCATAGGGCAAAATTCTTTCTTGACAAGTGCCTAGGAAAACAGTCATTCATCAACAGCTTTTTGCATAACTTTTATTGATTCGGGAGAAATAGTGTAGTAAGAGCTTACCTTACTCAGACACACTATTGAATGTCGTCATGCACAGGAATCATAATTGGTAATTAAATTTTAACTAACATTAGAAGAAGCCAACTTTTCATGTGAAATAACAATAACTCTTGCACACATTTCCTTTTTTATACAAATACACGTCGGAGAGTCGATTAACATGTATTGGAGAGTGAGCAGACGTAATTCAACAGGCCAGTCTGCTACAACACTTCTGTACGCCATATTTAACGTCGACATACTTACCAACAGCAACATCTCGAAATGATGCACGTTGCAGCCTGGAATCTGCTAAGATATAGGCTGTTAAAGGTAAGTAAAGCACTATAGATGTTATTTGTAAAGAGCTTGACAACCGACCGATAATCCGATAACAGACGATTAACTGCAAAAATTGTACTTGTAAACGGCTAGCTTGTGGAGAGAATTGACAACTGGAAACACTTCTGCATTCACAGGCTGATATACGGCTAAAAGCAGACCGAAAATAGTTCAACTTTCGCCCGATGCCGTAAACACCATGCTTTCAAGCTTAAAAGATGTTATATTTGGAAATCTGAAAAAAACTTATCATTTGATATTTCTCAAGTGAAAATTTCAGTAACAAACAACTTTATTTGTCACATACACTTCAGATTTCAAAAGTGAAAATCCAACTGGAGAATCTCAAGCAGCCAACGATTACACAGATTTGAACACCTGTGACGGTCAATTTAGATTTTTCAAACTCAAAATCTAACTTGGTTTTAATTTTGGTGACAAAAAATTCAGATTTCTTATCAAGAGCTCTGAATTGTAAAAATAACATGTATTTCGGATTTCTGACTGTAGCTGTAAACCCGAAATGCATAAATTTGGAAAAGACACACATCTGAGATTTGCAATTCAAATCGAGATCTAGACGTGCGTGCTGAGAGTTAGCACTCTGCAATACAGTTTAATAGTTCTCATTTAATGTAACCGTGGCGAGACTGGCCGTAAATGTGGTAAACGTAGATAAATGCATTTCGTTTTAAAAGGATATATTGGCGTTTTCGCTAATCGTCCATACTAAAATAAAAGAGACCAGGAGACTATTGAAAACGTATGGTATTAAAAGCGCCTCGTTTCTTTTGTGGACAGGTGAAAAACGGAGACGCCACATTTTCTCGCTCCATTGGTGTTTTCAGGCGTTTTGCTTGTACAGTAATCCATGCTAAAACACCTGAAATCGCCGATGAAAACGGACTACTGAAAACGATTTCAAAAGTAAAACATTTTGAAACAGTCTTCAAAACGCCAAGAGAAAATAATGGGACATTATTTTATCTCAAAAACGCCTAATTCCCGTTTTCTCCTGATGAAAGAAACGGCGGCTTTAACAAAACCGTGACGTAAAAAGCGTCACATGCTGTTGTTTCCACTGGTAATTTCGGGCGCTTTCTTGTGAATTATTTGTGGAAATGCATCAAAATGTATATGTTCTTCAATTCAAAAAAAGTGCAGTGCAGGCAGGTAAAGACGACCACGAAACAATTTTGTAGATGAGCATTGTTAGTTGAGACGAAATCCGATACTACTAAAAAAACGCTCAAGTGTATAGGAGGTTTTACAAGAAGCTTGGGACCAAGTCGGAAATAAGAATAACACGTGACCTACCTATACCTATATCACTAGGACAACTCGGGTGTTCACGCATGACAGCTGCTAGATTGTGAGGATCAAATGAACAATTCGTCTGTAACGTCACTCTACTTGTATTGATCAGTGCCTCTTTCCATCTGTGACAAAATTTCACACAACGCTCACTCAAGCACCAGTTCTGTCTAGTGACAGATGACGAATTATTGAGACAGTTTTTGACGGCTACGTCATAAATTGCTCGGAGATTCCAACAAAGGTCGCGTGGAATAAATCTGATCTTGGCAGTGTTTTCAGTTTTTCCCCACTGATCGCTGTCTGTGACGCGGATTTTTACATCAAATTCGTCACCATTTTTAAACTGAAAATCGTCCGTGACTTCAATTCCCCCTGTAAGACGGTGAACACAGAAATAACTCATTGGCTTGACAGTGCCAGCACCTTCACAAAAGTCGTCAATGTCGCGCCGTTTCCGTTTTGACTCACTGCGTGACAATTGTTGTTGCGTGACATTCTCCATGTAAAACAACAACGGTTGAACCAAAGACTCTAAGCGCCCCGTGACAGTAACATTCGTGACGAGAGTTTCAGATTTGATGTCATAAGGCAGATAAACGACCTGATCACTGAGCTGCAATGGATTTGTGTCTGTAAAGGATAAAAAAATCAAGAAAATATACACGAGGCTGATTCTGACAAAGTAAAAACCTAAATAGAACTAGTAGTGAATGGATCCTTGCTCCTGTACACTCTTTGATTTACGTTATATCTATTTCACTTACACCGTTTTGTTCAATGTCATACCTGAGCAATTGGACTCGCTTGTCATTCCTGTTTTTCCAAATGTCTGTTTCTTTGCTGGACATTTCTCGCATGACCTTTGACCCTGATTGTTCTGATAAGTGTCTGACGGACAACGGACACATAGACTGTCGGGAACGAATTTAAACCCAGGCAAGCAGCCTAAGCAAAAAAGAAAGACAAAAAAAATTTACGTCTGTCTCGGCTTAGATTTGAAATAGGTTTAATTAATCACCAATTGATACCACTTTTGCGCGTGGAGTGCCACCAAGCGCAGACAATTCACTTCTGTGTTGTCATGAGCCGATAGCTTGTAGAAATCTGACAATAGATTTCTTTGGCTCGAAAACATTGTATAGATGAAACGCCAAAATTAAGCGCTTTTAAGTTTCTTTGAATTTTTTTAAGCTGTCTGTTGGAGGTTAAGGTAAGCTCGACTTTCATCATTCTCTCGATTCTCGTCTTCGATCCTCCCGAGAAGGTCTCTTGGTGGAGGAGCGTGGGCTCACTCCTAACCAGCGGATGAGAATCGAAGCTAGGATAGGGATTCGGTTAGAGGAATGCAATGGTCAAACGTCTGCGCATGTACGACGAGAGAAATAATCTCGAGTACAAAGATTGGAACGATTGGTGTCACACAATGCGGCCCTATACAGTGCTTTCAGGCTTTTCAAACTCACAAACCAGTAAATCATGACATTTCAAAAGCGAATAAAGTTTTCTGTAGAGCCCGAAACTGATAGTAAATCAACAGAATATCCGTAATGAAATAATATTTATGTCAGAGTAGTTTCAAGTTCTCCTCTTCCCTACTTCTCTTTCTCTTTACAGCTTTCTGTGAACATTTCAACTCATTTTCGTGAATTTTAGGTAGAAGCGGTATCTTTACATTTTTCTTTAAATTTTTCTCGGGAACTTGGCGGACGGACGGCCGGCCGAAACTATTTCATTTGTGCATGCCTCATGTTTGACCGCTGTGTTGGTTATTGGTTGTTGGTAACTCACCACATTTGGTGCTGTTAATCCGTATTGAGCCCACAGCACAGCAAGGCGGCGGTATATCTCCACCACAGCATGATGTCGTATTTGATATTGAGGATAAATTGTAGGTGGAGTAAGTCATATCTCCTTGCTTTATTTTTGGAGTATTTGAGTCCAAAAATTGCTTGTAGGCAGATAGAGTACTGATACAGTCAAACAGCTTCTTGGAAACTTCATAATCTGGCACACTTGTTGATGCTGTAAATATCAGTGGTATTCTAAAAAAAACACTTCGCACTCCTGGGAGAGAGTTTATTATATCTTTCCTGGTGACTGTGACACTACTGCACGCAGGGAGAGTGGAGAGAATGGTGGATATTCCACTAAGAAGACCAGAAAACGTCCTTCTGGTGTTACTTATGGTGCTACTTGTAAGACCTCCCTGGATTTCATAGTGAAATGTGATGTCTACTTCGTAACATCTTTTCACATCGTAGTTGGCAATCAGTGAAGCGTCTGAAATCACAGGAAAAAATGTAGAATTCGTTTAAAATGACCAGTTACAACTTACAACAGAGACTCTTCTTTATATATACATGTTCTTTTTGTTTTTATCTTAATTAGTTCTTATGGACAAGAAATTATTTATCGCCAGTGGGGTAGTGTTTTTGAGGTTTTTATTTTTGGGGCCCACCCGTGATAAACAAAAATACAACAGCAGAGATATAAGTTGTTTCACTCCTAAAATTTAAAAAGCCCTGGGGGTATTATGGCAGTTAGAGAACAAAAACAACACAGGAGCAATTTTTCAATATTGTTTCGGATTTATCTGCTCAATTATGTATTTATACTTCCTGTCTGTCGGCCAGGGTGCAAACGACGTCATCGCTCTTGACGGGACGTCTCCCAAACGAAGAAAATTTATCTGATCAGTAAATGTACATTGTTGTCATTCCTTTTATAATTGGAAGAACAAAAATATTTTTCCGCTACATTGTACACTTTTCGTGATCAAACATTTTGGCATACAAAAATTTTAAAAATGTTACACTGAACTAAATAACGACATTGCCAAACGCTAATGGTCGGAGCAATCTGTAAGGAGAGACGTTAATTTACATGCGTTTTCAATATACTCCAACGGCACGGCTTTTTAAAATTTAGACATGTAATGAATGTCACTTCTAGAATATTTATTACTTTGTCTTTTGTCTCTAAAATTAACGCTTACCTAACCCATCAATTCAGACAAGCGGATCTATTGAATTCTAGCATGTTAGGTAAGATTTAACGAGTTTGCGAAAACCGCATCGTCACGTTTGCACCCAAATAATAAAATCGCTATTCTCACTGACAATTTTTTAAGAGTAAAAATAAATCGAACAAAATTCTGTGTATTGTTACGTTAGGTGAATGAAGTTCAACAACGTAATCACAGGCATGAGACACTGAAATTCCACAATATACTTCCGCTACAAAAGTTTCGTCGATAATAGTGTTAACTGCGACTTTTTTTGCAAGAAGAGTGCTGTAACAACTAACTAATCCATCAGCAAATAACGAATGAAATTTCTGGCATAATTTTTTTGGCAAGCATTTCTCGATACGTGCTTGAACACAATTCTTTGTTTACATCAAGCGCATGAAGTCACTCCTGAATTAAGTAAGCCCGCAGGGATGTAAGGAATCAGAGCGGCTTTCGAACACGAAAACAATCATTCGCTCCCCGTATCATTTATTAACAATCTTACACAGGCCTTTTCATGTCAAGAACCAATACAGAGTATTGCAAAACTACAGAAGTAACAACAAACAGCGATAACGTTCGCGAATGCTATCGCAGCAATACGTATTCACGCGAAGTAGTTCGTTTGCTGATGTATGACTATTGAAAATAACAACCATAAAGATCTTTGGTAACAGTTGAGCAATGTAGTTATTTCTTCTATGATAAGACAATCTCCCATGGCGGGGGGATTTATCGGTCGAACATTATCAAATACTCATGTTCTTACAAGCACATCAATAAATTCTTACTAACCTGATGTAGATAGTGTTTGAATAAAAAACATAAACAAAGTTGAAGACAACACAAATGTTCTTTTATCGTACATCCTCTGTATCCTGGTCAGCCGATTTGGAGAGCGTTTAAAATATTCAAGTTCCGACCCTCCTCTCTTTCAAACGTTCTATGAATTATCTTGCAGGTTATTTCATCTATATATCAACTTCCTTTTCGGGTCCAGTCTCTTTACTTTTCCTTGTTTCCTTGATGTGCTATCCGCTCCCATACTTTTCACTTCTCTGATTGGCTTGTGACCATTTTTTCATTTTTTTAAACTTCCCTTTGCTGAGTCTTTGTAAGGCTTGTCGTCGAACCCAATCCTTCCTCGGTCAATTTCTTGGACACATAAATTATCTCTAATTCTTTTAGACACTTTTTATGTTTGACGTCGGAACTGGAAATGAATTTGGCTCGCAATGACAACGCGACGCACACATTCCAAAGATATCAAAAGCAACAAAGCGATGCCTCGTTGTCAGCGGTGATGCTCTCTTAACGCTCTGCAATATTGTTACTTATTAAAGCGATGCAATGTAAACAAAATATCAAAGCTTCTGGCCGTTTGTATTACTCCCTGAAGAAAAGTTACGTTTTTTCTTACATGTCCTGCACTCGCCTTCATCTCACATCGTCAAGCTTGAGAAAATTCGAACCTTTGTTATGGTCAGGTCCGCCATGAAAAAATTATACTATATGCTAAATGCTGGTAAGGCTCGATTCCCAAAGGGGGTCTTCAGAACTAGTCTTGATCACGTAAATTCGAAGGTGATGCCTAATAGCAAGCATATTGAAGGGCCGAAAGGAACAAAGTTCGAGAAAAAAAATTCCGTGAACCTGTTTTCCGATTCAGGCTGTTCGAGACAACAGATACACTCTCTTACAGTTTCTCTGAGTTCACTACGAACGCAGTCGATCAGTTCAAACTTCTAAGTCTTTCAGATGTATCACTATCGTCACTGGACACCTTGTTCTCCTCGAGGACACGTTCTGGCTCTAAGTTATACGCTTTAACGGCAGCCATGTTTGTTTCACGGCAAGGTTGAGCTCAATGACGTCACGCAAGATGGCGGCGTATCCAAGATGGCGGCGTTATTGCTCGATTTTCGAGTAAGGATTTCATATGGTTAGAAAGCACTTTGGAGGCTGAAACTTTGGTAAGTATTCTATATTTTTACTAACGTTTTATTGGTGAAAAGAAAAAAGAGTGCTTCTCTGAACTCTACTTCTTCTTTAAAATACAATGCTAAGTTTCCTGTGTTTTATCTTGAAGTCAACGCTTATCTCTTCCAAGCCAGTTAGCTGAAGAATTTACTTCAGCCATCTTAATCTTGAATATAATCTTGAATTCCGACTGGTTCCATACTTCTTTTAGAGCAACATTAAACCTATGGACTATATTCCCCCCCGTCCGAGCGATCGGTGATCATGCGCTCCTTACATCAAATGTGAGTTCATCATTTATGATCTTCAGAGGAATGTTTGCTTTAGTTGAGGGAAGGTCAGCGGCTTAAAGATGACGTGACACGAGGTGATGCTGTGACAAAATACCTTCACAGTCGAACCTTCCTAAGCAACCACTTCTCATAGGTGGCAATTTTAATTATTTTAATTATGGTAGGGGCCTAATTATTTTAATTATGGTAGGGGCCTTTCATAAGCAACAACTTCTCTAATATACCTGTCAACTTTTGTGAAGTCTGGAACGTGACATTTTACCTTCAGAATATGTGGCATACTACTTTATGATAACCGAAAACTTGCTTCCATTTTCGAAGGCGTTCCGAAGATATCAGAAGCAACCTCCTTTTCAGTTTCTCCATTTTGAACACAGATACTCGTGAGTAAGCATTCCAAATAAACTCATGAAGGTTCAAGTTTATTTTACTCCCAAACTATTACTGATGCAAATGTTTTAAATCCAGGGCCCAGTTGTGTAAAGGGCGGATAATGCTATGCAACGCATAAATCGCTTTCCAACGGATAAGTGATAGAAAAACATATAGCGTTATCCACCGGATAGAGATTTATCCAGTGAATAGCGTTATCCGAGCTTCGAAAAACCGGAGCCAGATATGTAGAAAGCAGCATTCAAGAACTTTTATTGCGCCTTTTAACCTCTTTCCCCTGTTTTACAAGACTTGTCCTGGTCACGCATGCATTAGGGACCTTTAGAAAACCACGACGGTGACGGCAACGAGAACTTGGCAAAACAAAAGATCTAATGAGCAGAACAATAGCTAAGCACGTGCGTATGAAAACTGTGTACATTTCCTAGCCGTCCTCTGCAAAATAACAACGTGAAATCATCAAATGAAATTTGCGTGGTCTGAGAAAGGAATCCTCGACGGCAAATTATTAAGTTTCCATTTGGAACTCAACGCCGCTCTCCTACGTTATGCTAAGGTTAAATTACGGCGCCGTAAGAGATGGTAAACACATCCACTCATTCGCGAAATTTCAACTAAAAATATACATTCGTTTTTAAATCTACGTCTTCTTTGGTGTTTCTGTCCTAACTGCTGAAGGTCCCTATTTTTCCGTTGGGAAGAAAACGGAGTGTTATCAGCCACTGACGTCGCCATCGCTTCTAAAATGCACGCTGCTCCAAATCCTAGGCGGTGACCCTTAGCAGCCTCAAATATCTAAGAGGTGGATAATCTCTAACTCACATGTGTACGCCATATTCGATGTTGACATACTTACCAACAGCAACAACTCCGGAGACCTATTAAGATAAAGACTAAAAGGGTGAGTAAAGCATTAAATGTTGTTTATAAAGAGTTTGAAGCTGCTTTCAAAACAGAACCGTAGTTAGAGGAAGCCAGCATCCGACAACGGACGATGAACTGCACAAATTGTACTTGTAAAGGGCTTGCCTATTAAGAGAAGCGACAACTGGAAAAACTTCTGCGTTCACTGGCTGATAAACGGCTACACGGAGACGGAAAATAGTTCAAATTTTGCCATTTGCCATTATCACCATGCTATTAAGGTTAAAAGATGCTATGAGGAAATCTGAGAAAACGGTAATCTCTAACTCAGTTGCGTACGCCGTATTCAATGTTGACATACTTACCAACAGCAACAACTCCGGAAACCTGTTAAGATAAAGACTAAAAGAGTGAGCAAAGCGCTAAATGTTGTTTGCAAAGAGTTTGCTTCTGATCTCTAAAATGCACGCTGCTTCAAATCCCAAGCGGCGACCCTTAGCAGCCTCAAATATTTAAGAGGTGGATAATCTCTAACTCACATGCGTACGCCATATTCGATGTTGACATACCTACCAAGATAATTAAGATAAAGACTAAAAGGGTGAGTATAGCACTAAATGTTGTTTATAAAGAGTTTGAAGCTGCTTTCAAAACAGAACCGTAGTTAGAGGAAGCCAGCATCCGACAACGCATGTTGAACTGCACAAATTGTACTTGTAAAGGGCTAGCCTGTTAAGAGAAGTAACAACTGGAAACACTTCTGCGTTCACAAGCTGATAAACGGCTGAAATGAGAAGGAAATAGTTCAAATTTTGCCATACCATATTTTCAAGATTAAAAGATGCTATAAGGGAATCTGAGAGAACGTAGCATTTAAAGTTTGCCTTGCAAAAATTTTAGCAATGAGCAACTTTAATTTACAATTGCAAAGCACGTTGCAGAATTCGAGTCAATCCAAAGAAGTCAACGACTGAGTTGATTTAAAGTGAGTACCTGTAGTTAACAATTTAGATTTCCGATCTGAAAATCTATCTTGTTTAAATTTTGCAACAGACGATTCAGATCTCTTATCAAAGCTCTGAATTGTGGATATAAGTAATGCACATTTAGGATTTCTGACTGCAGCATTAAATCCGAAATGTACATCTTTGGTGAAAAACACATCTCGGAGAGTTAACAATCTGCAATACGGGTCAGCAGTTTTCAACTGTTCTGACGGCAGTAAGACTGGGGCTTTTGGTGAGCCCCATTCTCTTTCGTCTACACCGAAACACCTGATGAAAGGGAATAAAATGAACGCTGTCGAAGACGATTTCAAAAGTGGAGTCTTGAAAACGCCCAATTTTTTTGTGGACAGGTGAAAACGGATGCTTCTCAAAATGGTGACGTGAAAAACACCTCACTCTGTCGCTTTCATCAGTGTTTTCGGACATTTAGTGAGGACGGAAAAGGGAAGGGGGCGGGAGGGGAGAGTAACAAACTGTATCCATCGATACTTTTCAAAGGTACTGTTTTTGGGAGTCGACTCCAGTCTCCTTCGAAGTCTTTGCTTGTTGGTCACGCAACGCGCTCTCTGAGAAAGAACACGTGTTGCGTGATAAGACCAGGAGATAGAGTAGACTCTACAACACGTGACTACTTACCACAAAGTGGGTTTTCGCGGATGAGCACTGTAAGATTATGGGGATCAGCTGAGCAGTCTTTCTCTGGTACTTTACTTGCACTGTTAAGTGCCTCTTTCCAATCATGGGCAGTCTCTGTGCACTGAGTACTCAAGCACTTCTTTCCTCCATCGACAGATTCTGAATTCTTGATGCAATATTTCACGGCTTCATCATAAATTGCTAGGACGTTCTTACACGGGTCACCAGAAATGAGTTTGATTCTGGCTGTGTTTTCCGTTATTCCACTTGGGTCGCTGTCCGTCACGCGTATTTGTAAATCAAATACTTCACCTTCTTTGAATACAAAGTCTTGCGTTACCCTTATTCGTCCAGTGAATCGATGAATGCAGAAATAATTTTCTGGTTTGACAGCACCTGCCTTAAAACAGAGATCGACTAACATTTTAGGACAGAGCTCAGGGTGTGTACACCGAGAATTAACTTCAACACGACGCCGCTTTCGCCTTGACACCTCGCGTGACAGTAGTCGTGGCTGTGTGACATTATCTACGTAAAACTTAAATGGTCGAACAAGGGAAGCCAGAACAGCAGTGACAGTAACATTCACGACTATCGTTTCGTTGTTGATGTTTTCAGGCAGGAAAACTACTTGGTCGTTAACTTGCAGAGGATTTGTATCTAAAAAGAAAACGAAGCAAATCTCAAATGTTTGATAGGAAAGGAAAGGTGTATGAAAAGTCAAATGAACCTTAGCGCAGTTTTGTTGCTGCCATACCTGTGCAGTTGGCTTGGTTTGTCATTCTTGTCTTACCAAATGTTCCTGTATTAGCTGGACAAGTCTTACAATATTTTTGTCCATGTTCATCCTGATAAGTGTCAGAAGGACAAGAGACACACGAACGGCCGGTGACGAAGTGAGATCCAGGCAAACAACCTAGAAAGGAATACAATTTGTCTGAAACGTTTGAGAAAAAAACACAAAGATTCTGTCCAGTGTCAAAGGATTTTTCAAGGAGAGGGATTAAGGGACGCGGACACTGTTAGGAAGGGAAGTCAGAACTGTAGTAAAAGTAACATTCGCGACTATCTTTTCGTTGTTGATGTTTTCAGGCAGGAAAACTACTTGGTCGTTAACTTTCAGAGCATTGTATCTAAAAAGAAAACGAAGCAATCTCGAATGTTTGATAGGAAAGGAAAGGCGTATGAAAAGTCAAACGAACCTTAGCTCAGTTTTGTTGCTGCCCATACCTGTGCAGTTGGCCTTGCTTGTCATTCTTGTCTTACCAAATGTTACTGTATTAGCTGGACAAGTCTTACAAGACTTTTGTCCTTGTTCATCCTGATAAGTGTCAGAAGGACAAGGAACACACGAACGGCCGGTGACGAAGTGAAATCCAGGCAAACAACCTAAAAAAAGTAACACAATTTGTGTAAAATGTTGGAGGAAAAAAAAAAAAACAAGATTCTGTCCAGTGTCAAGGAGAGATATGAAGGGACGAGGACACTGTTGGGAATTTTCCGCGCTTGCCTTTAGTGCAAATACCGCTGCACAAACCGTGTGTATCATTTTATTGATGGAATGTTTATTTCTTTCAAAATAGAAATGAAAATCCTTACCGCAACTAATATTTGAAACCTTGATTGAGCCAACGGCACAGCAGGGCGGCGGTATATCCCCAGAGAAATAAAGAAAACGGAACGGCTACTGAAGGTATATCCGAGCTCAAGTGGCCCTCCTTTTTCCTAAAAACCTTATTTTACCGACACGTTCCCTGATATTTAAGCTCACCTAGGCAGCTGGAATTGCTAGTCATTCCTGTTTTTCCAAATGTTTGTTTTCTTCCAGGACACCTCTTGCATGAATATTGACCTTGTTCGTCCTGATAGGTGTCTGAAGGACAACGCTGACATAAACTGCCTGGATCAAATTGGAACCCTGGCAAACAACCTAAATGTAGGAGAAAGAACTTAGCTTAAAAACTGATCAATATTTATAGGTCGAAGGGGGGGGGGGAAGGCTCTGTAATGTTCTTATGGTCCCCCTTCCTCATTAGCCGTTAATCGGCAAACAAACTCTATAGTCCCCCCTTTATACACTGATGCCCCCCTGGAAGCCATGTTTTCTATCTCAAAGTCGCCCCCCCCCCAGGCGGTTTCGCTCAAGAGCATAACAAATGGTCTGCTCGTCCCTGATCCTGGGTCAACTGCAAATATAATCCATTCGTTGTTTTAACTCACCACATTTACTTCTTGACACGTTAACTGAGCCCACGGCACAACAGGGCGGCGGTATATTCCCACCACAGCAGGATCGCTTTTTTGATATGGTGGATGCATTGTGCGTATTATGAGTGCCATTTTGGGATATATTCGGAGTGTTGCTGTCGATAAATCCCTGATATCTTGTCGTCAGTGTATTTATACAACCTGCAATCATTGCTGAAATTTGACTATCTTCTACATTTTTTGATCCAGTGAATATCATTGGTATTGTAAAAAATATACTTTTCACTCCCGGCAGAGAGTTGAGTATATCTTTCCTGGTGATTGCGACATCATAACACTTTGGATGAATTGAGAGAAGGCTGGGCACTTGTTGAAAAAGAGAAGAAAACTGTACTTTGGTATTTGTTATGGTGCTATTTGTGAGTCCTCCGTCAATCTGATAGTGAAATGTAATGTCAACTTCGTAACATCTCATGATGTCGTAGTTACCGATCAGCGAAGCTTCTGAAATCAGAGAAAAGTATTACTTCGAAATGGTTCATTTATGTTCATGGTCTAAACGAGTAAGGGACTGGGTAAAAACGCTTTTAAAATTCGATCATACACATATAGGCTGGGTGGCGATTCACACCTTATAGGGCAATTTTCAATTGAGTTTCAAAAAACCCAAAACCAAAGTAATCGCTGCAACCAATCAGAAAAAAAGGTTTACATCATCAGTTGCTTGAGGTGCGGGAAAACGCGTATGACCTAGTCGCGATTGTTTGTAGTTTTGCATCTGATTGGTCGACAGGATGGTGTTAGATTTCTGGACCAATCACAGATTAAAATGCAGTAAAACCAAAGGGATCCCGGATTACTTTTGATACTCAATTGACTATTGTTTTACATGAAATAACATGAAGGCCTTTTACAGATGAATTTTGGTTTTATCAACTGAGCTGATAATGGAAATTGGCCACCGTAAAGAGTTTCAAAGCTGACGTTTCGGGCGTTAGCCTTTCGCCACTCGCTCTGATGAACGTTAGCTTTGAATCCCTCTATCTCTCCTAATCTCTTTACGGTGGCAAATTTCCATTATCAACCCAGTTGATAAAACTGAAATTATCTTGTTATACTCCCCAACCGACGCAGCACCACCTACGTGAAAGTCAATGGCGGACCTCAAAGAATCGCTCAAAGAAGAAATCTTATTTCAGACCTGTCCTCAGTTCTTACTAAGCAAAGCTCTATTTTAACTGATTTTCGAAAGTGTACTGTGTCCCCGTATTAGGTCAATAACACTCGAATTTAGCAAATGCTCTTTCAGATGAATAAATGTTCCATACGGTGGATTTTGCTTTTTGAAACTTTGCTGCTGAAAAAATTTCTTCGCCTAAATTCTTTGATCTCTATCGCGTCCATCACTTCCTCATTTCATGCAATACATGGTTTCAGACCTGTCCTCAGTTCTTACTAAGCAAAGCTCTATTTTAACTGATTTTCGAAAGTGTACTGTGTCCTTGTATTAGGTCAATAACACTCGTATTTAGCAAATGCTCTTTCAGATGAATAAATGTTCCATACGGTGGATTTTGCTTTTTGAAACTTTGCTGCTGAAAAAATTTCTTCGCCTAAATTCTTTGATCTCTATCGCGTCCATCACTTCCTCATTTCATGCAATACATGGTTACCTTTACAATTGTGCGTTGTCTTGCGATCGGCTTGTCAATTAATAACGTCAGAAATTACTCTATTGCAAAATTTAGTACGACAGCGACATTTTTATTCTAACAAAACGCGACAGCGACAGCGACATTTGTCTTTAACCAATAGGGGCCACAGGAGTGTTTGTAAACAATTAGGCGACATCAAAACCTCCTTCAAAGGCCTAATTAGTGCAACAATTAATGAATTTATGTCCCTGTTTAGAATTGAGCGCATCAAAGAGGTAATGCTAGGGTAGTATTCGACTAGATCTAGAAAAGCTAACGATTTGAAAAGAGGTTATGGTGAGTTTCCGCAAAATTTGGCTAAAGGCATCACCGGCTTGTTGTCCTATTTTCCATGGCTGTACATGTATGACGCACGAATGATGGAACGAAAGGCGCCATCAGTGCTTGGATACATACATATGTAGGCGGAAAATTTCGCCAGGAAGACGCACTTGAAAACAAAAAGTTTTATAGGGACTTGTAAATTAGGTCCGGCTTTTATTTAAGCCTGGCGTTGAACTTAAAACTCAAAAGCCAAATGCTGACTACATTGAATTCTTTAGTTTGTCTTCCTGCCTAGCATATTTTTGATGCAATTAAGAAGGTGCCTTCTCAACATGTAAATTTGTCTCTCAAAATGTCTGTGATGCTAAGGTCCAAGGAGTCATGTTATCTATGCAAGTGTCGAAATGTAAAAACAGCTCATTGATAGCTTTAACGAAACTCTATTACTTTAAGATAACATTATAACCACCCGTTGTCTCGCCCGTCTCAGATGATCGCGGATTCTTAATTGACCCTGTGCAAAGGATGAGATCCAAAGTCTCTCTTACCTGCGGTCGATTTACTTGGTATAACGAAGGAGACGAAGACGTCAATGTCGGACCATAATCAATCACTCCAAGTAGAAATTTTATTACAGACCTGTCCTTCTAACTAAACAAAACTCTCTTTCAAGCGATTTTTTCGGAAGCGTACTGTGTCCTCGTATTAGGTCAATAACACTCGAATTCAGCAAACGCTCTTTCAAATGAATGAATGTTCCATACGGAGGATTTTGCTTTTTGAAACCTTGCTGTTGAAAAAAGTTCTTCGCCTAAATTCTTAGATCTCTAACGCGTTCATCAGTTCCTCATTTCCTGCAATGCACGGTTACCTTTACAACCTATTGACGACTACAAGTAATTCGATTAGGAAGAGAGAATATTTTTTGACCAGTCAATGCGTTGATTGTCTAATAAAAATGTAAATTGCGACACATTGCAAAACGGCTGCCTGTTAGATTCTGGATTACTTAGTCAACAAGAATTCCACAAGTTTCTAACTTATGTGTGATCGGCTTGTCAACAAGTGACGTCAATAATATATTGCCAAATTCAGTGCGACAGCGATATTTTTATTCTAACAAAAAGCGACAGCGACATTTGTCCCTAACCAAATAGGCCACAGGGGTGTTTGTAAAAAATTAGGCGACATCAAAAACCCCCTTCGAAGGCCTCACTAGTACAACAATTAATGAAATTATGTTCCTGTTTGGAATCGAGCGCATCAAAAAGGCAAAGCTAAGGTAGTATTTGACTAGATCTAGAAAAGCCAACAATTTAAAAATAGGTTATAGCAAGTTTATGCAAAATTTGGCCGTGGTCATCACCAGCTTGTTGTCCTATTTTCCATAGCTGTATACGACGCACGAATGATGGAACGAAAGGCGCCATGCATCAGAGCTTCAATACAAATGTAAGCGGAAAATTTCGCCAGAAAAGCGCACTTGAAAGTACGGGGTTCCAGAAGGACTTGTAAATTAGGTCCGGCTTTTATTCAAACCCGGCCTTGAACTTAAAACTCAAAAGCCAAACGGCGCTGACTACATTGGATTCTTTAGTTTGTCTTCCTTCCTAGCATATTTTTGATGCAATTAAGAGGATGCCTTGTCAACATGAAAAATTTGTGCAAAGGATAACACATAAAGTCTCTCTTACCTGCTGTCGATTGGCTTGATATAACAAAGAAAAAGACAAATACATTTAAAATCAGCATCAAAGTTCCTTTCGGACACATCATCTTTGCAGCGGTTTTTAGTTTAGAAAACAACACTTCCACATATTTAAGATTATCACTTAGCCAGAAATGACCTTTAGGTCTCTCCTTGAAAGGAGTGAGGTTAACTTGTAACGGCTTGAAAAATGAAACAAATCTGAAACAAATCTGAAACAAATCTGAAACAAATCTGAAACAAATCTGAAACAAATCTGAAACAAATCTGAAACAAATCTGAAACAAATCTGAAACAAATCTGAAACAAATCTGAAACAAATCTGAAACAAATCTGAAACAAATCTGAAACAAATCTGAAACAAATCTGAAACAAATCTGAAACAAATCTGAAACAAATCTGAAACAAATCTTAAGCGCGCTGACGACATTAAAGAAAACATGTTTAACTCACCGTTAACAAAAGCCCATATTAAGTCTCGGCGACCACATCTCCACCACTGTTTGACGCAAGAACACACAAAATTTGGAACCTTTAGCTCGATTACTAAGAGAAGTTTTGATAGTGATTAATTTTACCAACAAAATTAAAAAAAAATATATTAAAGCTACTTTAGAAGTTATTTTGAAGTACCAAAGCTTTAGGATTTAATGGGTCAAAATTCATTTTTAAAATTACGATAACGCAATTTTCGAAGGCGTTCAAAGTGTCGTATCACGGTTAGCGCGTAAGAATGGGTCCTAGTTCTTTCGCGCATGTTCAAGTCTCAATTATACCGCCACATACGAATGGAGTAAGAAATTCGCTTTATTTTGGTATATAATTCGTCTAGTTTGCGACCGATTTAGATGGGACAAATGGCCGCTCAAGTTGGAGTACTCTCACTGGTTTTGCTCCCGGTTTTCTGCGGATCCGTAAAAGCTTTGGGAGAAGGACCAGAGGGTCCAAAAACAGAACATTTCGGCAATTTGTTACCTTCCTTTACATGCAGTATTAGCAAAAATAATAATAATAATAACAAAAATAATAATAATTATAATAATAACAACTATAAAAAAAAATAGAAAAGTAAATCTAATCTACTTATGATAAACAAATATATAAATACATGAGTTAAGAATATCATATTAGGCACTATTAAAAACATATGAATCTCATTCGAGGTCCATATCTATTGCTAAAAATAATAATAATAATTACAAAAAATAAATTTAAAATGTTTTAAAAGTTATAAAATGATGTATATAGGTCTACTATATGTGAATTCTAATTAAATTTTGTGAAATCAAAATATTCTAATGGATAGATAAAGTATAAAGAATAATGATAAAGATCCTATTCTATCACATATATATATGTATATATAAATGTGGGGGTAGAGTCTACCTTGGCATAAAGTGCTCAATACTGTGGTAGCAGAGCTGAGTATATATAAGTGAAAGAATCAAAGAGGACGCATCGATTCTCTGTTACTCTGAGTTTCGCGCCTAAGCCTAAGCCTAAGCGCTCGTCAGCCAATTACAAAGGGGCGAGTTTCGTAAGGTGACACGTGACCAGTCCTCATCATCACCAGAATAACAGGTAATTTAGTGTTAACAACTAAGTTGAAAACGTAAATTTGCCACCGTAAAGACTTTAAAGGCTGACGTTTCGTGCGTTGGCGTTCAATCGCTTTGACGAATATAAAGTTATAGTTTCAAAATCCTTGTTGAGGACTGAGGTTAACAAGTTTGCCACAGATTGTTGGTGAGAACTGTATAGACTCTCTGTATCGCTAACAGTGAAGCCATATACGCTACTTTCGGTAAACATCGCTCTTCT